TAGATAACTTTAGTTAAAACCAATTGAAGAAATCGATTTTCTCCCATCGATCTGACATCCCTTACAAGTAACTTTCCCTCTTTATTATAACCCAAGTATTTTCGACAAGATTTGTCTCTTCCAATATGTGTCCCTCGGCTTCATACACACCATGTTTCCCTCGACACTTGCTTCACTTCCTCAACGGAAATTTCTCCAAAGTGATATGAAAGTATAGCCATTTTCCCTCGGCAGTATAATCAACAGTAATAAAAGAGTTTGCTTAAGCATGATATTCAAAGTTAAAATTTTCAAGTTTTCAAGTCATTTGACACCACAATATTAAGCAAAACACGTAGTGACTATTATACACCCATTACAACGTCACATTGTTGTAAAGTCTGTGACATGGTAAGGGTTAGATATGGCGTGAGACACGCTCAGAGTTTACCACTAGTACCATTGACTGACAAGCTTAACTGACATGTACTCGTTTTCCCTACAATGCAAATAATTTTGTTGATATATAGAGAATTAATATTTAAATACATATAAATAACAACCAAGGAATTTATTACTTTGAAATAGGATTTAAAGATTTGTGGGTAGAAGTAACCACTCGCGAAATGACTCGACGATGCAAGGGGAGTACTCTTCAATCAGCGAAAATCGAATCAGCCGCACCCTTCGTAAAATCGCCCCTGACCCATTTCACCAAGCGAATTCCCACAGCATCAATTCACCCAGAGGCGTTACTCGTCATAAATTCCGTCAAGTAAGTCGACTTCTATACCCATGAGCAAAGATATTTAGATACTTCTCAAAGATATCACAGAAGTGGTAGGCAAGTATGACAGCCTCAGTGCTCCAACGAGAAACAGAAAGAGAAACAACCAATGGAGAAAGTACACAGAGGGTAACATTTTCTCGCACAGGACCATGAGTTCCGGACCGCCGAGCACGATCCACATTTCTCATCAACGCCTCGGGCCGTTCAATGATGCTGTTACTACTGCTTTAACGAAGGGGTTGCTCTATCCTCTTTTGCCCCTCTAAACTCTAAACCTTTCCCACTGTCTAACCCGAAAAGATTATTTAGATTGTCTGCCGTCATCAAATAGTCTCTGCATACAGGAATTTCTCTCTTTTTTTTTTGCTTTTTTTGCGTTCTACCTTTTAAAGTACATGTTTGTCTTCATTTTTGGTTACTCGAAAGTTCTTTATTAACATTTCGAAGAGAATTTTGGGTTTTATTTATTTGAAGTAATGATGATGAAACATTTGCGAGGTTTTCATTCAATATTTATTCAGTTTTGGGTTAATGATCTAGATATTTTCAGCTAGACATGGTCTGATTTAATTATAATTGAGTTTATTAAATTTTCAATTATTTAATTATTCATCATTCATCAGATACATTGTTCAATACGAAAAATGATGATATTTAAAAATTTCTTGCTGAATTACTTAACACACCACATTGTAGATTTTTATTCTCAATGTTATGAATAAATTATACATTTTTATCATGTCTACCTGTCAAAATAAAAAAAAAAATCTATTCTTTCTTTTATTTGTAATTAATATCAAAATCCAAAATATATTATTCTCAATTATTTATTTAATTTTCGTTACCTTCAATAAAAAAAAATGTCGAAAAAAGTATTATGTTATTAATATTATTAAAAAATATATTTATTTTTATTAATATTTGAGCCACATTGAATTTTTTTAATCCTTTAAATACAAAATAATCATTAAAAATCAGTTTACAAGGAAAAATAAATGTTGAAGTCCCTAGAAAGCTTCTAAATTATTAGATAATAAACTTAAAAAATCTTAAATTATAATAATTCACTCAATACCTATTGAAATTGTAATCTGAAGAGCAACATTATCTCATTACACCATAATTTTCCACGTATTTGTCAATAGCTGATGTAAATCGCCAAACTATTATTAAAGTTCAATTCAACTGTCAAATTATCAATGAATTTCGCCCGAGTTTCTCAGCAATTAGTAAAGTTTGAATCAAATTTCCAAACGATTGCTAACTCTAAGTGTAAATGGATTGTTAATATTCTATAGAATTTATTGTGTGATTGTTGGGACAAACTGTATCGACTACTTGATGCACTTGGAATTCACTTAGGCGATGTGTAATCTTATAAAGTTGAAATATTCTATTTAAGTTTGAATTAATCCACTTCCTTTAACTAAATTAACCAATATCAGTTGTCACTTCTCCTTAAAATAGAATTAAACAGTATTCCATCTTCACATAGTCAGGAAAAAAATGGTAGACTTTTGATCAAGATCTTAAAGTCTAGAATAATGTAAATAAAAAAGTAAATACATTTAAAACTGATTAAATAAAGATTTGTGATAACGACGTCATAGATATTTGATTGAATATTTATCAAAGACTTTAGTTCAATCCACTTTACAAAGGAATACTGCGGTTTTACATAGACTGGTAGCTTATTTGCTAAACTTTAGAAACATATCCCTTCGTGATCTTCTCATTCATGTAATACTACTGTACAATATCATGGTATTATTGTTTGATGCATTGAATCGCTTTTATTACAGCACATAATGTAGGATTTCTACATCTATTTATTTGCCTAAGGATCGTGAACGTGAATTCGCAAAATGCTCTACTCTGTTTGTTCTGTTTGAAGAAAATTCCATTATCTTCCTTTACTTCTTCAATAAATTAAATAAATAAATACTCTGATACATCTAGATTATTATTAATTCAATTTTGTTTAAACTTTTTTCTTATAAAAATAACTTACTTGAAATAAGAAAGTCAAAAAGAAATTAGTGGTGAGAAAATTATCCACCATTTCATAGATATAAAAAGTAAATTGGGTTCATAAAAAAAGCTTAGAATCTAAAATATTGCAAGAGAATTTATTTTTATTTTAAATAATTTAAAGTATAAAAATATTTGATTGGCTCTTGATATGATTGATTAAAGTTAACTCAACAATAAAAATGTTTATGTAATTTTATTTGTTGAGTCAGCATGTCATTTTCTTCTATTAAAATATTTATCTTCTTTTTTTCTCAAGCCAAGGATTCCCTTGTGAACTATGTCCTTTAAGCTACAAAGAAGGGTCTTATAATGAATTTAAAAAAATGCATAGTTGCTGAGATTTAGCAGCTTGAGAATAGTTTAGCGTCAGTTTAACCTCACGTGTGCTTTCAGAGTCAAGTTTTTCCCAAGCTTCAACCATCCTAATCTAATGCTATTAGATTAAGTTTACTTAATGTAACACCACGAGCTTATTAATTTGCGACAATATAATGAGGGATACAAAGCCAAAGCCGGATCTAATTTTCTACTTTTAATTCCAAATATTTTTCATATTATATCTGATAAATCATTTTTCATTTTTATCACCAGTAAAATAAAAAATTCAATATGTCCTAGTAATTTAATAAATTTTCATTACACTAAAAATGGTGAGATGCGATAATAGAATATGGATTTGTAATAGAAATATGTACAACACAATAAAGTAATGAGACAATAACCCCCCGTCTGTGGTAATAAAGTGAAGACCATTTGGAGACGAAACTTTGATGATTTCGTGGTATATAGCTGGATATTTGATAGCCTCCGGACAGTGGCTTGGAACTAACCGCCTTTTCCCTGTCTGTGAGAATTGAATTCTCAGGTAGTTGGAGGTCGTAAGATATTGCGAGTATTACGGTTCAGGTCCCCAGTGATATACATCACTGCAAAGCGACATAAACCAACGAATAAAGTAAGGGTCACAAAAGTCTTTCTTCTCGTTTATCGATTCTCCAATCAAGTGGAAACAGAATGTTATTCAGAAAAAAATTAGCTTTTTTCATTTCTTATCAACAATACTCACATGGAGAAACATACTGAGCTTGATAAGTTACCAGCATCAACCTTATTTGTTATTCTCTTTAGAGTAAGTTATTAGAAAGCTTTCAGCTACCATAAACATTAATAAGCTTCCAAGTTTTTTAAATCTTGAAAAGAAAACGAAAGGAAATATTTAATTTAGGGAATTAGATGATCAAGTTGATTATTTGATGAAAGTAATTTTAGACTTTGCAATGAAATCATTAATTTTTTAGTTGAAAATTGCGAGGTTTAATAATAAGTAAAAAGAAACTATGAAGCTTCTGATGCTACTTTAAATTCACTTACATTAATGGAATAACAAAAAGTGATTTTTAGATTCAGTAGGTATTGGAAGATTTGTCTGGGTTGCTCTCAACTCGTACGAGCAAGTAAATCGATCCTTTGACTAGTTAGTGGCTGAAACAGTTTTACCAGCTTTGTATTACGATACTTAATTAACGTCAGAAACTGCCAGTCAGACTATTTTAACGAATCTATTGTTCGTTGTAAGAAAGGAGTATATGAAATACCCTTAGCTGCCATTTTCGAATACCTACTTCATCATCTGATCATTTTTTTTTTTTTTTACATTCTTCTGGAGTAAGATAATTACATAGGAAAAAAGTTTTCTTCATTGTAAGTAAACTCAATTGGATGTCAATTTTTTCAGAAGAATACCATTAGTTACTGATTAAATTTTTTTATAGAGTAATGATACTCTTTTTCAAAAGAGTTTTATTGAAGAGAAAATTCTAACGATGTTCCTATAAAGAACTTCCTATAAAAAATAAAAATGATCTTTATATTATTTATTGATTTTATTTTAATAATATTCATGATTTTTTTTTTCAAGATTAATAATGATATAATAAAAATTTTTTTATTGTAAGTCATGAATTTTTTCTAAATAACAAGAGTTTTAAAGTAAATAAAAATAATTTACCTTGATAATTTTTCTCTTTTAACTTCTAGAGTACCCTTGGGGCTTAAAATTTTTTACTTCTACTGGAAAGATACTTATGAGTCCCTCGTAAGCTTTAATGAGTTGATATAAAATTATTTATATCCTTAAAAAAAATTTTTTAATCACAAAGGATCATTAAAACATGTTTCTGTTTATTCTTTGTTACAGGTAAAAGTGATGCTAAGAGTATCATCAGGGAAAGGCGGTAGTTTTTTCAATGCTGACAAAAGGAAGAAACAAGTAACACTGATCGATCCAACTGCTGGGCAATCTTCAACAGCAGAAGATCGAAGACCAACTGTTGCAGCACCAAAGATGTTCGCATTTGACGCTATCTTCACCGAGGAAGACTCTCAGGTAAGTTGGAGATAAGAGATAAAAAGTCTGTAAAGTCAGAAAAGAAATGAAGTTTGTCGAAAGTTCAATTATCAGAAAGGAAATCATCACTTTTCTCGGGTAAATCTTGAGTGATCCTTGAGGTATGTATATCTGGAGAAAAAGATTTGTACGTGCTTGGTCGTGAACTTTGCGTATCTTAAGACTAAAGCAGCATCTCTGTTGGGCGCATAACTAAACTAATTTCCTGATCTTCAAAGTCAATCTTGGAACAAGGAGGAATTGCTTGAGGCAAACGTTGCTCTTAGGTTCACTACTCCTTGGGTTCGACATTTCAAATTCTGCTCTCTTCAATATCCTCCCTTCAATACAGATCCTCACACTAATATCTATCTATATTATCATGTAATTTTGTACAATTCCACAAAGTTAATCATACACATCTGGTTTTCCTCAATATGCTCATTTTCCGTAGAATTTCCAGATCCTCCAAGCATCTGATCCTTGAAAATTCTTCTCTCGTCAATTCTTGGCGTTCCAATAGAGAAAATTCCACCGGTATACCTTGAAGCCGGATATATCAAGGTATTTGAGAGTATTTCGGCGTGTTCCTAGGGGACATTATTGAGTGTTGGATTCAAATGAGCTTGAAGCTACAGCTTTCCCCGGACTTGCACCAGCATCAGGTTCCCTCTCGATATATCCACTGTACCGAGAGTTCTCCAGAGACCATCAGACTGTTACGTTCTTGCTTGTTCACTCCTCTTGATCTCTCTTTCTTTATCATCCCTTGTGTACTTCTCCCTCCTGGCCAATGAATTAAGTGGAAGAACTGTCGAGAGCCATCGATTAATTCACTCTGTCCATCAATTGTCATCGAATATTACGCTCTGTAGAACAGAAAATAGACTCACTCTTTCTCTTTTATACCACTTGATACAACTATTTCTTTGCAATTATCGTGTAATTAAAATTCAATCGGTGTTCACAGATAATTGCACAGGAAAATCTTGAGGATTAGTCCCTTTTATTTCTCTCAGTAACTTTATTTTCATGCAAGCTTCAATAGAAAATCCCTGATGTTTCCTTAATTCTATTAAGCTAACGAACGAAACTCTATAATACAATATCTACTTTTCTAGTGTAATTATTAAATGTTACAAAAGAAAGAAAAAAATATCAAGGGAATGCTGATGTTCTTTTCAAGTGGTTGAATGGTTCTCTTTAAAGATCCTACATGGATGGGTGCTTTGGAGGTTTTTAAAGCTCATGTAGGATTCTGAGCAAACTGGAAATCTAGGATAAAATTGGAAGATGAAAGTCAATGGATAAGCTTTGATAAAAAGATAATCTATCTCAATTAGCAGACTGACATACCTATACATAGACTGTGAATCATATCGTCGTTGCCTATTGACAATTCTATTGCCGCAAACTAAACACCGAGACAATGCACATCAACGCGGGATATCCCACGCCGGATAATTCACCATGGCCATTATGGTGGATACGGGACAAGGGCTTTATTATTGACTTACGACTAATAGTCGCGTTGTAGATTATACCATCAGTGTATGTATGTGTTCATACTCTCCTGTCAGTTCAATGAGAATTCACCCTATTCTATTCCTCAGCACAATACCTATACTACTCTGACCTATCGCTCATTTGATGCCAAATGCTGATTGAAGGCAGCCTTTAGTGAAACCAATATGGAATGCCTTCCAGCACTAAGAGAAATTCATAAACCTCAATCATTTTATTCGTTTCAAAATTGAACAATTACATTTTCATAAATCATGCGTTGGTTTGATACATTAGTCATGTTTCAAGTTAAATTCAATGCATTTTCCGTTGTTTTATTGGAAAATTTCCATAGAAATAGTTTGTTGTTAATTTAATGCTTTTATTTACCATTGAAACTGACATTAAGAGATTTAACAATTTATGAATTGAAATAAAAATTATATTTGCATGGGATAAAGAAATTTTTTTCAGAAAAAATCATATAATTATGGATATTACTAAACACTAACTAGTGTTTAGTAATTATAAGCACAATTTACGTAGATTTTCATACATTATTATTAATTTTAGGCCATAAGAGGGATGGGGGAGTGTGGAAAAATGCATACTACTTGTGCGAATCCTGTGACACTATTATTATTGTGTAATAATATTTTAGGGTAATAAATAAGAACTAGTGATAAACAGTAACTAGTGTTTAGTAATTACAAGCACAATTTACGTGGATTTTCATACATTATGTACTCTGTAAGTACATAGAGTATAACAAAGTAATGCAGAAAATCAAATTAATAGATATTATTGAGAAGACCATTTATTACTTGAGGGAGATAATGATTTGGTAAAGTTTGATATTTAATAGAATTGTGATCGATAAGAAGTCTAATAATTCTGATAGTTTTCCAACAGATGTTCTCTTTACCTTATCATGAATGATTGACTTTTAATTGGCCAAAAACCATTTCAATGTTTCCTACTATTTTTAATATTTAATAACAAACATCGAATGGTCATAAAAATGTTTGTCCTTTTTCCCCAGATCACAAAAATGTAAATGAAAACTTTTTTGATGAAAAATAAATCCATATTTATTTATATCATTGATGATTATTAATTGTTTTTTGTCCAACTGAATGAATATTTATCAAACTATTTTATATTACAAACTATTCCTCAAGTTATATCAAAAGCAAAAATTTTATTTCTCTCGGTAAAGTTATAAGCTGATCATGAAATGCTAAGCTGAAAATTTTTGATATAAATTTCATGCACAACTCAGGAAAGGTCTAGAGCAGATTTTGTCAAGAGTTTAATCAACTTCAACTTACTGAAGGCTGCTTCAGTTGACCAGCTAACAAACATTAATCGGTTAAACCATTCTCGAGATTATACCGTTAGTGAAAATTTACTTACATGTGCACATACACTTACATACACACATAAAGGAGAATACCCTAAACATAACGATCCCCAAGGGTGCAACAGCTACTGAAACATTTTTCAACCAAACAATGTTCTTTTATTATAAAAACAAAAATATTTTTTTATGTACAAAATCATCAGACCTTTGCTGCTCTTACTAACTCTTAAAAAATTCCTGCAAATTATTTTAATTTTTTTTTTTTTTCATCAAAGAATCCAACTATCAATTTTTCAATAAAGAACACTAGTTTTTGCTTTTTTTCAACAGCAAACAAAAATTCAGACCACCGATTTGATATTATTTAAATTTTTATCTCTGAATATAAACATCTAGATAACCTAACAAGAATTATTTTAGCTCTTCACTCCAAAACATTTCATTTTTGTTTACACAAAATTTCCATTTCCACTTAAATTGGTGATTTACGAATGAACGTTGATGGAAAAAATTTTACAGACCAGTAAATAAATATTTTCGCGTTTATAAATACGAGAGGCTAATGAATATTGATTTTTATTTTTGATAAAAACAATTTTATGTTCAAATAACTCACCAGATAAAAATAAAATAAATATCTATACCATTTGTTGTTCATCATCAATATGATTCCTTTTGAAATAGTGTTACTTTTGTATAATTAATCCAAAGATTAATTCAGATCTTTCCGTCTTTTACATTTCATTAGTTAGGATATGGGTTCTCATTATATTTATCAGTTCCGTCCAATCGCTAGGGTTGATATAACGGACCTAATACTTAGGGCTCACTAACCAGAGTAATCTGTAAACCAATCATACGGACCTCTGACCTTTCTTCCTCATCTATTCTAGATATTTTGGTTTAGACTGACTTTGTCTCGCATTTCCATATTACATCCAGATTAATCTACACCAATACTACTATTTCTGCATTCTAATCAAGTTAATATTTATTCAGCAGAGATGCAATTTAGAAAAGGTGTTCTCATATTCGCGGATCATCTTTCCAATAATGTTCAAGAAAATGATCTTTCCTATACACCAGCTCCGATATTTATTTCTAATACATTATGTATTACTTGAAGATGCATTTAAAAAGGATAATACTCTAGAGTAGATTAGATTTTAGAATAAAAATGATGCAAAAAATATTTAATATTTTTCAAGTTACTTGATGGAAATGGCTGAATCGATCTAACTCCAAATTGCCTCGAGATGTATTGCAAAAGAGGTTTTGAGTGAAAATCTGTCTAGTCACTTTCGAGTATTAACGACAAAAAATTCGCTCATATGAACTGAGGAAAAGTTGAACTTTTATTGAAGGAATTCTATTTTTATTACGAATTTTTTTGTTTTTAACAATTGTCATGAACAAAAACATGTCAAAAGTTGAGTTTGATTACAATTCTATCATATTTTTTTTTATTATTCATTAATCGTAAAATATTAATTACTTTTATGTTTTTCTAAGTTACAAAACAACTTGGTTTTATTTTAAAACTTCAGAAACCTGGAGAATAACTTGTAAATAATTTAAAAAATTCTAGATATTTTTTTTTGCAATATAAAGTCCATCAAAATGTTAAGAATTTGACGAAGCTTATCTAAATATTTTAAATAAATCTCAATATACAGTCAACTAGCATAAAACTTTCTTTTCCTTAGTTTCATAAATAAAATATCATACTTCAAAGAAACATTTTTTCTTTAAAAAAACAAATAAATGTTTTAATTAAAAAATACTTACAATAAATAAGAATAAAATATTTGCAATGTATCCACAGAATTGGCTCACTAAATTCATATTTTTCTGCTCCATAAAGCAATTTATTCAAAAATTCCAGATTCATAGCCGAAGTTTAAAAAAAGCCTAAACTCCAATAAAACTTAAATTATTGATTTCCTTCGCTAATTCCCCTTCAGTATTATTTAACCGAGGTGAGAAGTTAAAAGTCCCTCGGATATAAATAATAAACGTTTTAAGCATCCAAGTTGCACACACAGGCGTCAACAGTGCGGTGTGGATTCGATTTTGCATGGTTCAACTAAGCGCCACAAACTACTACCTCCCACCGGATTTAGCAAATGCTTTTTTGATCCCGAATCGGTGGGGAATTGAGAGCGCACTTAGTCCCCAGGCGCCAATGAGACCAATCTCCCGTGTAAATCGCGACATATTTCACGACAATCGGAGGGAGAAGAGACCGGAAGGGCCACGTGCATATGTAGGACTACCACACATTCAACTTTCAATGTGTTCCACTCTATGCGTATTCAACAACAGGGATGAAAACTTTGAAACTTGTTATCCTGGAAAGTTATAGTAATTTTATAGCATATCGAAGATTTGGTGAATTGAAGTGACGAAAATCCAGGCCATTCAAAGCTACGGATATTGCGTTATACATCCAATGTTTACTCTTCTCAATAGGCTGATGTTGGCTTGCAAATTTACGTGATAATCGTTTTCCCTCTGATTCTCGGGTCACTTATTTTTCTCCATGTGCAGTGTTTGCTTGATAAACTCCTCTACGATTCTCCAATGTAGTAAACGTTTAATCATGAGCCTATAAAGGGTTCTAAAAATCTCTAAAAAAAAGCTTGTTAAAGCTCTCTAAAAGCACGAATCAAAGCACTTAAACACACTAATTTATAGGGGTTTTAGACCTGGATGATAATGATTTTTAGATGATGGACTCTAATGTTTCAGTTTTAGTTGAAGATAAAAAGTGAAGGAAAAAAATTGCCAGCATTTAATGGTCACGTTTGAGTTGTAGATAGCACGATTTGTTGGTGAAATTACCTTTAAAGGGTCTTTGTAGAGAATGTTGAAAGATTTTATACTAGAAATAGTGTTGATATATGTATATTGAATCAGAAGAAGGTTGATCAAGCCTCTAGATTCTTCCAGTCATCACCATAGCGACGAAGCAGCGCCATTATAGATATTTTTTATTTTTACTAATATTTTTATCTCAAGTTGCTGGTGCAATGTGAGCGTTATATCATCGTAATATTTATGGTTATTCAAAAACCCTAAGCAACTCAGGTGATTTTGTTGATAAATTGACTACCTTATATGGCATATGATCATCATAGTAAATGTGCAATCCACATGCATGTCAGAAGGTACGACAAGTTAAATAGGATATTTCGATGAAAAGTTGACAATCTCACACTCTCGTCCTTTTTCTTTAGAAAAAACTTGTGACTTATTCTAAGCGATTTTTCTTTTTCTTTTATACTCCTCGCTCGCAATATCAGTTTTTTTCACGGCTCAACGATTCTATCTAGCGATGCGTCATCTTCTCTCTTGTCTTATTCTAAGTGTAGACAAAAAAGATATGCCAAAAAAGAAAGTCCAGCGATTAAATGATTGTCACGATTGGTAAAGAATGATAAAAAGCATTTATTCCTTGCGGTTTGTGTTCCATTGAATAAAGAAAAAAGGGTATCGTATTACTTGGGTGAGGTAAAAGTATTATTCGTGGACTTCTAACACGGCTTTTACATTCACGCCAATGGAAATGCGTCCCCTCGAGTCCTCCTCAAGAGTTTCCCTTGCCTCCTGACACCCTTACTTGAACTTATCGTGAAGTAAAAGACGAAGAAGAAGAAGAAGAAGAAGAAAGTTGAAACTCGCCCCTCTGCAGCTTCGATCTGCTTCTTATTCACATCTGTATTCTACCCATGAACACGAACCTATTGCGTTACCAGAACGCGAACAGCAGCCCAATCCTCAACATCAATGCAAAGATGTGTTTCCTAAATCATCCTACGTATCGTGTCGTTGTCGCTTTTAATTTACACCCTTGAAATTAATAGCCGTTCGGAAATCCTAATTGAGACATGTCCAACAGACTTACCCTACATTCCACGATTTTTCATGGCTGATGTGAGTTGAATGAAAGCAAGATAATTTAGCAGACGTGTAAGAATCAATGCTGATGCCTTTGGTGTATTATATTGCACACGTTCTTGAAATAGATGCTGAATTTCAATCACATCCCTACATACCTGTCAAATACTACCTGTAAGACAAATGAACGACTGAATAATGTAAATTTAATGCACATCTCAATGAGACCGATGAACCTATATATCATGTAAATTTCATTAAATGTATCTCACTGATGGGGTTTATATACACGAAGACAAGAAGGATTCATCTTTAGACAAACCTTCGTGATACTGTCACCCTTGACAACTCCTCTTTGCTATCATGTCCCTCGTTTCCGCTGTACTGTCGTGTACAATCAAGTGTTTGAGATTATGACCGAGCCTCTGGTCACGTATTTCATTAACCGGCACGGCTGGTACGCCAAAGACAACCTCTAGTGATACTTTCAGCTATGATACTAAACGAAAATGCTATAGCATACTCTGGCTGCTCTCATACTCACCACCCCCACCAATATAGGCCCACCTATATATTTTAAATTTTGCTTTCTGCTGAAAAAGCTCACAATTTTATCTGAAATTGTAATTTGAACAATCTTTCTATTTATTGGTAAACACACAAATTCGTGTAGTGAACTTTTTTTATTTACTTTTACAACACTGCATATCTCTGTTACAATGGAGACTATATGTCCTGGAATTTATTTTTTTGCTGTTCAAAGAGAATAAAAATACGGTTTACCACTTTGAAGATTGTATTTAGTTTAGGATGTTGTTGATTTACGTGGAATATTTGTTGCTAGGATTTTATTACAAAGGGAAAATAGATAAGCTAAAAAAAATAATGAAACAATGCAAAACGACATCATGTTTAACATTTAGTGATGACAAAGATTGTTATAAAATAAAAAATGGAAAATGAATTTAAGAAATTACTAATTTACTAATTACCTTTTTCTTTTTACTGGGAATGAGTTTTTTATTTAAGAAAAAAAAAATAGTTTTAATTAAAAATCACCTAATTTGCAAGTTGATATTAATTAAATAGTTTTGAATTAATGTTATTTCAACAAACTCTATGATATTTTCACTTCCAATCTCTTGGTGAATCTCAAAGAACCTTTCTCACATCTTAAAAGCATCTCCAAAAGGAGCTAAAAACCTCCTGAGACGCCAACGACAGATTGAAATTAGCATATTGATGTCTGTACACTGGACTTGATATTTTTGGTTGAAGCTCCGCTTCTTCTTCGTTCATTTTTTGCAGACTGCTTTTGCATTTAGCTTGTCCTCTAAAATCCCATAGCGCTTTCACGGCTCTCATCTCTTATTTCTCATTCCGTCCTTCAAGGCTTTTCCGATCTTCATATACTCTAATATTTTAATATTGTTCCGTTGATTCTATAGCATCTCTAATTTTCCCGAGTATTTTTTCGCCCTAGATAAATTTATATACATATAAATTTCAATCCTGAAATATGTCCAAATTAGTATACGTCTTTATCAATCATCTGCAATAAAAAATTCATGAACTGTCAGAATAATATTCAACGCATTTGTGACAATGACAAATTATTTAATTTAGCACATTTTTTTTTTTACAGATAGAAATTTGCTCGAGTGCTCTGACTGACGTGATTCACGCTGTTATCAATGGAACTGATGGCTGTCTGTTTTGTTTCGGTCACGCAGGTCTAGGTAAGCAAATACTTTTTCAAAACACTCCAAGACTTGATAGCATTCTTAACTATTTATATGAATGTAATACATTTGATATTTATAAAAAAGACATCCGTTATTCAAATGTTGACACTTTTTGTCTCTTCTGCTGGTCAGAGAATGTACATTACAAAATACATTCAGAAAGACGCCAAGTTGTTTTACATTTTAAGTAGTGATATCGAGTTTGCATGCAAATGCATGATTATACAATGAGGGGAATGTCTTCGCAAGGTGAAACGGCAAGGGTGCCAAAGACACACAGCTTTAGAAAAAGGGCAAAGTGTTGGGAAAGAATGGAAAGCAGAAAATCGACAAAGAGATAAATATGCTAGTGGGACACATTTCTGGAGTCTTAGATTTTGTAATATAGAATCAAATTATTTCCTACCTAGATTTTATTATTCATAAAAGCATTTTCATTCTCTTACGTGTGATTTTTTTCAATTCCAACAAAGGCATTTGTTTTTTAATTACTTGATACTTTATTGAAAAGAATGATTTTTCACTCTCTTATGTCTAGCTTTTCTAATGATTTCTCTAAAAATATTCTAGATCAATTTTAAGGTATTAGATAGTCATATTTTATTTTATACAAAGTAATTATTAGATGTATTGAATAAAATAAGCTAGTTATGAACATTCATCATAGTAAGCATGATCACTTACCTGATACTTGTAATGTTAAAAGCTCCACAGAACCTAGAGAGTTGCATTTTTATTTTAAACTTCATTGTTAGAAGAGAAAGTAATTTTTCTTTTCATCATTTTTGTTCATGAAAACCATTATCTTTTTTACAGTGAAAAGCAAAAACTGAGCATAAAAATTCTGGTTATTCAACTTAAAATTTTGCAAAGCAATATATTCTATTATTAAAGCTATAAAAACAATGGAGCTACCGTATAGTTATGACTTTAATTAAATAATAATATTATTTACCTTCCTGTGATGAAGCAATTAAATATTGTTTAAGATTTCAGAGGCTGCGTTTTCATTACTCCACAACTACCAAGAGTTTTCCCTCACAGAACTCTGGACTTTTTCATTTCTAATTTTAATATAAACCACCTCAACCCTTTTCTTCATAATTAATTATATTGCTAAAGTTAGTTTAACTGACAAAGGCGCAATCGCTCAATCACAACTGTCATAAAAACTTTTAATCATTTTTTTGCACACTTTTTTACCATTTTAACGGCTCTTATTTCATGTTGCTTAATCACTTGTCTAATAACTTATCTACTTTTTTATAAAAGTAGAAAAATTATTCATCATTTAAAACATCGAATAAAAGAATAATGGAACTTCTAGGTAAATCGCATACAATGCTGGGAACTCCAGAAGCTGGTCATACCCTTGGTGCTATTCCTTGTGCGATTACATGGCTTTTTAGAGGAATTTCGGAGCAGCGACAAAAAACAGGAGCAAGATTTAGTGTTCGAGTGAGCTGCGTTGAATTAACAACTGGACAACAACAGTTGAAGGATCTTCTTGCGGCTTATGCTAATGGTAAATTTTTTTTGGTTAAATAAACTTAAAAATAAAATTCGATAGAAAGAGAACTGCTTTGAAAGATTTATTGGAAACTCCAAATGGTAGAAATAAATAAAAAATAATTAAAGTCACTAAAGGTCATTATATTTTTTTGAATTAGAGATCTAAAAAAAAGATCTATTTTTTTTCAGATCAAAACATTTATTCATGATTACTGTGATTAATTTTTTTTATAAAAAATTGCATTCTTAATTTAACAATTATGAAATACAAAGCAGTAATTAAAACTGTCTAAAAAAAACTGATAAGTTAAAAGAGCATAAAAATGATTGCTGTTTTTTGAGAATTAACATTATTGTGAACTCAAATGATATCTTTAGGTTGAATCTCTTTCATGTCTGTGTAAATTTTGACTATAAATTTAACTCTACTTTTATAAGCAAAGTTGAAATTTTTACATCCAACATAACACATAAAGATGTGCAGTGAATACTACAAATAATTTTATCAGAAATAAATTTATCCAAAAAATGCTTACGAATAGAAAACATAAAAGAATACATAGATAGTTTGATGCAAGCAATTTTTTTAAGTGGAAATGAAGTGTAGAATACCTACTATTCGAAAAACAACAGCTAACGATCAGTAGACTTTTTGTTTTTCTCTTTTTTTTCAGAACGTAAAAAATAGAATCAAAGAACGTCACGAACAGGACGGTAAAAATATTGTGCAAATTTTACAGCTTTCAGCATTCACATGGAAATGAATCGTAAAAGATAAGAAAAAAAATGTTACTCTATTTTATATACCATAAAATAGAAGAATAAAATAAACTACTGTATCTGCAGATATATTCGTTAACAATAAATTCAAGACGAAAAAAAGCATTTTCAAAAATTACAACAGTGATCCTCTCATACAAAAAATCATACTTCAACAATAGCAATCTCTAGAGACAACATCAAAATCCACTGGTTTATTCAACTAAATAATTTGTTATAAACTATTTAATTTAAAGATTAAATAAACACTTGACTTGATGAAGTATCTTAATAAAAATGTTTCGTATTCAGCCCTTTTCCATCAATTTTCTTCAGCCCCACATGAGTTCGTTTATATATTTCACGTAAAAACATAAATGTCTAGGGTGCGAATAAAATGCAACGAATGTGTTCTAAAATGATACAAAGTTCAGTTATATGACATGGAATTTCCAGAGAAGCTGGACATGGTCACGGTCACGCTTTCAGTTGGAACATATTTTTTTTACTGCCTACTATTAAGAGTAACTGTTTTTTAGAATCATGATCCTTTTTTTCTTTTTTCTCTTTTATTTATATTTCTTTTCTTTTCTTCCATCGTATTCGAAACTCTTATCCTTCTGATGCGTAGGACGATAGGCAGCCTTTAAACAGACGACATATCGATTACACGTCTGCACTCTACGAAGATACTTTTTTTATTTGCCCTCCGAAATATAGCTCCAACTTGCAGCTTGTGCTCAAGCGACACACATGCCGGTAATATTACTTCCTCTGGTCCCTTTTATGGATATTGCCACGTGGCGTTGTGGCAGTTTTATCCAACCGAAACGACAGAAGATCTTCACAGGAATGTTGAAGCGAATCCTTGATGCTGTGAATAAATATAGCCCAAGTATATCTACAAGTTCTGAATTTAATGTACAAGATAAGGAGAATAGAAGTTGACACACAATATTTGGAATTTCATCCACATATAACTTCCAGACATTAAAGAGATATGTATACAACTTGGCCATCTTATTGGATGGGTCCAGATCATTATCTCAGAAATACAGTTAATTGAGACAATGGTTCATATCCGGAATAATCGTCTGCAAAAAAATAAATGTTAAAAGCTGCTTCATCTAGATATCAAGATTTTAAATTAATTAAGAAACAATTACTGAATTACGATAAATAAAAATTAATAGATTAGTATTGAACTAAATTGATGGATTAACAACGGAATGTCACTAGCTTGTCATTGTCATAGAAATAGTTTGTGTTCAATGTTTAATTATTATTGTAATAACATTGTCATTCTATGAAAATGTATTTGTAGACCTATTTCCATATTTATTTAGTTGAATAATATTGTGACATGTTGTATTTAATATATACGATTGTATAATTTGATTATTTGATCATTTTAACAATTATGAGAGCTATCAGCATCAACACTTCAATGAAACTCAATTTTTCTATTGGATAGGATAGCCTTTCTTCCTCTATTTATTTTACGAAATCGTAGTAGTGAACGAAATAGACAATGTTTCCATTATTCATTAAAATAATTTAATCAAAATATTTTAATTTTATTGTCTTCACACATATTCAACTTTATGTTACTTAACAATTATCTAAAAATCATCCACCACCCCCTATCGACTTGGGGTTGTGGGGAGTGATAAAGAATAGTCTACTGAACTGGAAAAAAATTAATCGTTAATTATTTCTATCATGAAAATATAATTAAATAAAACTTCATAATTCTTTGGATTTGAAGATATTTGAATATGTAATCAAAAGATAATTTATTTTATATTTTTTAAAATTAAATTTTAGTTACTATTCTCCGTCAACTTTTATATTGGAACTAAAAATTAAACGAACAGAATAAAAAATTGTAACGATATTGTACATAATACAATTTTCATCAACGATCTTTACAAACTGTTAATAGCTTTAGTGAAAAGTGAAGCAATTTTAATAAGAACAATTTTTCAATTCGTTTGACAGATTCGGAGCAGTCACCAGCAGTGTATCTGAGAGATGATCCCCTATTTGGCACTCTGCAACTTCAGCAACATAGTGAACTGCGTGCTCCGACTGCTGAACGTGCTGCGTTCTATCTGGATGCAGCAGTAGCTGGTCGACAATGTGAAGATAGTGATGCACACATGTTATATACACTTCACGTCTATCAGTACAGTGTGGCAGGCAAGGGTGGAGGTACATGTTGATAACCTGTAGACTTTTAAATCAATATTAGAGAATTTATTAATGAAGTAGTTCCACAATGGTGATTTGTTTGATGAATAAACAGTCAATATTGAGTTAATTATTTTTTTGTCTTTGAAAGAATTGATCTTGAACATTTTTAAAAGGTAAATTCTTGAACTAATTTGCTTTTTCCATAAAAATGAATGAATGAACAAAGAAAAATTGAATTAAAACCAAGGTGATAATTAGTTAATCCAATATTTGCTTCAATAAGAAAAGAATAATTGATTCTATGAAGAGTAGCTCAGTGTTTTTCTCTATTAAAAACCAAAGATTATTTTTCAATGGATAAAGCTTTAAATAATCATTAAAAATCGTTACGTTTTTTTCATTGGAAGTAATTCATTAATAAAGAATCTAATATTTTTTTATATAAGACTTTTTATATATATAAAGCATGTGAATAACATAAAATTTTATTGTCAAGTTGCCGGAGGAAGAAGCAGACTCCATTTGATGGACTTGGGTAATTCAGATCGAGGAAAAGCTGCGGGTGGGATTCCATTATCTGGACTGGGTAATATCTTACTGGCTATTTTCAATGGTCAGAAGCATTTACCTTACAAAGAGCACAAGTTAACACAACTGTTAAAAGAGTGTCTGGGATCATTAACTTGTCACGCTGCCATGATTGCTCATGTTTCCCCTAACGCTCAACACTATACTGAGACGTTAACAACGGTCCAGTTGGCTTCTCGAATTCATCGGATGAGACGTCGGAAGATTAAGTTCAATAGTGGTGTTGGTCAAGGAAACGGAAGCAGTGGGAGTTCTGGAGAAGAAGCTGCAAGGCAAAATAGCGAATGTGATCCAAGTTCAAGTGATTTGTCAGCTGACACGGTAATTTATGTCGGACCAGGAGCTGAAGACGCAACTGATGGAGAACATCCACCTGTCTATTTACCAAGTTTAAATTCAGGGGACAACCGCTGTGCCATGGGACGAGCCTTACGAGGATCAGCAGTTGATAGACCGTCTAAATCCTCTGAGGAACGTAGTCCAGCACATAAAGTAACTAAAGCTGTAAAGTCATTGACTCAGACAGCTTCGAAACAAACTTCACCAGCACATAGTTCGACACCTAAAGCTAGTCCAGCAAGAAAAGCTTCAGCTTGTAAAACATCGAGTGCCAAAGTAACAGACTCGCCAACAAATAGTAAAATACCTGTGGCTGCTACTTCTGCAGCTGGTGGTTCTGATGAACAATGGATTGATGGTCCACGAATATCTAAATCAAAAGTGGCAGAAGCTAGACATCTATTTAAAGATTCCCATCACAAACGAGAAACTTGGATTGATGGTCCAATGCAGCTCACGAGCACACCGCTTGTTCATAGTCAACAGCACTCCACTGGCTATGGTTTTATGGACAATCACAAGAAGATTATGATAAGAAAGTGGGTGGAGAATCAGTCGTCACAGATTCAACGCGCGAAGCACGCGGCATCGAGATCAGAATCTAAATCAGGCCAATCATTTGGTATTTTCAAGGAAATAACGAGTTTCAAGATGTGCGATGATAATGAGGATGATACGTCACTGTCGACTGTAGGCAGTGATAGTTTAAAAACGACTGACGCTGAAGATATTACGGAAAAAGTAGGAGTCAGACTAAATTTACTCAATGTCAAATCTAACACAGATTCGGGTTTGGATCTCACAGCAAGTCCAGTGCTTGATGATAGTATCGACAAGTGTCGCGGTTTAGATACACAAGATGAAGAAGATGATGATGAGGAAATTGTCGTGCCACCTCCGCTACCACTCATCGAGCCATTGAGTAATGGTGTGAGCAGGGAAGTTTCTATGGAGAGTCTTAATTTGTCGCATAAAGATATTGTTCTGCCCTCCAGGCACTCATTATCTTCTGAAGACGAAATTCTAGAGATTGTAGAGGTTGAAGATCTTGAACCTGTACCTATGCAAGATTCTTGTCTACAAGTTACTGAAGAAGACATTGCCTTGTGCATGGGTGAAAATCCTTTACCAGAAAGCGATCAAGAAGAACATCCACTCAGGATCTTAAGTCAAGAAAACTTAACCATCGTCTCGACATTTACTGGTAAGTTTTTTATTGCTTTATCTAAAAAGCAAACTCATATCCAACAAAAGTCAATATATCCGTAATCTGAAAACCTTCCAAACTTTGTGGATTACTTTTTCAAGTACCATTAAGGTCCCACATAATCCTATTTATTCTTTCAAACTCTTTACTAATGCTGAGAATTTTCCAGATACGTATATTTTGAAATGTAAGTAAAGAAATACTTTATTTTACAGATTCCATGTCCGTCATGTCAGATAGTGAACGCTATAAGCCTCAGTTTCCATCGTCAATAGGTACAGGTGTTCTACCAAGACCGTACTTTGACCATGAGGACTTTCTTGAACAGGAAACTCGCCACAAGTTTGATCAATTGGCTCGACTTCATGAACTCTACCAAAGTAAACTTGCCCTAGCCAATGTCTCTAATTCAGTGACTTATCAAAGAGAAAATTCATCTGTTATTAGTGTCCGCGACGTTCCTTGTAAGTTTTTTTTTCAAAATATTGTTAGATTTCATATATCTTTAAAGAACAACTAATCAATTTATTTTCCTATTCCTTATTCTAGTTTATAAAAAAAAAAAAAAATTTATGAGGAAATATTTATGTATATTGGAACTCAAACTACTTGAAGTAGAATAAAATCTTCAAATTTATTTCATAAAACATTTAGAATCATATACAATATACTTTTATTCCATAGATATCAAAAAAAACTTTATAAATAATAAATTTTATGTTCAAAGTTATTTTGTTAGTTAAATTTACAAAATAAAATATTGATTTTATTAAAGTTTACCAATAAGTAAATTCATGGCAGAAAATAAGATTTTATTCGCAGTAAATCTCAGAACAAATAAAAACAAATTATCATAGTTATTTTAAAAATAAGAAAATAAAGAAAAAAACTAATAGCAAAATATATTTCAGCTGCAAATGTCTTCCGTCCACCATCTCGCTGCCAATCTCTGTCACTCACAGATGTTCTGTTCAATGATAATGCAAGCAACCACGGCAGCATTTATAGTGAGCCAGCATATATTGCTGGTAAAGATGAGCAAGAAAAAATCTGCGATAATTGCCGACAAAGCATGTCACGTCCAGCTACAGCTTCTTACTGGTATCCTAGTAGTGTAGCTCACTTAGCCAGTCCACGAAGATATTGCGGAAAATTGGGGGAGTGCAATATTTCTAGTCTCAGGCACCCCGATGGTGCTTCTAATCCTAATTTAAAGGAGGAAATTGAAAGGATACCCGGAAATGGAGCATCAGGATCGGACCCTGAAGAAGAGTATATTGAAGCGAAAAAACTGTTTACTACATCCGAGAGAACTGAAAGGACTGTCACTGGAAAATCAGATATTGAAGAAGAAACGAAAGTTCCAGGTATTTTTGCATTTTATTTAAATAAGAAATAAATAGACATACGTCTCCGGTATTAAAATAAATTACAAAATTTATTGTTAACTTCTTAAAAGCTGTTAAAAGTTTTAGACGTTAAGTAAAAAAGAGTGAGTTAAAAATTGAAATTCCTCTATAAAACCGTTAGTCATTGTTTCATTTTATTAAAGAAATGATTAAAAAGGATTTTAAAAGCTACGAGAAACAATTGAAAAAACGTTTTAATAAAGCAAGATTCCGTTTTTATCGTACGATTTAAGGTAATAAGAAAAGAAAGAAGTTAAAGAGCAGAATAAAGTTCGTAAAGATGTAGTTATTCTTTTCATTTTCTTATAGCTTTTCATTCTTTGTGTACGTTATCGAGCATTTATCTATTTCCTTGAACTTTCTATAAACTTTAGAATTTCAACAAAAATGTCAAGCATTGTCTTAATAAAAATAAAAGTTGAACAAACTTTCAATGAATGAAATTAATTAAACTTCAAAGCTCATATCTCATCAAACTCTGTTGCTTTTAAGTTTATAATTATTGTTTAATTATTTCAGTTAACGTTCCTCTACAATTGTCCATTCCGTCCTCACTACCGTCCTCTGGCCGAATGCAACGTAAAATACTAAGTTTGGGCTCATCCCTTGGTCTGAATCGAGAGAGTTATGATTCTGGTGCAGATTCAACACCTCGGGCTGCAAAACTTTCCCCGGCGACTCTCTCAAGGCATCGTGCTGAAAGTTCCGGTTATGACAGCGTAGTTAGAGACAGTGAAATCAGTAGTATTGCTAGTGATTCATCAAGGCAAACTAGTGCTCTTCAAGAGCATCAAGGTAAGTTGATAGACTAACTCATTCAAGCAACAATTGTTAGATACTTTCGCGTAACCCAATTTAGTTTCTTACATTTCATTTTCATTAAACTTTATTTTATCATCACATCACTACCTGATTGTCCTTTGTAGAATTTTTGGTTCTTAAAAATTATTAGCAAACCTCTAAATCGCCCCTATCGCACAATGGTTCTCTTCAGGTGGCGCACTGGGGGTTCTAACGTCGACGTTGTGCGGATGTTTCAGCGGTGGGACAGCTGGCAGAGTTCGTGCAACACGTTCAACAGGAAGTACCCGTGGCAATTCTCGCTTACACAGGCGAGGACGTGGAAATCTTGGATCGACGCGGGCGAATACGCTCGGAACCACGTGGAGTAATGTTCAAGATAAACAACCTTCGTCTGCGCCAACGGCTTCTTAAAATTGAACTCCGTGATGCCAAAAGACGACTTTTGATTCCAGATGATCGGTGGAGTTATGACTGTAAGAAGTGATTGATTATCTTCTTTATTTATTAAAATCACATCGCTTTTTTTCATCTTCAAAACTCAAATACTTTATGTCAAATATTTCAATGCAATTGCTAATATCCTAATAAAGAAAATATAATTTATTTCAATATTAATTATTTCTTTTCATTCTTAGATAGAATTAAAACACATCATAGCGAAGAATTTTTTTTAAAATATCAATTTATTATTAAAATCGAGACTGATAATTTTTTATTATGATTTACAGTACACGTAGAAAATAGTATGGATTGGAAAGATTCAGCATTTATCGAAGCACTGGAGGCTGAAACCTTGATACTGCAAAAGAGAGTTGAAGCTTGCAAGAGTCACGTACTCCTTGTGACATGCTTTGATTCATATCCACATTTAAGAAGGCCTAACGAAACACTGCCAAAAATCGGGATCTCTTAACATAGACTGACATGAGATCATCGCAGTCAAAGAACTGATTATTGTCATTCACACCATAATCATTAGCATTTCAATTAATTATTCATATAGACTCAATACACACAGTAAAGACAGGATGATTAAATACAGATACAACAAATAAATCACATAACATAACCAAATCACAGTGAGCAACAGACTGAAATTGAAAACCAAATTTCCACAAATTATGATAAAGACTGTGAATTTATGCTATAAAAAGATTTTTAAAGCAGAAAAATTAGAGCGTTGCGTTTTTACATAAACTACTTGACTCGTAGTCAAACTATAACTTAGATTTAGAGTCATTCAGATAGATAAAAAAAATTAAATTACGACCAAAGTCAATTTTTTTGATGACGTTGGAACAATTTGTGTCAAATTTATCGATTTCACTTTATATAGATTCTAAATTTCTGATGAAAAAGACTGATAGATGTCTTGAACATCCAGCACAAAGAAACATCTTTTCAATAGTCTATAGACATCTGAAAGTCAAATTAACAAATTTTATACATTATTTCAATACCGTATTGTACGATTTGGAGAATTCCGGGCGTTACTCAATTGCCAAAAGAATATAAATATTTAATAAATAGTAAATTTAACAAAGAAAATGAATAAATAAAAAGAAATTAATAATGATTATAAAATGCCATAAAATACTATATATTAATGCACGCTCGTACATTCAAAATATTGTCGTAGCTTTAATTATTAATCATGATTACCGCACATCGTAGAATTCTATAATTGATGTAGACTCTCGCAACGACTTATTCAATTCTTTTCAAAGAATAGGCTGCAACTCAATTCATCATTTATCCAATTATGCCCATACATCAATAGAATAATCATGTTTGAAATTTTATAAAATCACTTTTTACTCTTTTCAAATTTTTATATTTACAATATACACCGTTTTTTATACAATAATTTTATTCAATTCAGTACATTATTGAATTAACCAATTTTTGGTTGAAAAAATTTTTAAATGAATGATAACATTTTAAAATGTTGAAAATATTGTTTATAGTTGTAAATGGATTCATTTAATGAATCATGGCTAATTGGGCATATTTGGAGCTGATTTACTTTTGTAACACCATCATAAAATAAATGAATTGTTAACAGATTACTCCAAATGAATGATGCATTTCATTTTCAAGTAATCAAGTGCCATAATTGACTGATCCAACAATAAAGTATTGATTTGTTTCAGGATTAGTAGCAATACTTAATTTTTGATGTATAGAGTATGTAAAAAAGAATATAAAAAACTGCCGAATTAAATAAAAAAAGTACTGCTCACTTAACCAGAAACTTCGGACGGCAATACCGTGATACAAATTAGCGTCCGTCTGTAGTAAAAAAAAAACTTCGATTTATTATTAAATTAAAATCATCTTTGTATTATAGCTCTTGTATTATATCTATATTTTATATGTACAAATTAGCAATGTAATTTCTTGTAATAAAGAATAATCTAGAATGTATTACGAACGTGATTTATATGTAATAATTTTCCTCCACACCAAGCCAATCACAATTAACTCAGTCATCTGCGATTATTGATGCTGATATTTCACTGATAAAACCTGCATTACCATAAAGATTATATGTAACTCATGTTCTCATGAATGTTTTTATTGAAGAGCATGAAGAAGAATCTTGAATGTAATAGGGACAACGCAATAGTCGAAATTGGTGTGCAAATTCAGGTCCACCTCCGGTCATTTGGATTCTTGATTTCGCAATGTTTCCGTGAGCCCACGCACTTACATGGATCCCATATCAGTTATTCACTTAAAAGCTGCACCCTTAGCTCTGGGCAATTGTCTCTGACAACTATGATAGTTATAGAAAAATTAATAATCATTAATGAAATAGATTATCCTATTAAGTAAAACATATTTCGGATAATTAAATGAACTCTTGAGCAGATTAGAGAAACGACGTCGGCTTCGTTTACGGGGACTACGTCATCGTCGAATATTGGAGCAGATGCGAGCTGTTCTATTCTCTTGTCCATGTAGACGTTTGAAAAGCATCGCGGGAATCCGATTAAACTTTAAAAAGGGTGGGGGATTTTACTGCTACTCGACACTCAAATTTATCGCAGTCACGAGTTTGTATTCCCAGAGCAAGCGGCTCCAAGTAAAGACGATTAGGAGGTGGTGACCGAGTGTCGTTGATCAGTTGCATTAGGACACTCTGCGAGAATGGCTCGTCATACTTGCGAGGTCTTCATATTAGCCCTCGTGATCTTCACCCCGGTGTTTGCTTTAACTAAGGACAATTTATATCCCTATACAGGATCTACTTCACGCTACCTTCAAACCGATCCAAATGGCCAACTCTTATCAGCTGAAGTTCAACTAAAAACACCAATTTCTTTTTACGACAAAATTTACGAGAGTATTTATGTAAGTACTACTTTTATTACATCATGAAGGTAATCCTAAAGCTGTCAGAAAGAATATCATCAAAATGTTGCGAATGTTTTTTATGTTGTTAATCATTAATTATTATTTATAAGCTAGTAATTAAATCATTACATAAGTTATCAATTACTCATTAATGTTTAATTGTGAAAGTAAAAGGCAGGATACAAACGTGACTTCACACTTCTAAGAACAGCAGCTTATTAAAAACAGTGGGATTAATGTTTACGGAATCAGCAATCGTGTAAATAGTTATTGATCAAGCCTCAGGCTTTAAATTTATTGAATATTGCTGGAAAGATTTTCTTCTTTAACTTCCGTGAGATTCTTTATTCGTTACTGATGTAATAAGAAAGATTAACTCCTGCTTATAAATAACAAATATACGATTAATTTATCGAAAAAGTCAAGGATTTATTTTTAATGAAATTAAAACACCAACAATTTCATTTTCATTATCACTATGTTCTTCTTATAATATTTTTTTTTTTTTGCATACTAATTCATTAATAAAATCAATTGAGATTTTTGTCACGAAAAATTCTAAATAATTTATGTAATCTTTAACAAGTCATCTTGAATTATCTTGAATAACTTTAATCAAGTTTTTTAAACAAATAATTATGAAAGAATGACATTATGTACGAATTTACTGAATAACGAGTATGCAAACTTAGAGGTTCAAGCTTGTGAAATTAAGTGAAAAATAGAGATTGTGATGTAGAGAGGACAAATGTCTACTTAGAGAAACTGCCTACACGATGATCATCTCCATTCCAAGTTGTCATAGACGATTTTAGTCATCAAAATGATTGTACTCGATTACACGATTGCGTTAACGCTTTTATCATCATGAGAACTAACGTTTTCTTAGACATAGTCTACGTAATAATGACGTGCTCAACACTTTGATGACGTCCAGTCTATTAATTTAAAATCAATTACTACGTTTTCATGGAGTAAAAATATTTTCTTTGATGCATGGAATCATTTGAAACTTGATGATAGTAATCACACTTAATGATAACAAATTAATTTATATATCACTCAATCACCTACTCTATTCAGTCATGAGTTGAGTATCTGTTTTCACAGATTCCTCTTATTCACAATCATGATTCCACATGCACGTGTATTTGTGTGAGTGCCATCAGTGCTAAATGACCTCTGACCCTGTGATAGCCTCGACAAACGATAGCGTCCTGTTTCATTTTCTGTCGCAGTTGGGTGTAAAAAGCTCTCAATATCGAAACTAATAAATCGGTATTTGATTTCTATCAACAGTAAACATTACATCAGTATAATCATTCATAAGTAAATGATGATGTTCATGTTAACAACTGTGATGATATTAAATAACACTTCCACTTTTTGTTGAAGAAAAAAATTGAATTTTAATTTCTAACATAATTAGAAATTATACAACATCAAGACTAGCTCTGAATGAGTAGTTTTGATGCATTAGAATTTTTTTATACAAATTATTCAATGAAGATGAATTATTATCCACTGTCTATAGTAAAACGTAATAACATCGTTAATCATTGAAAGCAGTAAGTCGTTTAAATTTAAACATTCACTAATACAATCACAAGTTTCTACTTGATGATTTTTTCATTAATACATATTTTCATCTAAATATAACTCATGTTGACACGACACATTGGATCTTGGTAGTTATTTTATCATATTATTATTCCTACTCTTTTCTAAATTATTTTAGACATCTGACAAATTGTAAAAAAATTCATGTCAACAATAGAGATAGCTGTCAAACCATTTATTTCATGGAATTAGGCAATTGGTGATCAGATTAATCATTTTGGACATTAGAATAATAGATTTAGGGAATAAAAATGAAGTGAGAACCCCAGTAGTTCCTTGTATGTATCATAAAAGAGTACGAGAATCAGAATACTGTCGAGTTCTCACATATTTGCATGAACTGTTGAACGATTCAGTCAAAGGGCGTCCTAGAAAAGCACACAATTCTTTACTTAACAATGCAGATGAAGTCATAAGATGTTACATTTCACTTTAGCCAATTAATAAAATCATAATGTAACGCTATATATATATTTAGATCTCGTATCAGGAAAGAGGGAAAAGTTAAAGACAACGAATCTGACGCATTAGCGCTTTCCAAATGTATAAATGAGATGTCTGGACATTCTTAATGCAGGATTAATGGGTGAATGACTTCAGTAGTAATAGTAATTTACGTGGATGCTGAGCGGAGGAATACTGAGTCATAAAGAAGTCAAAGCTAATTGACGCGTTCTTCATGTCATTGTAACATTTATCCACGCGTTTATGATTGTCTCCGCTGATTTGCTTTAATAGATTATTCTCATGCTTCTTTTCTTCTTCTTCTTCTCTGCTTCTATCACTTTAATATTTAGTTTGCTACCCATTCACTTAATTTAACACTTATTTGATTGATCTTTCAATTAATGAGCTTATTCAAGCATCAAGAAAGAATCCAATATTTCTCAATGAAAAAAATGGTCTCTATGAGACTTAAAAAAATATTCATTTGATTAGACAAAAAGAAATAATATTAATTGAGTGTTCTTCACTGAAATAAAAACAAAAATGGAATAAATTCAGTTAAATTCTGATTTATTTATAAAGACAGTATTTTTCATTTTGCTCAATAGCTATGATTTAATACGGATTTAGCTACACACATAAAATAGAGTTATGCTGTTTTCATATACCTATTTAATCCGTGATAAATCGTAGTTTATTTTATTAAAAAAACCGAACAAAAATCAGAAATCAACTTTAAAGCAAACCAACTTGATATTCTATTCCAAATCAATGACGTTTATTATTTATATGTTAATTTTTATTTCAAAATGTTAATAAATTATGATGAAAATTTGATTTAATTCAATAAATACCTCCTTAGGTAAACGGAAATGGCGTTTTATCATTTATCCGATCAATGCAGAGATTCTTCAACATTGCCTTTCCACTAGATGATCCAGTAATTGCGCCACTCTATACTCACGTAGACACAAAAGGTTCAGGAACGATCTTTTATGAGGAAACCGATAACCCCGAAATCCTTTCACGTGCTAGTGGAATGGTTCGCGCTTCATTCAAGAATGCTCAGAATTTTATGCCAACCCACGTTTTTCTAACAACTTGGGTCGACGTGGGATATTTCAATGAGAAAAGAGACAAGGTAATACCACCAACTACCTTAAATCTTTCTTGACTGTTTTATTTTTATTATCGATTATATAGACCCAAATCTCTTTATAGGTCAATACGTATCAAGTCGCCATCAGTTCCAATGGCACGCATTCTTACGCTGAACTTCTTTATCCCAATGGAGGTATCCAATGGATTCAAGGTGAATCACATCCAAATGGACTTCCAGATGCTAGAGCACAAGCTGGCTTTATGAGTGAAGGAAAAATGTACACTCTTAAAGGATCTGGAACTGATCAAATTCAAAATATAGACAAGTAAGAATAAAATTAAAATCACATGAACGTCCTTAATGTAAGTCAGTAGGTCAATGGTGGTTTTCAAACTATAGAAGCATGCTAAGTACTCATTTCCTATTCTAGATGGTCTAATATCAATAGACCAGGTCAATGGATATTCCAAATCGGGCCAATTGCTGACGGACAAAACATTAAAGTTCCAGACAATATTGAAAGTATGTCAGTTTTATTTAAACCACTTTTTTTAAATTTATTGCCTTGGCGGATAACAATAAACTTTTCACTTTCTTTCTTTAACAATTTCTTTCCATTCGTGCTAACGAACAAACCCTGATTTTTTGTGTTGAATTCAGCTGAAGAATAATTTTCTATTTGCGTTCTAATTTTTTTCTACCAGTTTTAAACTTTTGTGCTGAGCTTCTCCAATGATAATATTCATATGGAAAATTGCCATTATTTTACATGGCATATTATCGATTCAATGGCACTTTGTGTTTATTAATCATTCAAGAAATTATTTTGCGAAAATGGAGCATCAAACTCGGATAATATGCATCTCTAATTAAGCAAAATGTAGAGAGTTTTACTGATTAATTAAAAATTTTATCTGCTATTGAAAATGGAGGGGTTTCAAATTATTCATCAAAGATTTAACTAAAAAGTATCATTCTCCATAGGAAATAAATGAGATATTTCAACAATGTTTCGATATGAATTTTAAATTTGATTAATAAATAAATAATTATAATAATTTTTGAAATAGAATTCATTATTCACTTTTTTAAAAGCTTTATCTGAAAATTTAAGTCTCTTTAACGAGTGATAACTGGATAACTGAGCTCATGTTGTAAAACTTTCTAAAGTTACAAGAACTCAAAAGCAATTGAAATGACATCTCTCTTAAACAAAATTCCCTTTTTTACTTTATACCAAATCCGTCAGGGTACTGTTATTCTTTATCTCTGTACCTTTTAATTGGCAATTAAATCTTCCAAAATTCTTAATCTTTTCCATACTAACGTTTGTCAACGTGCCACTCGCGCGTCAAGCGTTTAACAATTTGTTTCCAGAGTCCAATCAACCTACTGACCAGACTTGTATGACTGGAGCAACAACTTGTCACAGTAAAGCGACTTGCATCGACTACGAGTATGGTTATTGTTGCAGTTGTAAGCAAGGATTCTTCGGCAATGGAAAATCCTGTCAACCGAATGGTACAATTTTTTTTGTTTTGTTTCGTTTCGTTTGATCTATTCACAGTGTGTACTTTTCTTTGTACTACAAGGCACAAAGTAGAGTATTCAAGAGCCGCGAAATGGATCGTTGACGCTTTTGAGTCGAGTTCTTTGTATATTTTTATCAAAGATACCGTTTCTACTTTTACTAGTGGAATAAGAGCCGCAGGCCCAGCCAAATACAAAGAAAAACAAACGAAAAATGAGCTTAATTTTCAGTGTCTGTACCACTGGGACTGTTACTTTAATAAGCGAAAAACTTTCAGATTTACCTCTACGAGTAATTGGCCGAATTTCCGGAAAGATAAACGATGAAGAATTCTCCGGTAGGGATCTTCAATGTTATGTACAGACCAAGGATGGTAGAACTTATACTGCACTCTCGAGGATACCTGAAAATATTGGTCAAAACTTCCAATTATTAAGTACTTTAGGTGGCATTATTGGATGGTTGTTTGCCAAACCAATTGGAAAAACGCAAAATGGGTATCAACTCACCGGTACGTATTCAAGTTCTGTATAAAATAGATTTCACAAAGTTTTATCAAGTTTTCTTGTTCAATTATTGAAGATTACCGACAAGAAGTAATTCATTCACATTTAACTTTGATTCAAATATTAAATTTTATCATTTCATACTCCTTCATCTTCTTAATACCCTTTTAATTACTCAATTAAAAACCACTAATCAATGTATATTACATAAATGGTTCTCTCTCTTCTGTTAAATATCTTACTAATTGTATTTTAATTTTATAAAAAAAATTTAATGAAGATAAAATCAAAGTAGTACTTTTAACAATGTTGAAAGAAAAAAAAATCATGACTTCTGCTAACAACTTTTTTTTCCAATCTAGGAGGTTTATTTAACCACACAGCTGAGTTGGTATTTGGTACAGGAGAAAGAATCACAATAAAAAGCACATATTTGGGATTAGATGTCTTTGGTCAGCTCAAAATGGAGGCTGATATCCAAGGAACTCTACCACAACTTCCACGCGAAGCAAAGGTTGATTACGGTGATCATGATGAACTCTATACACTGAGTCAAAGAGGAAGTATCAGGTCACACAGCAATAGATTTTACAAGCTCAATGGAGACTCTACAGAGTATCCATTTACTTTAGATCAATCGATAATGTATCATGATTGTCCTTATGACACTTCAACTCCTGTTGACGAAACTACCAAACTCAAATTCTCACGTGGATTAACCACGTACGAATCTCGTGAGGGAATTTTGCGTTTTGCTATGAATACTAAAATAACGCCATTGGAAGAAGAAGATCCTTGTATTCAAGGAAGAGCAACCTGCAGTGATCATAGCTCTTGTGTAGTAGATGGTGACGATTTTAGATGTGTTTGTAACACTGGATATCAACAGTTATATGAAGAAAATGGAAGTTCTTCTTGTGTAGACATCAATGAATGTACTAGCGGCTATCACTTATGTTCTCCTGATGCACAGTGCATTAATAATGAAGGAGGGCACATTTGCGAGTGTAGACCAGGATTCACGGGAGATGGAAGACACTGTGAAAGTAAATACATTTGAATATCATTATACATATATATGATTTTATATTATTATTGAATACTTAAAATCTCTTTAAAAAGACTTTGCTAGCAAACAACTTTTCACTTTATTCATTGAAATATCACAATTATCACAGAATATTTGTAGACTTTGATGTTTAAATGAAATATTCAAAAACTGTTCAGTAAAAGGAAAATTAGGAACATGGAGATGTATTTACCTTTTGCTCGTTGCTATCAATTTATCTCAACACTTATTTTTCATTAGGAGTATCCACTTGTGAAGATATACGATGTGGTGATTTCGAACAGTGTACGATGGTAAATGGGAAGCCAGTATGTTCATGTATTATGGGATTTGTAAATAATGGACCTGGATTGCCTTGTATGCCTCTTGAAGGTGAATAACAACGTATTTCATTACAAAAATATCATTAGTACTTGACAATTGTAATTCACCCTTAGCTTAAAGTTTTCATGAAACATTTAACACTTCAAATACCATTGTGATGAATTTATTAAAATGTATTAAATTTTCAGACCCATGTAATTTAGCCAACAATTGTTCTCCTCAAGGAACATGCACTTATGATACAGATCGCCAACATCACATTTGCATATGTCTTCCTGGATTTGTTGGTAAAGTAAAATGAACATTTATTTCATATTCAGAATAATTTTCTACCAGACGTATGATGAATGTACGATGTATAGGGGATGGATACACATGCTATGCGCAATCTGAAGTAACTGGCTCAACTGAAGAACCTCCTACACCCCATTGCGAAGCTGAGATGTGTTGGTGTCCACCAGAATGGGAATTCCGAGATAATGTCTGTGTTGAATCTAATAAAAATCAATTTGGAACCTCATCCTACTCATCTAACAAAAATCGTAAGTGATAAAATAATTCCTTTATCACCATATCAATTCCCCGAGTGATTTTATTGAGCATGAAGAGCGATTTGCTTGCATAAAATTGGTTGAACAAATAGAATGGAAAGAGTGTTGATTGAATTTTTATGCATCGTTACTAGATATTTCCGATAAAAAGGTTCTACATCAAAAGTGTAAAATTATAAATAAATAAGTATCGAGTTTGTATGATAATACTGGACAGAATTGCAACGTGAATTTTAGTAGCTGCACAGCCACTCCCGGAATGCTTGAAGGACAACTGCATTTGTCCCTGGGGATACGATTACTACCCACTGGACGACAGTTGCGTCCCTCAACCAGGATACAAGCACGAGACGATGGGTCCCTCAGGATCCCACTGTACGCATGACTCGCTCGGCTTAATATCTACACAATTCAACATGTACCTGTGTACTTGTTGGCTTTGCATGTTAACAAATGACTGCATCTTGCGAATAAATAAAATGTTTAATAATATCAATCATACCATCTATTTATTTAACTTTAATGCATATAGAAAATAAAATACTGTAGAAATAACAAAAAAGTATTTTAAATACTTTAATTATTTCCTTTTAAATGAATTCAACAGTATTTTTTCATTAGTTATGTCGATTGCTTTTTCAGAATTCTACTATTTTCATTTCATTATTCACTCATTGATTTATTATAAGTTAAAAACACTTTCTAAACTCCAGGGATTTATATTTATTTAACAAAAAGAAAGTATGAACAAGATGTAATATAAGAGTTTTGGTCTTGAAGATCTATTTCATCAACTTCAATTAATTAAAATTGCTGATTTAATTAATTAGAAATTAAACTTTAGACTTGAAATATGTTGGAAGTATACTTGGGCAATTTAACTTTTGTATTAATTAATTTATTGGGTTTAATCTGAAATGAAGTTTATAAGAGCTGATAAAATTTATCTTTTAATAAAGAAGAATATCATAATTGAAGAATAAATATTTAAAAATTAACGATTATTCATCCACTACTTTCACTCTGTGATTAACTCCGTTCACACGTTTAGATTAATATTTGTAATAATTAAATGTTTTTGAAGTAGTTAAAGTAGAATTTGATAATTTAACGATTGCATTTACTCACAGTATCTTGCAACGTCGTAAACACATGTCACCCGTATGCTCAATGTGTCTTTATCAAGGAAACCGAGGACTATGAATGCCGATGTAATTCTGGATATACAGGTGATGGAACTGAATGTGTCAAAGTAGGTAAGTTTGCATCTGAAATTTTTTGAATTTTAATTATTAAAACTATTAAAGTATTGATTGATTTTGAAATATAACAGTATAGTATAATAATCCTAATAGCAGAGTAGAGTAATTATTAATCAATTGCCTGACTAAATTTTAATTAGATGTATCGTGCTTGGAAATTGATATTTGTGATCCTAATGCATGGTGCCGTTCTGACGAGCCAATAGCCAGATGTGTCTGCAATCCAGGATATGAAGGAGATGGACTCTCATGTTACCTTATTGGTGCTCTTATATTATCTATTTTATAATAAAAACTAAATTGGTGTCATTATTACTATTATATGTAATAATAGTTCTTTATTTGCAGATGAATGTAGTGATCATTCGGGGTGCGATGAGGACGAGATGTGCTCGTACAACCCTTCAAAATCTCGTTATGAATGCACTTGTAGACCAGGCTTCACTTCAGTTGATGACCGATGTGTAGCAGACGACTGTTCTACCAATCCTGGTCAATGCCATATAAATGGCGAGTGTGTGGCAAGTAATGATGGATACAAATGTGTTTGCATAAGTGGCTACCACGGTGATGGAATTAATCAATGTGTTGAAGAACATATTGGATGTAATGTACTCAATAATTGCGGGAACAATGCAGTCTGTGGGTACAATCAAACCTCCAGAAATTTTGCCTGTGTTTGTTTATCTGTAAGTATACAAAAATGAAAATAATTAATTTTTTTAAATAACTTTTTTTATATTTTATCAACTATTACACAATGAGCTTGCCCATGAATTACTCATTGTTAAGTCAAATTGAGTCGTTTAAGTTAATGACAAAGTTTCATCACTGTGTTATAAGGATAAAAACTTTTTTTAAATTAGCAAAAAAACAATTTTTCAAGTATCATTTTTCGGAATGAGTTCACATGAAGGCTTGCTTTGTAAACTTATAAATGATTCTTTTTATTATTAAGAATAATTTTCTCATAAATAGAACTTCTTACAAATTTTCTCTGTACTACTTATATTATCTTCAAAGAAGTTAATAGATTTAGAAAACCTTCATAATGCTGTTTTCTATAATTTACATCTTGTTTTGATTAAAATTTTTTTGCTAATCACAAAGGAAACAGTAATTACATAACTATATATAGTTATATTTTAAGAGTTCAATATTTTTTTCGATCATGACAACTATTAACTTTTTTCATTAAATGCCTAAGTGATTGCATGAAAACAACATTGAAAATAATTTTCCAATGATTTTCATGAAATTTTATGAAGTAATTTTTTCGATTAAAAGATAAATCTACTTTGGAATAATGATCATAGCCACGATATTCGTATTAACATTCATTACCTTGACTATTAGTGAAGATCATTTAAATTGAATTAATCAAAATCCTCAAATCAAAACTCGACAGTATTTTACATAATTTGATATAAATCTATGTCAACTCGGTCGTTGAACTAATATTCTCCAATTTTCTAAAAATACTGACACGAGTTGAAATAAATCTTATGATTAATTGTGTAGGGTTTTTATGGTGATGGATACAACTGTTATCCACAAGCGTCATGTCGAGAGGACCCTAATATTTGTGCAAGAAATGCAACATGTGTAGCTGTCAGTGGCAGCAATTTTGCTTGCGTATGCAATGAGGGATTCACTGGTGATGGATTTAACTGCAAAGCTAAGCCTAAGCAATTAGCTAATTTTTTACTCGTCAATCAAGGCATGGCTACTTTGAGGATTCCATATTTCCCGACTGCAGCACATCCTGGTTCTCCAATTCACCTGGATTATGCGCAGATGGCAATTGCTATTGATATTGATTGTGCTGCTGGTAATGCATACATCAGTGATATTACTGGCAATAAAATTAAAAAATTATCATATAATGGATCACATGTTGAGACTTTCCTTACTGGAGTTAGCAGTCCTGAAGGAATATCCATTGATTGGGTTGCCCGGACTCTTTTCTGGACTGATTCTGGTAAAGGAACAGTTGAAGTAGCTCATTTAGGTACTAAGAAAAGGAAGGTACTTGTTTCCGATGGTCTCGTCAATCCTCGAGGAATTGCTGTTCATCCTTATCGAGGGTTCGTTTTATTTTCTTCTTTTAAAAATGTTATTTCAAAAGATACAAGTTTCAGATAAACTTCAAGCTTTTTTCAGCTCTTAATAATTTCTTTATTTTTTTAAAATAAATAAAATTTTTTGTAGAAAAATATTTTGGTCAGATTGGAATAGATTGATGCCTAAATTAGAATGGGCTAATGAAGATGGAACGGGTCGTGAAATATTTCTAAGGGGAGATAGTATCATGTTACCGAATTCGTTGAGTATTGATTGGGGAACTGACGAATTATGTTGGACTGATGCTGGCACTTTTACAATCAGTATGTATTCATTAACTATCTATGTCACCCCTATAGAAATTAAGTAATTCATCATCATCATCTGATCAAATCAATACCTATAATTTAAGTTTAATTTAATTAAGTGGTTTATTTTTCAACAGGTTGCAGCCCTATTGATAATAAAGAAATTCGTGTCATTGTCAAAGAATTATCCTATCCTTTTGGATTAGCTATTTCTCAAGATAATTTCTACTGGACTGACTGGAAATCGTAATAAAACATCTCTTTTAATAACAATTAATATTAAAGATTAGCGTATAATTTTTTTTTAATTTCGTAGACATAAAATAGAAGTTCTATCTAAAGCCACTGGGGATCGAGAGAAATCTATTTCTGTACCTCCCGGAGGAAGCGGCAAACTTTATGGCATCGTTACAGTTCCAGAATCATGTCCTAGAAGTATATTCTCATTTATTTTCAATAAAAATTTTTTAACGATCATCCATAAAAATCTGTGAAAATATAATGATTGAATTTGATTTGTTATAGTATCAAACATGTGCCAATATGAAAACGGACGATGTCATAAAGATCAACTTTGTCTGCCTGACGGTCAAGGTGGACGAACATGTGCTTGTGCCGATGATGCCACTGGACCTTGCACAGAATCACGTTATACATTGTAGTGTAAAAATTGGAATCAACATTTTTCTATCGCGTTTATTATTATTTTATTACTATCATTATAATTATTTTACTATTATTATTAATTAGTTAATGTAATAATTAATTAATTAATTAATATGACTCATAATGCACGTTCCACAAAAATTTTTCATCAATTCAAACTAACATCATCTAAAGTATAGATTAAGTGTAATTTATAATCACAATTTATGGAAATTTTGTTATCATTAATATTTCAATTACTTTTTAATGATTATTTGTATTTTATTATTGTCAAATATCGATCACTTTGTATTATTTAATGAGAAAATAAAAATTCGTTCATAATTCCTAAATATTATGCAATTTTTCCTATTAATCATTATTTAGACTTATTCCTTTCAAATTGTTCTTTTAATTTAAACTTTTGAATTTTTCCACTCGTTGTTTTTGGAAATTCATTAACGATCTCTATGTATCGAGGTATCTTAAAGTGAGCAATCTTCCCTTTGGCATAAGATTTAAGGTCGTTCGCTGTAATTTGTGAATTTTCTTTGAGACGAATAGATGCACAAACCTCTTCACCGTAAACATCATCAGATACTCCAAAAACATGGGCCTCTAAGATGTTAGGATGGCTTTCCAAGAAACTTTCAATTTCCTGAAAAATAAACGCCAGAGATGAAACTGTGGTTAATCATCGTTTCGTTACCTAAATAATTTTTTTTATTTTACAAAATCCATGTTCGCTAAGATTTTTAATAACGAAAGTAAAGAGTTTAAAAGTTCCTTAAAGTTTAGATAGCTTAAAAATCACAACTATAAAATATATTATAGCAATAAATAGTGAGCATTCTGGTCAATATTTCTTTCACCTGTCACATATCCTCTATATTAAATATTTAAAGCTATTGAATTTGTTTTCGCTTCAAATTATTTTTCTTTATTTTTTGAAAATGAATTATATCAGAATATTATGTATTAACGAAATTTCCAAAAAACTTGGTATGATTAAACAATTTATGATTTTGAATTGACAAATTACTTTCGATATCGATAATATTTATTGAACGAAATAACAAACACGTATGGCTTGAAGGTAAATGACAGGAAAAGTCAATTGACTAAACACGAATAATTCATAAAACGACCTTTAAAAATTACTTATACCTTCGGAAAAATGTTTTCTCCACCGCGGATGATCATATCCTTTAATCTTCCGATGACTTCCCCATATCCATTCGCATGCAATATAAACTTATCTCCTGTTTTCAGCCAGCCGTCTTTATTTATTGTTTTCGATGTACTTTCAGGATCATTCCAATATCCCTTCATAATTGCGTATCCTCGTATCAAAAGTTCGCCTGGTGTACCAATAGGAACTATGGACCCCTTTTCGTCAACTACCTAGAAGTAAAAATATTAATTATTTCTTTTCAATATTATTCATTCTCTCAGAATATATTTCAACTAGACAAATTGATACAATTTTAAATTGAAACAAACGATTTATGAAATTACTTGACTTTTTATTGTTTACATGCAATTAATTTATGTGTATTTTGGTGAATAATTTTATTCAGTATTTTTAAAGTTAGGTGTTTAATCAAACTATATGATCTTCTAGTTTCAACAAAACGAATCTTGTTTCCTCTCAGTAGTCTCTTTTGAGCTCAAATAAAATTTATAGAAACAAGTAAATCTCTTCTTAGCCAGAAATAATTCTTTCTCTCAGTTCGTATAAATCTTTTGTGCCAAGATATAAATCAAAAATTTCATAAAATTCTTTTCTCAGTAACTTCAAATGATGAAAGTCGACAAATTTCATGTTTACTAACAAGTGAAAGTGATATTAATAAAAACAGAAAGCTCGGGCAACAGTATAATGATTACCATAACTTCAACATGATCGTGAACCCGGCCAACAGTAAAATCAGCCAACTCAAGTGGATCTCCAGGCTTCGTTTGAAAAACCATGGCAGTTGTTTCTGTCAATCCATATACGATCTTTAAAAAAAAGATTTTATATAATTCATAATTCAAAGATAACTTTATGTACCGTGAAAATCAAATTATTGATCTAAATAGAACAGCTGAATATTTATCTTCAGAATGTAGGAAATGTATGCACATAAATTTGCGCTGTTTCCAGCGATATGTGCATAGATAATAGCAAATAGGTAGAGTCATTGACCTCTTACTGAAGACATGGAAGGCAATACAACTTAGTATGAATGCCTGATAGCGCTTACACTTTTAGAGTATCAAGTGATCTTACCGTAGCCGCTTCAACGTGGAATATCCTTCGTATTTCCTTCAACAAATTTGGTGAGACATTCGCACCTCCGGATGTAGTCAATTTGAGGCTATCAATTGGGGCTTTTATACGATCTTGTACATCTAGCATGTTGACCTTAATAAAATACATAAGAATTATTACGGTAACTTTAATTACCTTATAAATATTTATGTTTTTAATATTAATAAAGTCTGATTAAAAATACCCTCACCCACATAGTTGGAGTACCATAAGCAACTGAACATTTTTCCTTTGCGATGGTATCTATTGAATTTTTCGGATTAAATGTCGGTGACTCTAGAACTAAAGTTGATCCTGAATAAACTCCAGCCATGAATCCATGTATCATACCAAAAGCATGAAAAAACGGAACATTCAGACAAACTTTGTGATGACTTGCAGGTAATCCAGCACGCTTTGCTGTCTGAAAGAAAAATTTTCATTTAAATTTCATTTGAAGTTATGTTTAATTTTGCTTATTTTATTACTTGTCTTCCATTATTCACAAACGATCTGTGAGATAATAATGGAGCTTTAGGATATCCAGTAGTTCCAGAAGTAAATTGAATATTACATCCATCGTAAGGTGAAATTTCATCTTGAGTAGCAGCAATTGCCTCGACTTCTGTTTTACTGCCAAGTGATTCAATGTCTGAAAGACGACGTGTACCTCTGTAAAAAATAAAAGAAAAATTATCGATCTTTTTGTCCGTGAATTGCAGGTTTTAGAGGCGAAAATAAATAGACTTCTGAAGCCATTAACCTAATTACAACAAAGTTTTGTAAATACTATCGAATAATAGATCAGTTCATCAGGATAGACATTGCAGTATTGATTTAATATTACGTAAAGATATTATAAAATTTTTGTGAACACTTTTCCTTATATTTATGATCCACTTCAATTTTTCTTTCGTTACTCGTCATCAGATCTTTTTTTCTTCTTTTTTATTATTTCCAATAAAAATTTATTGATAGCTCAAATTCATTTATTTCATTACACATAAAATTCATTGTTTAATAAAAATTTGTTCAACGTTAGACATTGGAATAATTCTTACGTTACATAATCATCCGACCACAAAATGATATGCTGCAAGGAAAGACATTCATTTTTGGCATTGAGTAGCATCAGTCCATAGTCTTGAGTTCTAAATTTAGCTGGAGCAATAACTGCGCTTACTTCAACCTTCTGTAAACAATAGTTTAACTCTTTTTGTTGATAAGCAGGATTAATACCAACCATAATAAAACCAGCACGACTAATAGCAACAAATGATATCATCCATTCATAGTCATTTGGACCCCAAAGTCCAACACGATCACCTTTTTTTAAACCAAGCTTTTTCAAACCTGCTGCCAATTTGTCAGCTCGACGAAGCACCTCAGCATACGTTAATCTCACTCCCTGATGAGCAGATACTAAACACTCTCGATGAGGCCATTGTTCAACTGCTGTATTTATTGCCTGACCTATTGTCATATCAACTATTGGTAATTCTCCAGGATAAAAACGGTAGGACAAATCCTGATTAACAGTTGAACAATACCACTTATTTAGATGCTTGTGATTTTTGATTATTGATACACCACATTGCCATATTTTTTTATTAAATTGTTTTTTAATTACAAACATTATTGTCGAGTCTTACTTTATGTACATTCCATTAATTATTCACGACATTAAAGAAGTTACATCGTCTGTTCTTCGTATTTATATAAGATAAGACAATTTTGAATCATAACCAGTATTAAGTAGGTACAAAGTGGGAGGTTATTGCGATAATACTAAAAAAATCTTATCTAGACTAATATGAATGAAGTACGATCTTCGACCGTGTCGTTATAAAAGAAATATAAAAATAGCTATATCAAGGTTTAAATGAGAATTTTTTATATATAATAAACATCATGATAGATTGGCATGATATAAGCGAGAAGCTATGGTCATAATAATGAATACTTCATCAATAAGAAATGCAATTTATAAATCGTGTTGTTCTTGATTTTTCCATTCACTTCTTGATAACTTATCGATGATAATTAATATAAAGACCTTGTTTTATGTCTTACATACTGATCTATCATCGTAAAATGAGTTTACTTATGAGTTTTCGAAACATATTTGTATACATATCAATTATTATTTCATAATTTCAATAAATAAATACTTGTAGATATTTCTATTGGAACAGTAAATAAATGAAAGGGTGAACTGCAGAGATTGACAATTGAATATACATGAGATCGAAAAATTGCTTGACGAAATAAACTAATTAATTTATTTCTAACATTAAAACTCAGGGTCTTTAGAATTGAATGTTTACTAAGTGATATCACTTGTATGTTGTTCTGGTAAGTACATGTGTTTCTTGAAGTGTGACAATGAAGAAAAGCTAGTTCAAGGCAAGTGTACCACGATGTACTAGTATCTTTGTAAGGTATAAATAAGACATGGGAGGCTCTGACAGATCGGTTAACAAGTAAATCACCAAGTAAAACCACTCAGTTAGCGGTGATTTATATGGATATATCTGGAGGGTCGAAAGGAGCTGGAGAAAGTGACAAAGTATCCACGTATTCACTGCAATGCGGGAAAGGCTCGTGCTTATCTAACCCAATCACATAAGAAACCAATATATTGGTTGAATTTTTTTACTCCAATAATATGATATAAAAAATCTATTACATACATACATATGTTCGATCTGAAATACCAAGAGATTTGGATGTAAATTATAAGTTCTTGTAGAAAAATGTAAGAACTTTATTTTTTAGTTAACAATATTTATATTAATGATCTTCTAAACATTAATGATCTTAAAAAAAGAGCAGATTAAAATAATTTTAGTAATGTAAAAGAATATTAAAATTAATTTTTAGTTAAAATAATAACTATTTCTGAAAAATTAATTAAATAAGTTGTAGAATAAAAAAATATTACTTGTTCCAAGAATGCTTAAGAAAAAGTACTAATTTAAAAAAAGTATTGATAAAGAAAATCGATAGAAAACTTAATAGAGTGTAAAATTAGTTTGAAAAATGAAAAGGAAAGATTTATCAAATGTTTATGATAAAATCTTTACGCATTAAAAAAATTCAATAATTATGTAAGGCTTATTGAGTTCTAGTTTTAATTATTATAAAATCAAGTATTGTATTACATTATGTAAATCTCTGATTTATTCATTTAGTTGAAATTTACATTAATTAAAAAGTACACCCTAAGTTGAGAATTTCTTTGAACTGATGATAAGACTATAATTTTCAAAACGTCTTTACTTTTTCGCTCCTTTAATTATATCTTGATTAATGATAAGAACAAAGTATCAAAGAAAATTTTACTTGGAGTTAAATAGAGTTAGAAAATAAGGTGTATGTACAAAATGTACTGATCTAAACGAAGAAGAGTATACACGATTGTTTAACTGAAAACTCGGGTATTCCCTGTGGCGTGCTGCTCTTAACCGGAAGTCGCGTGTCGGCGTGGCCGACTGGTACACTTCCCCTCATACCAACCACCCCTTTCTTATGTCTTAAATCGTGCCTATACCTCACTTCTCCACACAGAGTCGAATCCAACGTCTTTGTGAGGGTAACTTTACCTAACGAACCTCGGCAGCGTTATTCTGATTGGTCGATTCTGCACTACGAGTCCCAAAGCCACCCTCTTTTGTTACGAACCGTCTTCAGACTCGTGAGAATATTCGACGCGCGTACACCATTTTCACTTGACACTTATTTTACTGAAAATCGTTATCATTAATGTCTGAACGTTCCTAGACATACTTTAGAAATAGAATTTATTTTTATATCAACTTTACACTTGAGTTTTCCTCTTGAATTACAACGTGTGAAAAATCTGAGATTTATTTCAAGTCCAAAATGAAAGTGAAACGATTTAAATTAGTTGTTGAGTATAGTTGAAGATGACAAGTGTACCAGTGCACTAGGATGACTGATGTTGAGAGGAGATTCATTTACTTAAGTAATCTAATTGTAAGAATTGATCATCAAGTGAGGACTGTTTACGACCTCGCACCAGAAACAGAAGTGAAAGTATTAGATGGTAGTGAACAAGTCTCGTGGTCACCAAGATAATTAGAGACCTGACCATGAAAAGCTAATGAATGATCGTAATTCGCATCAACAATCTAATCACTTATTTATGCAGTAGTTAAAGAAAAAAATTGGAATAATTTAAAGTAGAAAATTCTTATCACAATAAAGTCATGTTATCATATCACGCTAAAAAAGCTAAGAGACCACAAAACGAGATAACATGAGTAGTAACAGCAAAAAAAATACTAAAGACGAGAAAAAAAGTTCATCAAATAAAGAGGAAAGCCCAAGTAATAAAGATGAAGCTGGAGGATCCGCATCAGGTGGAAGCAATGGACTGCCAAGTGCTGAACCTTCTCAGCCTGGTAGCAAGCCAGGATCAGCTGGTGCAACAGCTAGAGAAGGTGCACAAAGATTATTGGCTCTTGCAAGTCGTGGAGAATGGGCTCCAGTGGATCAGCTTCTTAAGACTTTGGAAAAAGCGGTACAAAATGTTGGAGAAGACGGCAATACCATGCCGCTTGCCGGTCTTATGGATCTGGTAAATGAAGTACTTTTCTTAGATTACAGCAATAATGAAAAAATTGTTATCCTATAAAAAAATTTATTATGTTTAATGATTCGTTTATCTAATTTAATATTAACATTGGCAATGAAGAATCTTACCTTACTTGTTGTCAATATAACCGATTATTTGATGTTATTAAGTTGTAAGTAGAAGTTATTAAAGGCTTTTTATTTTAAAAAAAAATTTGTTTTGAAAATTTATAGACAACAGGGATGACACCTTTGATGTATGCCGTCAAGGACAATCGTACAGCATTTTTAGATCGACTGATAGACCTTGGTGCTGACGTGGGTGCTCGTAACAATGTATGTAATATCTTCTATTTTTGCCAAATTATTTTCTTTATTATACATGATTATATTCAAATGTTTCAATGGAAACACGCTAGTTACGTAAGCCAAAAAAATATGCAGATGCTAAACAAATAAAGTTGTACATTAGGATAAATAAAAACAGTCATAAGCATAATTGTATCATAATACAATGCACATACAGAAATGAACATGAGAATTATTTAATAACACTAGACGAGCGAGTATTGCGTGAAGAAGGGCCAAGGCCAAGGTGTTAAGTAAATGAGCTAAGGAAGTAGGCCAGTCAAAGTCAGTAGAACAAAAAAAAAGTGGCTCGATACATAACTGAGATAAAAGCCCACGCAGTCATAAGTGTCGTGATTTTATTACAATCGTGACTAAGAAAATTTTTGTTGAGTAATGATGCCGGAAATTCTAAGTAGACGCAGGTCAATTAAGCCGTTTCCATATAAGTTCTATATGAACTTTTATAATGCACAGTCAAAGCTGCACGCATAACATCTTATCGACCACGCTAAACCGCTCCCCTTTGGCCCCGATATATGATTTTCAAATTGCATGCTAATAAACTCTGATTGGAACGATTTCACAGATTGAGGATTTTTCAAACACTAATGTTGGGCGCGGCAGAATGCAATTTACGATCTTATTACCTTATTGCTTGGTCTAACAATTTTAATTGTGTTTATCAAGTCTATCGTCTGCTATATCATCGTCTTTGTTTTATTGAAAAATAAATTAAGCTTTCATATTAGAGCTGAATACATTAATGATATTGAAATCGATATAGATACCGTCTTGATCATTATAATTTTTATTTTTATTATGAAGAACACGAAGATCATTTTTTCAAATAATTGTTGATAATATCAAGATTTAATCATCAATAAAAATGTTTTTGAACCTCGTAAGGGTCAAATTTAATTAACTGCATATTTAGATTGTAATAATTAAAAATGAGATAGTTTGATTAATGTTGACTACAAACATTTTCAATGAATTCATTTGATTTCATAACTGATAAACATTTTGCTTTAGGACAATTATAATGCACTCCACATATCAGCAATGTATTCTCGAGAGGATGTCGTCAAGCTCTTGCTGTCAAAGAAAGGAGTTGATCCTTATGCAGCTGGTGGCGTAAGTTGCCCATAAATGAATCAAACAGAAAAACAATAATGTAATTATGATGTATAATGATTAAAATAAAATCTCGTGTTTTTATGTGGTTAAAGCCTCGAAAACAAACTGCAGTTCATTTAGTAGCGTCACGGCAAACAGGAACAGCAACGTCAATACTTCGAGCCCTTTTGAATGCCTCAGGGAGAGATATTCGATTGATAAATGATGGTGTAAGTATTTTTCCAAAATAACTCTTGGAAAATTCGTATCCCATCTAAATGCCATCAATTTTTTGGGTTGAAAGAACGGAAAATTTAGAAAATTTGAACAATGTTATGGGAAGTTACTAGCATTGATGCAAAGTCGAATGTCTTTACATCGTTCGCGTGACAAGAGCCGCGGTATCGCCGCCTGGCACTACCGTTCTGCTCTCATATTCTTCATAATTCTTCTTTTCTTCCAAATATATTTTTTTAATACTCCGTCTTGAAAACAGATGATGCCTGAGGTTACGATTTTAAAGCGTTCATATATCATTGGTTTTCTTTCGGAGAACTCAAGCTAAGACCAAGTTCATGCAGAGAAAAAATAAAATATGTAATATATATCATGTACAGATAGAGTAATGTTACTTTAGATATAACAGTTCTTCCAATTTTCTATACTATGTAAGATATAACTAGAGACATAGATTTACAGAAAAAGAGTCAATATCGCCTTAGTGCTGACAAAAATTGGAAGAATGTTTTAAAGAGATTGACTGAATTGCTTGTATGTAAATCGGATTTGATGTTCTTAAAACTATCTTTGAAAAATTGGATATAATTGTTTGCTTACGAATTTTATAGAAAGGGAAAATTCCACTTCTTCTGGCAGTGGAAGCAGGTAATCAATCCATGTGTCGTGAATTGCTTGCCCAACAAGCACCTGACCAATTACGAGCAACAACGCCTGCAGGAGATACTGCTTTACATCTGGCTGCTCGAAGGCGTGATGTTGATATGGTCCGAATTCTCGTTGATTATGGAGCTCAAGTTGATATGCAAAATGTAAGTAACTGCACTAAAATAAAAGAATTATTTTAAAACAAAAAGGTTATTTCATCAGAAAAACATAATTAATTTAAATTATATATTATAAAATAATGAATGCTTTCAAGACAGGTTTTAATAAGTGATAGCTTTAGACAGTTATGATTAATTCTTATTCGTAATTTGATTTATTTGATAAAGTTCGGAACAATTATTATTGCGAAAACTATTCGCAAAAAATTCTACTTTATAATTTATGCTAGAATAATTTAGCACTCAATTATTTTTCGTCATTTATTATTACTTATGCAAAATAGTAGAAAAAGATAAAGAAAAAAATCTCTGTCCAAATACTTTAGCTTACTTATAATTATTCTTTGAATTTTGAATGCCCGTGTCTAAGTACAATCATATCGATTAAAAGATAACTGTATGCATAAATATGAGTTGATGTCTCATGAAGTCCAATTTATTGCTCTTTTACTATAAAAAAACTTTGCATAAATCATGAACTAAAGACTTTGTAACAAAATAAGTTTAAACTTTTTCAACACAACTTGAGTTTTTAGTAGATAAAATTAAATATTTCTATGTACCTTATTGCATTAAGATTAATAATAAATTACAAAAAATAAGTACAGAAATGATTAAATATAAACATTGTTCATTATCAAAAAACGACTCAATAAGTAAAGCGTAATGTAAAATAAACATATCACCTACGTATAAAAATGGCGTACGGTGACACTAGCCCCCTCTTTTTTTTTGTTTACCTCGCGAGCTAAGCGTCATTTTTTTGCTAATTTGGCGGGATTCTTTTTCATTGTAAATCCAATGAATAATTTTTTTCGATGTTTCTATATTTGAACTAACACTTTAATCGTTATCATAGAATAACTTCTCATTATTTAATTGTCTGGTTAACTTTGATAAATTTGTGAAAAGGGTTTGAGATATTGTGTTCTACTTATCTTTGCACTTTTCCGGTTTCCACTCTCTTGAGTTTGACCTATATTCATATATGCGTACATTAGGTCATTGACTCATCAGCTGTAGGGTGTTGAGTTATTTGGTAGGAATAGAAATTTCATGGCAAGCCAAGAAAACAATAAGAAGTAATAAATAAATGGGTATACTTATTAATAAATTTATTAACTTTTTTACATTTATTTCTATAGTTTATTTTATTTACATGGTAGAGAATAAATTAAAGTCAAGGTTTTTATTATTGAAGCTATAACCTCTAATGGATTTGATATTTATATTTGTTATTGATATTCAGTAATTTTTTGTGTGATCGAATATTTCATGAACATTAATTATTGTGATTGAAAACAATCGAATGTTAAACTGTTCATTCTAAAATTAACAAAGAACGTTATATTTAATTCTATTTGTTTTGTTCACAAATGGGACACAGATTTATTTATGTCAAATATTTTATGCAAACTATATTTCAGGCAATAATATCATTAATAAATGTCTTGTTCTTATTTTAGGAGTAATGTTCTTGTTCTTTGTAGTCCTACATATGCTAATTATTTGTATATCCATCTAATGTTAACGTCACGTTTCTTTCATATAAAAGAAATGCATCATATAAATTTAATTGCTGTACATATTTTTATACTTGGGCGTAACTTTTGCATGCGTAATATATTAGACTAATTCCCGCAATGCGTCAGTAAAGTTGAGCACAAGCAACTAGTCGTTAGGTTAAAGTGGAAGACGAGACTTCCATGGGAAAAAATAAAGAAACTGCTAATCGTACTTGTGCTAGGGTTATTATAGTCTTTCATCAACTTCTATATTTCATCTCTCTTCATTGAGTAGAATAATAAATCAATGGGTATTGTTTCAAAAAAGTTAATTAACATCAAGAATAATTAAAGTAGCAGTAATAATTGTTTATCAGTTTAAAATAAGTGGTTGGTAGTTGTAATTTTTCAACTAAAGTTCACAATTTGTTTTTTATTAATTCATATTTATTAAAAATGTGTGATTATTTTTAAAAAAAATTTGGTGAAAGTTAAATTTTTTGATAAATAAATGATTTATTTAAACAGAGAGAAGGTCAAACACCACTTCATATTGCAAGCGCTGAAGGAGATGAGACATTGGTTAAATACTTCTATGGAGTAAGGGCTTCTGCATCAATTGCTGACCATCAAGATCGAACACCTATGCATTTAGCCGCAGAGAATGGTCATGCAACAATAATTGATCTTTTGGCAGAAAAATTTCGAGCCAGTATTTTTGAACGAACTAAAGATGGATCCACTTTAATGCATATCGCATCACTGAACGGGCATTCAGAATGTGCCAACATGTTGTTCAAGAAGGGAGTATATCTCCACATGCCAAATAAACGAGGAGAACATCCTATTCATACTGCAGCTGGATGTGGGCATGTTGGTATCATCAGCACACTTCTTCAGCGTGGAGAAAAAGTTGATGCTACAACGAACGACAATTATACAGCGTTACATATAGCTGTACAGAGTGCCAAGCCTGCTGTTGTAGAGACTCTTCTCGGTTATGGTGCTGAAGTTCATGTAAGAGGTGGAAAGCTACGTGAAACTCCTCTTCATATTGCTGCGAGGGTTCTTGATGGAGACAGATGTGCCTTAATGCTTCTTAAGTCTGGTGCTGGACCCAACTTGACTACAGACGATGGACAGACTCCTGTTCATGTGGCTGCTAGTCATGGGAATTTAGCCACTTTGAGGCTACTTCTTGAAGACGGTGGAGATCCTATGTATAAATCAAAGGTATTAGTATGTTTTTTTATTTAAAAAAAATTAGCGATTATTCAGCTTTATTTTTCAATGTAAATTAATATTTTATTGGAAAATATTGTAGTTAAAGTCAACTAACTCGAACATGACCTTTGGGCCGATTTTTCTACTATATGCTTTGAAGAGTCGAGAAAACATAAGTTATGTCAGGAAACGAGTATTTGGCTAGAAAATATCATATTTGAACTCAGAGAAAACATGAATTTAATGCTTTCGTGTCATGAAATTTTCTATCACTATGTAATATTTAGAATGATTTTCTATAAATGTTTAGAGAAGGAAAAATTACATTTTATTTTAACATTAGAGCTAAATTAATCAAATGTAGAATTATTCTGTACATTTTAAAATGATAAATTCGTTCACAGAATGGAGAAACTCCGCTTCATCTGGCATGTAGAGGCTGTAAGTCAGCAGTAGTTAGTCACCTGATTGATTTCGTGAAAGAAAATAGGGGTGCAGAAGTAGCAACTTCTTATGTTAACAGTCTGACTAATGAAGGAGCTAGTGCCTTACATTATGCTGCTCAAATAGAACCTACGGAAGTGTTAGAACCTGGGAACGATCGTGCTGTGGTTAGAGCTTTATTAGAGAACGGTGCTGATGTCTCTCTTCAAACCAAACAAACACAGGAGACGGCATTCCATTACTGTGCATTAGCTGGTAACAATGAAGTACTGGCAGAGATGATAAATCACATGTCAGCGACAGAAGTTCAAAAAGCACTGAATAGACAGAGTGCTGTTGGCTGGACGCCGCTGCTGATAGCTGCTCATCGTGGACATATGGAGTTAGTGACGACGCTCTTGGCGAATCACGCCCGGGTTGACGTCTTTGACCTCGAAGGAAGGTCGGCGCTACACCTGGCCGCCGAGCATGGCTATCTCCAAGTCTGCGACGCTCTGCTAGCCAGCAAGGCCTTCATCAACTCGAAGTCCAGAGTGGGGCGTACAGCCCTACATTTAGCAGCCATGAATGGCTATACACATCTCGTTCGATTTCTTATTCAAGATCATGGTGCTGCTATTGATGTATTAACATTAAAAAAGCAAACTCCGCTTCATTTAGCTGCTGGTGCTGGTCAATTAGAAGTTTGCAGGCTTCTTATAGAACTTGGAGCCAGTTGTGATGCTACTGACGATCAAGGACAAAAGCCTATACATGCTGCAGCTATGAATAACTACGCTGAAGTCGTTCAACTTTTCCTTCAAAGACATCCAAGTCTTGTCATGGCATGTACAAAAGACGGCAATACTTGTGCTCACATTGCAGCAATGCAAGGAAGCGTAAGAGTTATTGAAGAGTTAATGAAATTCGATAGACAAGGTGTTATATCAGCTAGAAATAAGTTAACTGAAGCAACACCACTTCAACTTGCTGCAGAAGGTGGTCATGCAGAAGTCGTGAGAGCTTTAGTACGAGCAGGAGCTTCATGTGCTGATGAAAATCGCGCTGGTTTTACAGCCGTACATTTAGCTGCTCAACATGGTCATGGCCAAGTTTTAGAGGTCATGAGGTCGTCTCAATCGTTGAGAATAGTTAGCAAAAAACTTGGTGTTACTGCTTTACATGTTGCAGCTTATTTTGGTCAAGCTGGTAAGTAAAATTTTATTTAGGGGTTTTTATTTAGCCACAAAATACTAAAAATAGTTATTTATAGCTTTTTTAGTATTCTCTGAAAATAGAAATCAACTTCATTTAAGTTAAGGAAGTTATAAATTTCGTCCAAATTAAATGTATATTAAAATACATTGTCTAAATTGTAGGATTCATCTACATATGATTTCTTATTTATTTAAAATAAAATCAAAGATATGACCCTTAAAACGTCAATGGTTTTTAAATTATAAATTTATTATTCGAAAAGTTGACTGATTGAGCACTTGAATATATAATAAACTTAATGTGAGCTTTATTATACCTCTTTTGTACACTTTGTACACATAAAACGAATTTACTAAGAATATCTCAGATGAGATAAATGACTTGAGCCATAAAAGAAATTGAAATCAGTAAAATGGTAGAGTACAGTGTGATATAAATGAGCAGGTAAGAATTCAGGTCACACAATTGTTCTGGAAGCTTATCTTACTTCTACAAAAAACCTCAGTTGATTCTGATTCACTGGAATTCTTGCACAAAGCATAGAACATCGCGTAAGAAAATTATGACTCAATATACGAGTGTGGGCAGCGTGACAAATTAATGTAACCAAGTCACCTCTGTGTGTTTTAGTGATGGCAATCAACTTTATACGACAATAGTTATAAAAGTCATGTATGCTATTCTTGACCCCATGACCTCTATTTCAAAATGCCTGCACTCATTTTTCTCTCAATTTGATAGCCAAAGAGATGTCCACGTTGAAAATCTTAGATTAGAAATAACGTGATTTGCGTGACTAGTTAAGGGCGTACGCTCGATATCATTACTTTTCACTCAACCTGAAAAACGCATATAACACGCGAACTTCTTTTGAGAGTCTGTAATGCACACAAAAAAAAAACTTTATTGAACATGTGCTATGCAATCTGAATTTCATTGAAGAATGATAATCTCAAACTCTAACTTTAAAATGTCTTTGAAAAAGCTTATTGATTGAGATTACATGTTATTGTGTAACAATAAAATTAAGTAGAAGTTGAAGTCGTTAATAAGACGTAGAAACTACTTTAACAACTCACGATGCATTTGCAAGATTACAGAACCTTGCTGCAAGGTCTTACAGTAATTTGCACATAAAGTTCACAAGTTTTTCCTTCACACTAAGCTTCTTAGATTAGGCATAGTTATTAGAGTTGGTTGATGCTAAAAAATTTAAAAACATGACCTTTGCAGTTGTATTAAATTATTTGTAATATATATGATTGCTCATGAAGTTCAAGTGCGATTAAAACAAATGGTTATAAATAGCTTGTCAGCTTTTAAAAGTATTTTAAATCAAAATGCAATTTATCAAATGGATAATTTATTGTAAATCATAAATAATAGTTTTAATTGAACAATGATTGATGAATAAGTGGAACATTTATTGCATAAAATTCCAGAAATTTTATAAAATAGCTTAGTTTATATAATTTTAACATTTTTTTGAACTATAGCAAATGATTTTCCACTTGGCAATTATTAATGTTATTAAATTTATTATATTTTTATTTTGATTACTGAGTGAAACATTTGATTCATTTCAAAAGAATAGTTAAATCATTATTGGTAAAGTTTCTACTGTAAATTTCAGATACTGTCCGAGAACTATTGCAGCATGTTCCGGGAACTGTTAAATCTGAAGCACCAACGGGTGGCTCTTTAGTGGGTGAATTAGGTAGTGAATCAGGAATGACGCCCCTTCACCTTGCAGCTTACTCTGGGAATGAAAACGTCGTTCGATTATTGCTCAACTCTGCTGGAGTACAGGTACATCTGATACAATTTATCCAATTTTATACAATCAATACTACAATCAACCAAAAAATGTAAACCATGAAGAAAATTAATTTATGGAGTGAACTAATTGAGTAATGTATTTGTTAACGATAATTATAGGTAGAAGCACAGACAACCGAAAATGGTTTTAATCCATTACATTTAGCATGTTTTGGCGGGCACATCACGGTTGTAGGATTATTGCTAAGCAGATCAGCGGAATTGCTTCATAAGGCTGATCGTTATGGGAAAACTGGATTACATATAGCTGCTACTCATGGCCATTACCAGATGGTCGAAGTTTTGCTGGGTCAAGGGGCAGAGATCAATGCTACTGACAAGAATGGTTGGACGCCCTTGCACTGTGCAGCGAGGGCAGGTCATTTAGATGTAGTAAGGCTACTCGTAGAAAGTGGGGCTTCACCTAAAAGCGAAACGAACCTTGGAAGTGCACCTATTTGGTTTGCTGCTTCTGAAGGTCACAATGAAGTGCTCAAATATTTGATGGAAAAAGAACATGATACTTATGCTCTCATGGAAGATAGGAGGGTAAATATTCCTTTTTTAAATTATGCAAATAATATGCTACACAGACTTTTACGACTCTTTTTATAAAATAATTCATTAAACTGATATTGGTTTTAAATAGCATTCATTCATGTAATGAGTAAAACTTTGGAACTAAAAAAAACTGTAATATATTGTATTGATGATTTATTAACAGTACTTATTCATTATCGGTTGTAATTTTATGCAGTTATTGAAATGAGAAATTTTTGATGTGCAGTTCGTGTACAACATGATGGTGTGCAGTAAAAGCCACAACAACAAGCCAATCGAGGAATTCGTTCTTGTATCTCCTGCGCCTGTAGATACTGCAGCGAAGCTTTCTAATATCTACATGAAGCTATCAGAAAAAGAGAAAGAACGTGCAAAGGACTTAATAGCAGCTGGAAAACAATGTGAAGCAATGGCTACTGAATTACTAGCTTTAGCAGCGGGTGCAGATTCTGCTGGACGAATTTTAACTTCTATGGACAGACGAAATGTTGAGTTTCTAGATGTTTTAATTGAAAATGAACAGAAAGAAGTAATTGCGCATACAGTAGTGCAACGATATCTTCAAGAACTGTGGCGTGGAAGTTTAAATTGGAATGCTTTTCGTACCATTCTTTTATTTATTACTTTTCTAGTATGCCCACCGGTGTGGGTTGTGTTTGCATTACCTTTGGGACATAAATATAATAACGTGCCCATTATAAAATTCATGTCGTACCTGACTTCTCATGTGTATTTAATGGTATTTCTGTTACTAGTGGGTATTACACCCATTTATCCAGTTGTGAGACCGAGTTTAGTACCTTACTGGTATGAATGGTGTTTATTGGTGATGTTATCTGGACTTTTATTGTTTGAACTGACAAATCCGAGTGACAAAAGTGGTCTCGGTTGGATAAAACTTGCAGTATTACTCTTTGGAATTTTTGGTGTCGCATTTCACTTGGTGGCTTGGTCACTGGTTAACCCAAAATCTGGTAACTGGCCAACGTTACTTTATCTACGAAATCAATTATTTGCCCTCAGCTTTCTCTTGGCTTGCGTTCAAATATTGGACTTCTTATCATTCCATCATCTCTTTGGACCTTGGGCCATTATTATTGGTAATCTAATGAAGGACTTAGCCAGGTTTCTTGCTGTACTCGCCATCTTCGTCTTTGGCTTTTCTATGCTCTTCGTGGCGCTGAATCAAGCCATTGAAGATAAAGATTTATCAAGAAAATCGAGACCAAAAAACGCATTCTCAGATGGTAAGTTTTTCTATAATTATTTTTAAAAAATGTTTCTATTGATTCAACAATCAATTTAAAGTAGAGATTCATTGAAATAATCCAGATTACATCAAACCTTGTTATTTGATCAGAAATGGTAATTGATTTTCGATAATACTATTTCTCTTGTGGTCAGTAAAAGTTTCGTTAGATGTAGTCCACTTGTAGTTGATTAAATAGTAGTTGATTGGCTTGATTATCACTAGCGCAATTAAGGAAAAAGTCGACTAGATAATAAGATAAATTGATGATAGATTTATTGGACATTGGTACCGAGTGGATAGACCTACCAGAGGTGGTACCATCTACTCATCGTTTTGGACACAAGAAAAGAAATGAATGTTGTGATGAAAGCACAAAAAATAGTAAGTCTTAAGAAACCAATGCCCTGAATGTCAAAACTTCCCACCTCGATATTAATCGTGCCGTCTGCAATGCATTTTTGGCGTGTACGCGTGTGTTTTGCCTGTTGATTTGCTGCCTGATGTTTGACGATAAATTAAAAATAGGATGTTTTTTATAATATACTTAACCAAGAATGTTTTAAAAACATTTTTTATGCCTATGAATTGTAAGTGTCATTTGCCTCATCGAAAGGATTTTTTAACAATAACCGAATAAGCACATTAACTGATAATTTGATTGTTACTTTGTTTTGTACTTCACACGGCGCACTGCGTCTTTTATAGGTCAGTTTCTGCCTGGCCAATGGAACGAAAGGATTCCGATACATATTTTGCATGCGTATGTCGGACGTTTTTTGCCCAAGTCACAAAGTTTTTTGCAGCAGTGATTTTTTTCGCTGCGCATGAAGAACACTGAATGATTAAATGTCGACGTGTATGCACGTGTGATGTTAGTTGAAACATTTTCTCAAAGGAGAAAAAACACATTGAAATGTATCAGTGAATATTTTTATAATAAGTATGTTTTTGAAGAAGATTTTATGCCTCAATAATGTTTGTGACAGTGAGAATGGCAAGCAAAATTGTCGTTGAAGGAATGCGACAATTTCACATTATTTAAATTTGCTTTGTAATTTTTCATCGGCCTTGTTTCAAGTGTTGACATACTGTAATGCATCATTGACTATAAAGTGCAAGTGGTGGGTGATGAGCATCAAGTGATTTCCAATAAGGAAATGATGGAGAATGAGCTCGTGTCCACTGTGTGCAGGCATGTGTGACACTGTTAATCCAGCAACAGCAACAGCAGCTCAAGAGCATGGCCAAAATAAACGTAAAGCATGAGCATGTTCTTCATTACACGCGTAGCGAGTCTGCTTAGCCATCATGTCAAAATAAAGATCTTGACTCAAATTACAGTCACAATGACTCCTATGCGCGCATTTGAGTACCTCTTCTTCGCGGTCTTCGGCCATACGACCCACGATGAGCTTAGGGTCGAGAAAAGACAGCCTGCTTGGACCGAAAATCTCTTCAAACTGGCATTCGGAGCTTACTTGCTGGTTTCGGTAGTTGTATTAATCAATCTCCTCATTGCTATGATGAGTAATACTTATCAAAGAATTCAAGCTCAATCAGACATCGAGTGGAAGTATGGACTCAGTAAACTCATTCGAAATATGCACAGGTAAGATAACGTTCCTTCCCAACTCATTAATTATTCTCAATTTTTATATAATTATGATAAAACATTATTTTCAAATTAATGTTACTGTTTGAAATTTTTCGTTAAAAATATACTGCAGTTACAATTGATAACTCTAAAATGAAGTTCAGGATTTCTTTTCAATTTGTGTGATTGCATGCCAAAATATATTGAAGAATTTCTTTTTTCATTATGGTTTTTTTTTAATTGGTACGGAAAAAAGGGATCTTACCCTGAAGACATTTATTTCCGTGTTCCAGAACCACAACAGCACCTTCACCCCTAAACCTTTTCACAACCTGGATGGTTTATTTTTATAAAGCCTGCAATCAACATATAGGAAAAAAGAAGCAAATGTCATTAGCTCACATAATAAACTCCAAACGATCTAGCCAATTATCTCCAACAACAAAAATGGGTGCCAAATGGTTGGCCAAAACAAAGAAGCGCCAAGTTCGACCAAGAGAAAGTGTAGTTCCGATTTCTGCGTTGAGTCCTTTTGGAAGCCAGTTATCTTTTAATAGTTCATTCCGAATAGAGAGCGTTGTCGACTGGGATGCAATCCGCAAGAAGTATCTAATACTAGCAGGAAATGAACCAGAAAAAGAAATGGAAAAGGAAGATAACGACAATGATAATATAAATGATGACGAGAATGGACCTATTGGTTCAAATACTCCTGGACTACCGAATTCATCAACTCCTCCTGTTTAATAAAATTTTTTTTCATCATTACAATGAACTTAATCAATACATAAATGTAATGAAGACATCATTAGATAATTTAGTGCTGTAGGATTAGAGTTAAGAAAAATACGAAAATTCAAGTTAATTCTTGAACAACCAATGTATTTATACTGAATAAAAAGTTCTTGGCCAATATACGGTCATTGATCTTTTTCTCTGGCATGAGTTTGTTCTATATTTCAAGTTTAGCTTCAGCATTGACGGAAGACCATCATAGTGGATACTCATAAAGTACTTAATGAGTACTTTTTAGTCACAAAACTGTGTAAGTTCTGGCAAACAAATATGAATGCGCGTAAAAATGCCAGCATGTATATACATATGAAATGCGTCACGTAAACACAATTTTGCATTGCGAAATATTGAAATGCATTATTCATATTCATTTCAAGTTAATAGCGAATTTAACAATTACTAATTTATTATTAATTATCCCAAGGAACACTAATTAATTACACTTACTATTTATAAATTTTTTAAGCTCCCCAATGATAAATATTCTAGATGTAGTGGAGAATTTGGCATGCAAACACGGTGCATGGCACCAGAAAGATTTAATCATTTATTTCCATTAATTTTTTGTTTCACAAAAAATTTTTGGGACATATTTACAGTTAAGATGAATCCAATTCTGGCCGTTGAGTTACTCTTCTTCGCTATCTTTGGACAAACAACACACGAACAGTTCAAGGTTCAGCCAAAATCACAACCACCTTGGACAACCGTTCTTTTCAAGCTAGCATTTGGCATTTATATGCTGGTATCAGTCGTTGTCCTGATTAATCTTCTTATTGCTATGATGAGTGACACCTATCAACGGATTCAAGCACAGTCTGACATCGAATGGAAATATGGTTTAAGCAAACTAATTAGAAATATGCACAGGTATTTATTTTTAGTTTAAAAAAATCATCCATCAAAAATTAATATTCATTATAAATTGAAGTTTACTTCAATATGTTTACCAATAATAAGTATGATACTTATAACTATCATTCTATTATTTATAGAACAAGCGAATACATTGTAAAAAGCTTTTAGAAGATTATTTTAAATATGCATGATTTTTTTAACTATTAATTAATTGATACACAATTTAGTCTTATCTTGATTCTCCAATAATTCATTCATTTATAAATACTTTTTCATGAAAAACTTAATTTAAATACGTATAAATCCATTTCTAATGGATACCATGTTCAACAGGACCACAACAGCCCCGGCGCCACTAAATCTTATTACAACTTGGCTCTCATATTTCTTCAAAGTATGTAAAAAACGATCAGCCAAAAAGCAACGTCCTTCCTTGGTAAATTTAATGGGCCTTCATCGAACTGGAAGAATGTCTCCTCGTTCAAAAATGGGTGCCAAATGGCTTGCTAAAGTTAAAAAGACTCAAGTAGCTCATAAAGACAGTGTTGCTTTATCAGTAGCTCATCTGAGTCCGCTCGGAAGTCAATTATCTTTCAGCAATGCATTGAGAATCGATACTGTCGTTGATTGGGATGCTGTAAGAAGAAAGTATCTAGAACTTTTTGGTGGAGAAGCAGAGAAATCTGTTGATGATAACAAAGATTCAGCGGAAACTACAGAAAAAGAGCCAATAACTTCAATCGAAGAGCCTCCAGCAATTCCTTCTTCCATTACAAACGAATTGCATTGATTTTTACGTTCTATTCTGATAGTTAATACTCAGTTTAGTATTTTTGTAGCATGATATTATTTAGTTGATATTAATTAAAATATATATTCACTAAATAAATACTAAGATAATTAATGTTTGCTGTATTGAATTTTTCGTTATACCTATGCTAATACTTAATCCACATAAATTCACAGATTCAACGGAAAATCGAGTTGCTTTATCTACGCCGTCATCTTACCAGATGGTAACGGTTAGTCCCACCCTATTTTGTACAGAGTAGTAGTCTTTAGCATTAGCTACGAAGTGTTTTTTTAGTATGCACTGTGTGATATACCAAGATAAGAATTGGACTTATCTGTGAATAATTAATAAAAAATTATTCTTCATTGTTTAAATTATTTCATAAATTTTTAGCATAATGGTATTAAGAAATACCTATGCATTTTCGCAAAATTTATTAGTTCCTGTGGCATGTACTACCCGTTCTTCCTTAAACACCACATCATTCCTACCCTTAGGGTTTTATGTGGCCTTTCAGAATTATTAGAATTACTCAATGTTATTGATAATGGAATGTTACTAAATAGTTGTAGATATCATGTGAGTTTGCAAAGTTGTTGCAAATCAATTGTCTCATCATTCTTTTGCTAATCTGGTTTTTGTTCGTATTTTACAGTATATGTCAATCCGATAGACGTCACCGAAAATCTTTTCTTCTCGATCTTTGGCCAGAAAGATACCGATGACTTCATGAAATCTCTTCAACGACAACCGCCATGGACTAAATATTTTTTCAAGGTTTTTTATTATTTTTTTACCAGTTAAAATAATTATTTTTATAAGCCCAACTTTTAAAATTATTCATGCTTATTATTTATATTCAGGTATCATTTTCAATGTATATGCTTGTGAGCGTAATAATATTAATCAATCTCCTCATTGCTATGATGAGTGACACGTACCAGAGTATTGTATCTCAAAGTGACATCGAATGGAAATACGGGTTAAGTAAACTTATTCGTAATATGCAAAAGTAAGTATGCCGGTGTAATGTTAGTTTTCGAGTATTTAAAATACTTCGCATGACCTTTTCTCAACTAATACTAGAATAGCACTGACGAATTTTACACGTAAATGTTATCGAGATTTGAATGGTGCAGTTAAATTAATACTGCAACGATATTCTTCAAACTAGCAATTATCTCATCATCACGATTACATGCTTTAAAAATTTAAATAATATAATTAATCACAAATAATTACAGTAAAGCTACTTTGAAAACTAACATAAATTATTTCCAGAACAAAAACTGCACCATCACCACTAAATTTATTTTCAACCTGGATAACGCATTTAGTTAAATTATGTAAAAGAAAAAGAGCCAACAAGAAAAAAAAAAGTATTATGCAAGGTTTTATTGCTCATTCAGAAGCTATGAGTAAACGCACACTAATGCGAGTAAGTCGAATGTCTACTATTTTTAAATTCTCTTATAAAAGGAGGCTTATCTTTAAATCTTATGAATTTAAAAAAATTCCTGCAGAATAAAATAGTTCCTCAGCAGAGTCAGTTATCATCTCTGGCTTTCCCTGGTGCACTTAAAAGCCCAGCAGCTAGTCAACTTTCCATAAGAAATATGCCAAAAATTGATACAGTTGTGGATTGGGATATAGCTAGAAGAAAATATAGAATGCTTGTTGGAGACTTGGTCGAAAAACCATCAAGTGATATGACTAATACAGACGAAAGTATTAAATAGCTGTGTATTGATAACATTAATTATTCTGTAGAATAATTTCGTAAGCAATTATTTAATAGGTTCAAAGTTAAAGACTTAGCTCTTAAAAATATATATTTAATAATATTTATATAAACTTATTCATACATACAATTAAAAACGTAAGTAGTATAGAGATATTCGTACTCTTTTTCATTGAATATTTGTGTCATATCAAATATGTAAATTAGATAATAAATAAATAAAAATTGTAGCGTAAATTTTGAAAACATCCAAGGATATTTCAATTATGCAGCCTTATCATTAATAAAAAAATAAAATTTACCACATGCTAATTAAAGTTTTATGCAATTGACAGAGTTATTTTATTTGTTGATGTCGTTAAAAAATACACTCCTCGTGTATCAGGGCTTAAGAATTCACCCATATGAACTATTGGACTTCCTAAGCAATTCCCTGAAGTGAAATCCATCCAACTAAGGCATTTAATCGCTTGAAATTGATCCGGATGAGTAATAGATTGAAGCATGTACACATGTGATTTCTGATGACTGCAATACTCTGTAAAATAAATATAATAATAAAGTTTTAGAAATAAGCAATAAATTTAATATATTAAAACGGAGACGATAAAAAAAATTGTGATTACGTGGAACAATAATAGGACAGCCAGGCTGCGTACATGTTCCGCCATTTGGATAAAAATCAGCGTGCCCTACCGGCCGAATAAAGCCAACACTACCAGCACAAGTATGAATGACATCGACGAAAACAGCGTCAGATGGATCTAATCGATCGGATGGGTCTTTTAAGATTGGTGTTTCGAATAATGGTCGTGCCGGATCCATTCCCGTAATTCTACCAACTGTGCCGGATAATTTAGAGCCTGCAAATCCAGCTATATGTGCTCCAAGACTGTGTCCCAATATGTGTACTTTAGACAGAGGTGTGTCTGATTCAAGTTTCAAAAAACGGATTAATTCTCCAACATAATCACCAACCTATTAAATCCAATGTGTATATTTTATATATAAAATTATAATAGTCAATACAGCTATTTCACAACAACACATTTTTTTGGATTGTTGACATCATTTTACACAACTACTATAATTATGAATATGACTGTAATTATGAAAATGTCTTACAATTGGGACTGTGAAAGCCATAATTATTATGACAACTATAATTAACTTGATAAAAATATCAGTATTCTAATACCTGTCGAGTTAATTTAGCAGCTACGCTATACTCTTTCGCAGATACTGGAAACCAGTCAACACAAATGATATTGTAATCCTCGATGATCAAGTAATTATGACGGAAGTCTTTCACCCAGTTGCTACTAGTACTGTCGGTCCAGCCATGAATAATTATTTTAGTTGCTACTTGAGACCTAAAAGGTGATCTCCTCAAATTAGCAACATCACCAACTTGTAAAGGATAAGCATCTTCTGGGTTGTCTTTAGTGAATAAATTAAAAGTTATGTCTTCAAGTTCGAGGACAGGATCTAAAGCATCAGGAATAATTGGACCATAATATTTACTGGATGATAATGGATTTAATGCACCGAGAAGTATTTGTTCCTGAATGAAGTCTTGAAGATTTAATTGTGGTAATAAAGGAAAATTAGCACTTTGTGTCTGTTTTAAACATCCTAGGATAGTAAAAAAACACTTTAATTTCTACTTACTGATTAATTCCATTCATTAAATTAATGTAAATAAAGTAATTTAAATTCTTACCGACAAATATAAGAAAGATCGTTGGTAGCATTTTTACAATAAATGATAAAAGTTATGAGTTTATAATTTTTATATTGAAAACATGTGCGAATGTGGAACAGGATAATCAAACTAAAAACTCAAGAGTATATTTGAGCTTATTCATTGTAAAAGAAAATTACATAGCCAATTTTTCATTATATAATATTTTATCAATCATTGTGATATTATATTGCTGTTCGTCAACATATTACATGATGCTCATAGCTCTATTTATCTTACGTAAAAAACATTCAATTTTTATTAATTTTAGGAAAACTAAATGAAAAATACATTCGAATATTTTTAGATATCTAAGATTTTAAATTCTAAAATCTTAACAATAAGCAAAAAATAATAGTATATTACACACCAAGGAAAAACAATTAAGTATTTTAAATATGCTAATTGTGTACGAGCATTGATTTTATCACATAAAGTTTATCAATGAATCAATACATAGAAAAAATTATGAAAAATTTGAATATGATTTAATAAACTTAGAACGAAATACACAAAACTTAAATTTTCCATCATATAGAAATCATATTTTTAGTTAATTTTTTCAACATATGTAATATAGAATAATGATAATTTACTTTTATATCTTGTAACCATTTTTTACTTATTTTTTCATATTCATATTACTTTAATTAGATGTAGTTAGTTTCTTTTTCATGTGACATGTTTGTAATATATTCGTATCATTTTAACTAAAATAATATTACAATAACTTTCAAATGGGAAGTTAATAAAAAATTGTTACTTCTGTCTCATGTACTTATTATCTATTATATTTTAAAAGATATGTGATATTTATACCTTTTTAAAAATTAAAAGAATGAAATAATCGTAAAATAATATAAACTTAAATTGTGTTGTAAAATTACACTATCACTAATTTTCATACTATATTAACGGAATAACAACCTTAAAAAACTCAAAACTATATTTCTTTTCAAATGAATATACGTGATAAGGTTTTGAAATACACTGTTTGTATATTGTAGTATATGTATACACTGATAATGTACTCGAAGTAGTTTTTCAAATGTAATTAGGTTTTTCTAAATAAAGATTTTCTTTATTGTATTTTGTATGAGATGTAACTTTTATTCCCATAGCTAATGCTTGTCTTCGAATTGCTTCTTTGAAATCCTTTGATATACCTTCTGGAAGTTGTTGACGTAAGACGTGCTCATTAGATTTGAAATTGTTGCAAAATTCTATTGCTGCTTCATGGTATTGATTATCAGTATTATTTACTTCTAAATTTTGCAATTTAAGACAATTAGACCACATCGCTTTTTCTACGGCAAGATTTTTTGAGTGGAATTCACTAGCTAATCGCATTTCTGTTACGATTTCGTTATTGCCAGGATCCATTTGAAGAGCTTTTTCTAATTTTTCAAGAGCCGCAGTGTATTCACCCATTTTGATTAAGGCTCGACCATAATGAAAATAGGTTTTTGCTGTCTTATTGATAACTTGATTGCATGCAATACAAGCTTTTCGAGGCATATCCTCTTTATTATAACAAACAGCAAGATTTTGAAATGCTTGTGATGTTAATTTATTCATACGGTGTTCTTCTTCATCATTATCTAATTTTGCTTCTTGTAAACAATCAATAGCTTTTTTATAGTCACGGATCGCCTTTTTATATTGTTTTTTTTGGAAATTATCAGCACCTGTTGTCATCATATGCTTTGCAAATTTTTCTGCATTGACAAACATGTGTTTTTCTTCAGGATCTAAAGCACCATAAGTATCAATGGCACCATTATCAAGAAAATCAATTAGATAAACTATAAATAAAACTTCAGCTTTTGCAGGAATCAATGGTAATACTCCCAGCTCTCCGTAAGCGAAATCGTGATGAATTAGAAAAATTGACACTTCGTGCTTTCGCATACTTTGAATAGCAAGATCTAAGCCAACAATGAGTTCTCCTCTATTCAATCGGAATTTATCTGGTGCTCCTCTCAAAAAAGATGAATCATAAGGTTCATCTTGTCCTTCCAAATATGCAGAATATTTTATTGTTACCATTGAATCTTCTGGTACAACGTCTCCAACTCCCTGTTGTCTAACCAATTTTTTGATCTGTTACAGAAATGTATTAATAAATTTTGTTATATTTTGTATTGATAAAAAATTTTTAATGAAATCCAATCGTTGTAGAGTCAACTCACCAGTGAATGAACTATATTAAAGACTGTGCTATAATCCTGCCTTCTCTTCTAAATATACTAAGAAATGTTCATTTACTGGTGTATTCGATTTTCTTCAAAACTTTTTTTAATTATTTTTAGTGTATTGAAGATAGATCATTCAAACCTTTTTTTTCTTATATTCTATGTGTATTTCTTTATACAATAGAATACCTTTGTTTTATTGTTAAACCGAATAATAATTTTATTCTTAGCGATTGATAAAATGACCGATACTCTGAAGTGTTCATTCACTGGTGTGTTGATCCTATTTTCAACTGATTTAGTTGATGTATTTTGGAAATACTTTGATGCTGTTCAGTCAATAAAAAAATGTCATAAGAATATTCCATATATGTATGAGTTTAACTTTAAATAAATAAAATATTAAATATGTAAATTAGTTAAAAAAGATATGCAAATTCTGTCTATTTGATTATACAACATCCAACAAATAGGAATATTGAAGAAATTGAAAATACATAAGGGAAAATGTTCTTAGAAATTGAAAATATATCTATTCAACATCAATTTATATTATTCTCTACATGAAATGTGATTTACTACTCTTCAAAAATGGATTTATTAAAATCACTGCGAAATAGTAAATATTCACTAACTCATTTCAGTTAATTATAATCGCGTAAATTGTTGTATTCATAATCATCGGCCAAATTTTTTTTCTTAATCCCCTAACAACGACTTTTGTGGCCTACTCGATTTAATGCGTACTTCGATTAACTGAAAGATTTTTGTGGCCCGCAAACATAAACTAATCTATGAGGAGATGACGAATGGCTTGAGGATGTTGTCAACATGAATATTATGTTTATTTCAACCAGATGAGCAATAAAAAAAAAGTTGAATATTTCAATAACTCGTAGAATATTCTACATATGTTTACAAAGTAATAAAACATAAGAAATAAATGAAGGACAAAAGATGCATGCAATCCTCCACTAAATTTGAGAATTATACATTTAACGATTGTACTTTCAATTTTACTTTTAATTTTAATTTTTCTTTTGTCAAATATGTAGAATAATTTTATATCAAGATTATAAACATAGTATAATAGTATTATTGTTGGTTAACATTAGAGTTTCCTGTAATAAGTGTGATTAATTATTATTTATGTATAAATAATTTAAAACCAATTCCTGACTTTGAACTTTTTTGCTGATGCCCGTCCCCGACCAGCAAAAACTTCGGCTCTGCAAAAGTCGGGCGGGCATCCTCCATACAACCGTTTAGCTTATCAAGTGATTACCGAACTTATATTACTTTCGACGGGCTCAAGAAAAATAGTATACGACACACGGCTAAAAAAGTGGAATGCCCCGGTGTATGTGATATAAGGGCTTCGGCTTCGCTTCGGCCATCATATCACACACGCCGGGAAATTCAACTTTCTGGCCTTGGGTCGTAATATACTATTTGAGTTAAAAATTACTAAGAAAAAAATTTCCAAATATTATGAGAATTTTTCTCACAACTAGATATTATTCGTTACTTGTTCAACTATTAAGTTGAAGGGTTAAGACATGTTTTCGATTTAGTAATTGGAATGTATTACCTTATCATATGAAGTCAAATTCTCCATTTTGTCTCTCAGTTTATCAAAATCTAATCCAAGTAGTGATGATGCGTTTTGTTTAGGCTCATCATCATCTTCATCTTCATTTTCTGATAATTCTAAATTTATGTTAACTTAGAAGTTCATCTTCGGTCATGTTAACATTTGGATTATACCGATAACGATCATCTTCAATCTCTTCTTCAAATTCATTACCAAAATCAAATACTAGGCCTGAATCTGACATGAGATCTCTTAAAAAAAAAATTATTAACGTAATAAATATCTAAAAATGAAGACTAAGATAAAGAGTTAGAATAAACAATTTTTGTTAACTCATTTGGGCTATTTTGTTCACATCTTATTTAAATGTAATAAATATAACAGAAAGTGTATAAATAATTGGTCAATTAGTATTATCCATTGTAAAATTTAATCTCTTGATGGATCTTATAATTATATGCTTCATGAAACAATTGAAGTTACTCGAATATAATATGAGAAACAGTAAAAAAAAAAAACAATAATTTATTTATTACAGTAACAATTGATGATTATTATGAAAAGGACAAAAAATTAACAATAACTATGAAGTTTTGTTTAAGTTGAATAAAAAGTCTATAAAATTACTACATACTTGAGAGAAAAACCAGCACGTGGATCGATGAATTGAGACATGATTAATTTATTAATTCTATTAAACAATAGTTGTACTTTTATTTTAAATTTATATGCTGACTATAATACTAAAGTCGAAGTAAAATGATAGTAATTAAAATTGCTTTGATTTATAAAGCAAAATAATTAAGCTGATCTTGTTGCTTTTCGTACTCACGTACGTCTCGAAGTTTCTAATGCACTACACTATACATATATATAATACTGATCTCGTATCACTAACACTTTGATTTTATTAACTCGAGAGTATTCAACTTTCTTTGTTTAATTTCTCATTAAAGTCAGAACGGTGTCGAATTTCAACTCTTGAGATATCCCGGTGTACACAACACCACGTGATTTTTTAGTACAAATATCCACCACCATGGCATCACAGTACGTCGAAACTTGGGTGCACAAATTGAATTCACTCATTTGTCTAGATGTTGATTGTTTTCAAAAATTAATTGTTTCTGACCAACAGTTGTATTAATGTAATCAAAATATTGAACAATAATTAAATAAGTTTTCGAATTTTGGAAGGTAAACGATTGATAACAGTTAAAAAATGTAATTAAATAAATTTTCTTGACACGGATCTGTCTTGCAAACTGTTCCAAGTCTGACACAATTATTTAATAAATTCAATCAATGTTACATTATCAATTTAAATGAACGAAGAGGCAACAAAAAATGATTTCAGTCAACTTTATCGTGTTAAGAAACCTCTTCTATTGAGAACTGTCAGCTTTTAGTTTGATCCTATTTAAGCGGTTTGTAGGTATCTTAATAGAAGTCATCGATTCAGTCCAAGTTTCTCGCTTTTGTTGAAACAATCAAGTCTGCGATGGACATTATCGGTTAGTAAAATATTTAAGATTTTTATTAATATTTTTTCCACATTAAATAACTAATAAAAGTTATATAAAATCAATATTAAGCTTGGTAGTGAGTAATAATTAGAAAACATTTTACAAATTAATTTGTTGTATTAAATAACCAATTGTTTTGTACTGTTAATGGTAGATATGGCCAACAGTGGACCCAGAAATCTAGCATACTACGGTCTAAGCCAGCAAATAGACTTTGATTTACTACCAAACCCAACTGAACGCTTTGATCTTGAAGATGTAATTGGAGAAGGCACGTATGGGGAAGTCTATTCTGCATTTGACCATCAGAATAATACAAGAGTCGCAGTGAAAATACTGGAAAATATTGCGGATAACATTGAAGAAATCGAAGAGGAATATTTGATTTTGAAAGATTTGAGTTCTCATCCAAATATTCCTATTTTCTTTGGTTTATTCTTAAAGAAGGCTGAACCTTCTCACGAAGAAGATCAACTATGGTTTGTTATGGAGGTAAAATTATTTCATTAATGCTGTAAAGTTTTTTTTTCTAATGATTATCATTGATAAGTATTTTATTATTAGCTTTGTACTGGTGGTTCTGTTACGGATCTCGTGCAAGGACTGAAAAAACGTGGAAGCCGTTTGACTGATCATCAAATCGCTTACATAATTCGAGAAACTGTAGAAGCATTGATTTATTTACATGAAAATCATTGTATGCATCGCGATGTAAAAGGTCATAATATTTTATTAACAGAAGAGGGAAATATAAAATTAATCGACTTCGGTGTTTCTTCTCATCTTTCAATGACTTTAGCGAGAAAAAATACATCTGTAGGAACTCCATATTGGATGGCTCCAGAGGTTTGTTCACTATCTGTTTTTATTCAATACTTTTACATCAATAAATAAAAAAAAATGATCTTAAATCCAATAAATAAAAGATAATTCTTAAGAAATACGTATTATAGTTGAATAACAATGCCATTTATTCTTCAGGTAATTGCATGTGAACAACAGTTAGACTCATCATATGATTGTAGATGTGACGTGTGGTCGATTGGAATTACTACAATTGAATTAGCTGAAGGTGATCCACCATTATCAGACCTTCACCCAATGCGAGCTTTATTTCAAATACCTCGCAATCCTCCACCAAGTTTAAAAAATCCCGACTTACACTCACCCCAAATGTCTGATTTTATTGCTGAATGTCTGGTAAAGGACTTAGAACATCGACCTTTTGCAAGTGAGCTACGAGATCACCCGCTACTTAATGATATCGAAAGTATAATACCTCAAATAAAAATAGAATTACAAGAAGAAATTCAGAGGCAGAGATCTGCTGGTCGGGTTCGTAGACAAGTAGAAGTAACAACGAAACATGGAAAATTGAAGATGGATCGTAAAGCTCAACCGAAAAAAATGTATTTTGATGATTTAGCAGCTCTGGATTCTTTTACTGAAGACACTGTTGTTAGTCAATTAGAAAATAGGTATGAAGAAGGTCATATTTATACTTATATTGGTGACATCCTGGTAGCAGTAAATCCTTTTACAAATCTTGGACTGTATACTGGCCTAGAACAACGTCGATATAAAGGCCAAGCAAGGTCAGATAATCCACCACACATATTTGCAGTGGCAGATGCAGCGTATCAAGCTTTACTCCATCAGAGACAGAACCAGTCAATTATCATTAGCGGAGAATCTGGAGCTGGCAAAACTGAAAGTGCTAATTTATTACTTAAACAGTTGGTCTACTTAAGTAAAGCACCAAATCGTAATATCGAAGAACAGATTCTTCAAATCAATCCAATAATGGAAGCTTTTGGAAATGCTGCCACTGGAATAAACGCTAACTCATCAAGATTCGGGAAATTTTTAGATTTAACCATGACTAAAGGTGGAAAAGTTACAGGAGCAAGAATGGCAGTCTATTTATTAGAACAAACACGAGTCGTTGCTCAAGCAGCTGGAGAAAATAACTTTCATATTTTTTATTATATGTATGATGGTCTTAAAGAAGATGATCGCCTGAGTGAATTTTATTTAGACTACTCTTCACGTAATTCTCATAAATATCTACAAGGAACCAGCGAATTTTCACAGTCTAATGTTGATAAGTTCAATCAAATAAAGAAAGGATTTAAAGTAATAGGTTTTCAGGATACTGAAGTTGATACAGTTTATGCAGTATTAGCTGCAATACTTCATTTGGGTGATATTGAATTTGAAGAAATGACTGAAGATAACAGCGATAATAAAAGTGTTGTTGTGGACATGACTCCGTTAAATAAAGTATGTCATCTTCTAGGATTTGAATCTGCAGATTTAATGGAAACCCTCACATCAATTTCAGTCGTAACACGAGGCGAAACAATAACGCGAAATAACACAGTATCAGAAGCGCAAGCCACAAGAGATGCAATGGCTAAAGGTCTCTATGGTCGTCTATTTGATTGGTTGGTTAACCAAATCAATTGTTTGCTCAGTTTCACTCGTGCTACTAATTACGAACCTTTAGCAATTGGTTTACTTGATATTTTTGGTTTTGAAAATTTTCCAAAAAATTCATTCGAACAACTGTGTATTAATATCGCCAATGAACAGATTCAATACTACTTTAATCAACATATTTTCACTTGGGAGCAACAAGAATACATGGCAGAAGGAATTCCAGTTGATTTAGTTGAATTTTCTGATAATAGACCAGTGCTTGATATGTTATTGAGCAAACCAATGGGACTTTTAGCTTTATTAGATGAAGAGAGTCGTTTTCCTCGTGCTAATGACAAGTCACTAATTGAAAAGTTTCATAACAATATTAAATCTAAATTTTATGTTCGACCTAAATCTGATGCCATTTGTTTTGCCATTCATCATTTTGCTGGTCGAGTAGTTTATCAAGCTGAAGGGTTTTTAGATAAAAATCGTAACTTCCTTCCTCCTGAAGTTATTCAACTTGTCAGACAATCTCAATCAGACATGATTCGATTCTTATTCCAATGTCCTATTACAAAAACTGGCAATTTATATTCCGCAACACATGATACTGGATCAAGAAAGATCCATTCTAATCAGAATACAAAAGAAAAATATTCAAGTCGAGCTTTGGCTTCACAATCAAGAGTTCAACAGACCGTTGCTACTTATTTCAGATATTCATTAATGGACTTACTTCAGAAAATGGTAACTGGATATCCACAATTTGTAAGATGTATCAAACCGAACGATTCTTCCAGTCCAAGACATTTCGATAAAGAGAAAGTTATCAAACAACTACGTTGCACTGGAGTTCTAGAAACTATCAGAATTCGTCAGAATGGATTTTCTCATAGAATACCGTTCGGAGATTTTCTTAAAAGATATTGCTTCTTAGCTTTTGCCTATGATGAACGCGTTGTTGCAAATCGAGACAATTGTCGTCTGCTTTTAGTAAGATTGAAAATGGATGGATGGGCACTTGGTAAAACGAAAGTATTTTTGAAATATTATCATGTAGAGTTTTTATCAAAACTTTATGAGGAACAAATAAAAATGATCATTATGGTTCAAGCCTGCGTGAGAAGGTGGCTTGCAAAAATTCATTATAGGAAAGAAAAGTGGAGAGTTGCATGTTCAGTTGTAACTCTCCAACGTCATATTCGTGGCTGGCTAGCCAGAAGAAGGACTATTTTGCAACTAACTAACAAAGAAAGAGTTGGCACGCCTATTGCAGTAGCTGAGGATGAAGCAAAAGGAATTCAAGCTTTGAGATCGCGTGATGGAAAACTATCAAAAGAAAATTCAATAACCAACATCGAACAAAGCTTGCTTGCTGATAAACAGATGAATGTGGATAATGCTGCTGTTATTATTCAAAGTCGTAAATATTTTTTTCATTAAACTTTTCAGACAATGAACTATTTTTTATATTAAATATTCATTTATATTTTTTCATTGCTTTAGATTTCAGAGGGTACACAATTCGTAAAAAATATGGTTGTGAATTGGAAGAACGTTTCAAAGAAATATTAAACCAATATACTAATAAACGAGAAGCTCGAGAAGCTTTGATTCGTGAAGGATTGAGCAAAGAAGACGCTGTATTTATTGTTCACAGGTGGTATAAAAGAGAAATGCGAGTGAAAGAAGATTCGATCGAAAACGATCAAGTTCATCCGAAATTACGACAAGCTGATTTAATTCAATTTTCTCAAAATGTAAAAGTTTATTTACGTGATAGAATTTAATTAAATTATTTTTATGAAGTTATTTTACTCTATATGTATGTTGCAGGTTCATATGAAAAACCAAGATGTTCATAAGAATCTTCGTCGTAACAAACCAGGAGTTAGATTAACAGATATTGATGATCCACCACCGGATTATGTACGACCAGAAGGCTTTAATATGGTACATACAATCATGCAGTATCGTAATGATAGTCAAACAGGAGATGACGACACTGTAAAATACTACCGTGATTTGAAAGATGAAATGAGCAGGTAAATGTTTAATCTAATGTCAATAAACTCATTTTTGAAGTGATAATAAAAATTACATGAAAAAAAAATTTTAATTTACACTTTTTTAACGTTCTTGACGCTCACATCGAAAGTGGTTCGGACTTCGAAGAAGACGAAGCTGGCTGGGACTCACCGCTGATACAGCTAGAAAATGACCTTCACCCATCGGCGAAGTATGACAAAATAACTGAAATCAATTCGTAAAGTTTAATACAACATACTCTTGACATTACTGCAAATTTTTTAGCAATCGCCATCAGAATCAGGTTCTCGAAGTGAGATCAGAACGACAAGATCGGGTTGCTGCTCAAGATTACACAATAGCTCCAGAACAACAGCTTTCCGACATTTGGCACAAAGCTCTGAGAAATCCGCAAATGACATCTGGAGACGAAAAATCTGGAAATTCTATAAGGTAAGTTTAATTATTTTGAATCACTATCAATCTTCAAGCCCACAATGAGGAAAAACTTACAGTTGTTTTTGTCACGATCTATAAATAATATGATAAGAATTAATTTCATTAAATATTTGATTACATTATTATTTTAAATTCTACTTGTATCGCTGTAATCTTTGTTTTTATTTGCTTTTTTGCATTGATAACAGTTAAAATTAAAAATGCTATTGGTTATAAATTCCCTACAAAATTAATTATATAAAAAAAATCATTCGATCTATTAGTAGAATTGAAACTAATAAATAAATCTTATTAAAATGCTATAGAGGAATAATGGGAAACTTTCAGGTATTTTATTTAGTTTCTATTGTTCTGAAAAATTTAAAAATAATTGATTACCTTAAATGTTTCTATTGCAGTACAAGGATTAAAGAATTGTACAATAATTTCGTGCAAACCAATTTGTTCATCTTTATCATGTGATGAGGAAGATTCAAAGATCCGAATATCAACACTTCAAATAGTGTATGGATCATGTCCAGCATTGGTTACAGCAGTGTAGAACAGTAAAATACAACGATTTTATTTATTTAGCTTAAAAACTCCAAATCTTACTTGTTGATTGACAATTATATAATTAGACTGGGGTAATAATTTATTTTGCGATCAAGATTTAATCAATTTTGCTATGAGTATCATAGATTAAACATTCAAGAGAAAAAATATCAATGAAGAATTGTATAAAAAAAATGCTTTACATTATTTGGAACCCTTGGTTCGTAAAATTGATTAATAGATGAATAATAATTCATTGTTGCTTTATTCAGTTCTTTCAATTATGTGAATGCCACTATCTGTATCTACTGGAGAAGACAATTCGCCTACTTTCAAAGCAAAAGCTGCCTGTTCGAATGGAATTTGCATAGTTCCTCTGCGAAAAGGCCCTAAATCTCCACCACGTTTTGCAGAACTACAATCGCTATACTTTGTAGCGATTTCAGAAAATGTTGCCTTCCCGGATACTATTTGTTCTCGATAAGCTGAAACAAATTAAGTGGTTATTAAAATTGATGATATAAATGATTTAATACAACTAATTAATCTGATAATGTGGAAAATTTTAATGTGTTAACTCATCAATTGTTCTGTGTCAATTAAGTATATATGTGAGATATATTTATCAGAATTTCAATCAATAAACTTTAATAAAAATAACCGCTTCATTATTATTGATTAGTTAATATGAATTATATTTAAATACTTGAACGAAAATAAATTCTAAATCACTATGTATCCTACTTAATTTATTGCGTAAGTAATTTATAAAAATTTATATTTGCCAAGTTTAATATCATCCATCAGTATGACTTCAATAATATGATTTCATGAAAGATTAATTCCGATAATCGTGATAACTTGAGATATCATTATTCACATTCACGTGCAAACCTACTTGTATTTCATTACATCGCAAAAAGAAAAATAAAATAGAAGAAAAAAATAATAACATTTTGATTATTATAAAGTACATCACTGACTACCACAATTATTTTCAGTGATATAATTGTTGGACTTGATGAAATTTGTTTTTTTTTTGTAGTATTGCATTTATTTTATTTTGACTGATTAAGATATTGAGTTATCAAAAAAATGAAAAATTGATGCAATAATCTTACATTTAATCAACTCAAGAGCTTCTTCTTTAGTCCGTGTGATATTTTCTTCTCTCCAGGAAGACGGCCGTCGTGATCCTGCATGCTTGACAAGGATGTGGGAGCACTCGATTGTTTCAGGCTCATCATTATCACAAGAGGGTTGTGCTGCCTTGGTTGGAACATCCCATTGACTTTCCCTTGTATAAGTATTAAAATAATAATGTTGGCCTAAAATATTGAAAAATTTTTTAGTTATAATTTTTTAAACAACACGGTTAATGCATAGTTTTTATAAGCTGTTAATTTATTAAAATTTAAATGTAAATTATTCACCAGTAGATCTGCTGAGTCTCTTTTCCCATCCTTTTGGAAGTTCTTCGTTCGCCATATTATTTATAGTTTTACACGTCTGTCAAACAATGAAATAAATTGAATTTAAATGGCAAAATATAATTCATATCAAGCATAAAATAAAACTACTTGATATTTCGATTCAATCAATACTCACAAAACAGCTTTACAACTCAAAAAGCAGCGTTTGCAATCAGCGACTGCGTTTAAATTTCGGAGTTTTATGATTATGGCTACCCTGCTTCAGCTGATTTTCTTGACGTAACCTAAATATGGATTAATCCCATTGACTTTAGTCATTCAATGAATAGTAAAGTTAATTAGTGATTATTTTTTATATTATTTTATATTAACATTTTTTACTTTGCTTTTTTTATTTAGTCAATTTTCGTCTTTCAAATTATTTTTTATCTCAAATTATCATTCTATCGCGCATGTCTTTCTTTACTTCAAAGATTGTATATTATATTGACGTTTGTAGTCCGAAATGATTACAGTGTTGAGATTTATTTTAGATATATTTTATGAAAAACATAATAAAATTTTTTATAAGGTAAAAATATTAGTTTTTTATTATTAGTTTGAAAAAAATTTGTCACGTCTAATTACTGTAGGTTAAATATCCGTGCTTACAAAGTAACACAAAGGTTAAGTCATTTTTTTTGTTTTCATATGAATTATTAATGAATAAACAATAACCCTTATTTACATTCAATTGTTTATTTATTGTTATCATTGTTCAAAACTTCAGAACTTACCTTTGGAAGTTTTACAGAAAATTTGATATAAATAATACAGTTAGTTTTATTAAATACATTGATTTAATAAAATTCGTTATCTATGATTAACGATAAAAATTTTTGTGTTTCAGATGTAATCATGATAAATTTGAACGAGAATCAATTAATCGATGATCTGTATTCCATAATTATTTTTTTAAATATATATCATAAAAACATATTATTTTTAATATAAACGAATATTTTTTATTTTTTCAAGAAATTTTAACTTTATTAATTAAGTATTTTTACGCTGAAGTTAATATATTAAGACACAAAAATGAGTGGGATAATTCCGGAAATGGAACAAATTATTAGTCAATTAGAGAGAGGGACGGTAGTAACAAAATTCTTCCAACGCAGGAGACCAGAGAAAAAAACACTTATGATTCGTCGAGAAACTAGACAAGTTGTATGGTCCAAAAGTCCAACTCATAAGCCATTCGATGGCTCTATTGAAATTAGAGAAATAAAAGAAATTGTCGTTGGAAAAAACTCAAAAGAATTTGAAAAATGGCCTGAAGATTCTAAAAAAGTAGAAAATTTGAGATGTTTCATTGTTTATTATGGATCTGAATTTCGTTTAAAGACACTCTCAGCTTCAGCTTTTAGCGAAAAAGAATGCGAATTGTGGGTAAAAGGATTGCGCTATTTAGTACAGGATACTATAAAGGCTCCATATCCATTACAAGTTGAACGTTGGTTACGTAAAGAATTTTATTTCATGGAAAACAATAGAGAAACAGTATCCCTAAAGGAAATAAAAACTTTTATGCCTCGTGCAAGCTGTAAAATTTCTACCAATAAACTTAGAGAAGTTTTTCAAGAAGTGGACACACGAGGCAGGACTGAATTAGGATTTGATGATTTTGTTACTCTTTACCACAAGCTTCTTGTTGATTACACCACATTTCCGGACTGGAAGAAATTACTCAATTACTCATCTTCAGGAAAGATGTTCACCGTACAAGATTTTCAGAATTTTCTCATTAAGGAACAACATGATAGTTTGGGGAATAATCCACATGAAGTATCCCGTTTTATGACTGAATATTTACAAGACCCACAAAGAGATGTACAAAATCCATATTTTACTAATTTAGAGTTTATGAATTTTTTATTTTCTAAACAAAATGATATCTGGAATCATAAGTATGATCGAGTTACTCAAGATATGACAAGGCCTTTATCTCATTATTGGATTGCTTCTTCTCATAATACGTAAGTAAACTGGCATATAAGTTGGAATTGTCATAAATAACTTATTCAGCTATTTTTTATTGAATTAACTTGTGAATTATAAATTATGTTATTTTCAGATATTTAATGGGAGATCAAATCAGCAGTGAAAGTAGTTGTCAAGCATATGTTAGAGCTTTAAGAGCTGGATGTAGATGTATTGAGTTAGATTGTTGGGATGGCCCTGATGGAATGCCTTTTATCTTTCATGGCCATACGTTAACAACAAAAATTAAATTCCTGGATGTTATCAAAACTATTAAAGAGCATGCTTTCGCAACATCTGAGTACGTTTGCCATTGATTTTTTATTTTTTATCATCCAATTTATAGTTCTAAATTAACAGAAATTATCTTTTAGATATCCAGTTATTTTATCAATTGAAGATAATTGTACATTGCCTCAACAACGAAAAATGGCTATTACTATGCAAGAAGTTTTTGGCGATGCTTTATTAACTCAACCTCTTGAAAAAAATGAAACTTGCTTGCCATCACCTTATGCATTAAGAGGAAAAATAATTTTAAAACATAAAAAATTGCCTGACGGTGTAGACGAAAGTACATTTTTTGCAATAAGTAGTCAAAATGCCCAAGAAATGGATTTAAGAAATACTGTCAAAAATGGCATACTTTATTTAGAAGATCCCTCTGACAGAGAATGGTATCCCAATTTTTTTATATTGACTCCTCATAATTTATTTTATACAGACACATTTTCCCAAGCACAAGAACCCGAACTTGATGATGACGATGAGACTGCAACACTTAACCGACAATTAGAAGGAGTGCCAAATGATGAGCTTCATTTTGGAGAAAAATGGTTCCATGGTAAATTAGCACGAGGTAGAGAGGAAGCTGAAGAGCTATTAAGGCGTCATTCTCATCTTGGTGATGGGACCTTTTTAGTCAGACAATGTGTTACATTTGTTGGAGATTATTGTCTTTCATTTTGGCGCAAGGGAAAAGTAAATCATTGCCGAATAAAATTAAAACAAACTTTAGGTCAAACGCAGTACTACCTCATCGACAGTATTTGCTTCGATAGTCTGTATAGTTTAATAACACATTATCGAAACCATCCTCTGAGAAGTCAGGAATTTGTTATAATTCTAAAAGAACCTGTACCTCAACCTTGTAAACATGAAGAAAAAGAGTGGTGGCATGGTGAATGCACTAGAAGCATTGCTGAAGATATTCTTAAACGTGTTCCTACAAATGGTGCTTTCTTAGTCCGGCCTAGTGAGAAAGAAAGTAATACTTACGCGATTTCGTTTAGAGCAGAGAATAAAATTAAACATTGCAAAATCAAATTAGAAGGACGTTTATATACTGTTGGTTCTATACAATTTGAAAGTCTCGTTGAATTAGTAAATTATTATGAAAGAGATCCATTGTATAAAAAAATACGACTTTGTCATCCAATAGGACATGATATACATAATCTAGCATTAGAGGAAGGTGATGGATCTGTATATGGAATCCCTGGATATATGGATCCTGCTATTTTTATATCAAAAGTCACAGTCAAAGCGCTCTATGATTATAAAGCTAGAAGAGAAGATGAGCTGACGCTAGTTAAACATGCCATTATTACGAATGTACATAAGCAAGAAGGTGGATGGTGGAGAGGAGATTACGGTGGAAAAAAACAACACTGGTTCCCTGCTAATTATGTTGAAGAGATTGAATGTCAAGATAGTCAACTTGATTCTCAAGATTCTTTGATGTTAGGACATTTACAAAAAGGCTCGTTAGACATTACTGGAGCAGTTGTGGAAATTGCACTTGCTGATAGACCTGGTTTAGAATGGAGTATAAAAATTCAGAATCCCAATATGTGCACGGTATTCGAAGCTGCTACTCCTTCAAAAGAAACAGCACTAGAATGGCTTGATTCAATCCAGAAAACTGCTCAACATGCAAATGCTCGAGAAAGTCAACATAAAGAGATTGAAAGGGCTTGGAGAATTGCTAAAGAAATTTCAAATCTTATCATTTATTGTCGATCTGTGGCTTTTGACATGGATCGGATAAGTCGCAAAAATTTTGTATTCCAGGAAATGAGCAGTTTCCCTGAGAATAAAGCTGAAAAGCTTATTTGTCAACAAGAACATGCATTCTTTGTAAAATATCATCAAGTACAGTTTAGTCGAGTTTATCCAAAGGGTCAAAGAATTGATTCATCAAACTATAATCCAATGCCATTGTGGAATGCTGGATGTCAGATGGTAGCTTTGAATTATCAAACAGGTGATAAATCGATGCAATTGAATCATGCTAAATTTCGAGAGAATGGCAGCTGTGGATACATTCTTAAACCAGATTGTATGTTTGATGATAATTACAATGCTTATGATAAAAAGTGCTTAAGAAATATTGAAGCATACCGAATTAAGTTGAAAGTTATTGGAGCAAGACATTTACACAAACAGGGAAGAGGAACAGCAAGTCCTTATGTTGAAATTGAAATAATTGGTGCTGAATATGACACAGGGAACAAATTAACTACTAAAACCATATCAGATAATGGATTTAATCCGATTTGGAATGAAACATGTGAATTCGAAGTAGCAAATCCGAGTTTCGCGTTAATTAGATTTGTAGTACAAGACGAAGATGTGTTTGGAGATTGCAATTTTATTGGACAAGCTACTTATCCCGTACGGTGTTTACGAACGGGTTACAGAAGTGTTCCACTCAAAAATCAATATAGTGAAGACCTTGAACTTGCTTCACTCTTAGTACATATCACCATTACAAAATTTATATTGAATTAATTAATTATACACTTATAATCGAGTCAAAGAGCTATTTTCATGCTTAATTGCTTAATTGAGCGTTGCCTATTTGGGGCATCAATTTATCTTGATTGTAGTCTTCAACAAACTATAGTTTTATAAGAAATAAACGGATGTTAATTATAAATGTATTGCTAATGATTCATTGCAATTTATTTTATTTTAAACAACCAAATCTATTGTTCTAAATATTTATAAAAAATTGAAAAAAAATTGAGACTTTAAACAGTTTATTACTCGTACAGTGTAAATTTTTAATTTCATTGGGGCTTTGAAATTTGCGTAATAAAATATACAAAATCTTCTAAGCCGTTTTAGCTCGTATGGCAGCACGTTTTCCGGTGACAGCCTGAAATTAAAAAAGCCCAATTATGTATTTTACTTCCATAATATGCCAAAAAATTATACTATTTAAAAATATAACTTTTGACTGAATAATCAAATACAAATGCTAAATGGAGCATGAATATTTTGATAAATCAAAGAGATAAATATCCGTTAGACGTTATAAAAATTGTACAATACATGTATTGAACTATTTTTTTAAATATTGATGAATTTCTTTTATATCAAATGAATTTATTGTATATTATTCATAATAAAATTAGCTACTTTCAATAAACAAAAAAATGTTAAATGTACAATACAATAAAAAAAAAATTTACCTGAAATCCTGATTTGATGCTAGCTACTGAACACCTTGAACCACATGTTTCACATTGCAAGAAGAAAAGTCTAGTATCTTTTTGAAGTATAGTATCAGGAGATCTACAGGTGTGACATGTGACATATTCTTTAATATATCTTCTTAATACATTTTCAATTTGCTTTTGTTGAAATCTTCCTTTAATGATAAGTTGACTATTACCATCTACAGAACCACTGGTTCCCAATTCAGCTAATAAGAAATCTAATAAATGTTTTGGCTGTCTATGCAAAGTCTTACAAATCTGTAACATTAAAAATAAACAATTAGTAATTTTTATATGTAGTTAAAAATAATCGATTAAATATGATTTAAAATAATTACTTCAGTGAAATTAGCGAAGGATGATTTTTTTGTGCCAATACGAACAACTTGTGGCGGCCGCATAACGAATTTCTGTTTTTTCCCAGCAACCATATCAGGATTCTTTTCTCTCATAATATTAAATACTCTTAACAACAATTCATCATAAGTATAATCTCTATCAGATTCCGCCCACAGGTTGGTTTCTTCCACTGTAAAGAAATTATCAAACATAAAATAAAGGTAATAATGAAGCATAAAAATTAGAGTTCATCAATGAAATATTAGTGAACCAATGATGCGAAAGATGATTCTTGCACTAAGATGAATACTGTGTTAAAGGAAGTGCCCAAGAAAAAGTTACTAATGCCAGAGAGCTAATTAGGTAATTCATTCAGCTAATATCCTCTTACCATATTCTGCACTTCGCTCAGAATGAGTGCAGCATGTTAACAAATAATAACCGACGTAAATATCTGGGGGAGGATATTAAATTTTGTAATAATATGTAAAATATATATTTACCATTCTCTTTATCTTCACTTTCTTTTCTTTCTTCTTCAGCAACCAGCTCATCTAGATCCTTCTTTTTTTTCTTTTTCTTTTTCGTTTTTGAAAAGTCCATATCTAGATCTAGGTTATCATCAGCAGCTATTTCTTCATTCCTCGATTCTGTGACATCCTAAATGACAGGGTAAATTAAAAGTTAATTAAGCAAGCTATGATTTAAATAACTAGTAAACATTATAGATATTATGCAGATGATAGTACCTCTTAACATAAATTGAAAATAAGAAAAAGATTTTAAAGAATACATTTAAAACCGGTTTGGTGGGAATACTTTGTAAAATAGTTTTGTTGGTTAATTTGTCAATGGATAATAGTGTTAATTGAATCCAATTTAAAACGATTCTATGAATGAATGATAGAAAAAGTGTATACCTCTTTTTTACTTTCAGGCAGGGCATTTTCTAATTCATCTAAATTAAAGGCTTTCTTTTTTTTCTTCTTCTTTTTTCCGAAATTTTCAAGATCTAATGCTTCATCATCTTCTGGAAGCGGTTGCTCCGGTTCTTGGTTTTCCTTATCACCTGCACCTTCAGTACCTTCATTGCCACTTCCTCCTTCTGTGATGGCAGCATCTAGATCAAATGTGGTCTTCTTTTTCTTCTTCTTTTTCTTTAACGTTGGATCAAATATCTAGAAAAAATATATTTCAATTAAAATAATATTTATATTATTTTTAATATAATATTAATAACTTTTTTAATGAACATATGAATTTATTGTAGAAATCAATAGACATGATTATTTAAAAATACTCCATAAATTGTTAAAACTTAAATTATAAGATATAAAAAATGTATACATACAGAGTCTTCTTCTGACATTTTTGTGTATTTATTGAATCAACAATAGATTTATATTCCAAACAGTTTTTTAAAAATTTATTATAGTTTTAGAACACGATGTCGATTGCATCAGATTTTTCTGAGGTCTTTGCTAGACATTTTTCATAGCACATTTCACATTTAAACCAGGTTGACCAACTACATAATCATAAATTTTATCGTAGATACATGAAAATAAACATTAGGCTTCATGCCGTTGCAAGTGTCATGAACCTTATGAAAAACAGTTTGGAGTGCAAGTAATTTTTTAGTGAAATATAATTCAATTTAATATAAAATGTATGTAAATATGAAATAATTTATTTATTTAATTAAATAAAGTTTATTATTGATCAATTTTTCAAACATAATCTGTGCAAATATTCGAAAAATATCGACATGCCGCATGAAATGTTACAGGATAGGTTAGTTTATTAAAATGAGACATATATAAGTACATAAACAGTTATATTGAACATGTATCAATATTCCATACTAATATTTATCATTTGAATTAATAATAATGAGCTAATTAGGTAAAGGAAGATATCAAGACACAAACTTCAGCTAGATAATTGTTCTTTATTAAAAATATTCTTCAAAATCAATGTTTAATACTTGAAAGAAAAATTCAAGATAAAATATTTTGGAGTTTTTTTTACAAATTGTTATAATTAACATTAAAATTGCAAGCTAAAATTTTTCAAAACACTATTACTTTATTGCCAATTTTGATATGGGTAATAAGAGGGAAGAACTCGATTAATCATATGGAAATTGTCTAGATATGGTCATGTAAGTGTCATTACTTAAATTTTAAAATTATTAATATTATCAGTCTGCTCGTAACACCGGACGCATTGGAGTATTATTTCTATAAATATACACTTGCAGTAATATTCCTAAATCGATTATTACTTGCAACGCCCCACATATTGCAAATTGAATAGGAGTTTTGCGATGAATAAAGTAACATGTTTTAAATGTGTCACCCACCGTCCACATGGTAACCATAACTATGCTGAAAGCATTTTAAAAAACATTAGTATTTGCCATGTATGAAATGCATAAAATTTTTAAATGATTGTAAATAGATAATGATACCCTAGAATACATTTATAGATTAATAGTACTAGCCTATATGTGGTCATACGACTAAGTTCTAAGAAATTATGATGCACTATGAGATTATAATTGTAATATAAGATACTATTGAGCATTAAACAGTATCTCATTGAAAGAGACATTAAATAGAACAATACTTTAATTAGCATGTGTTACTGTTAGTAGCATGAAATGAAATATTATAGCAATTAATGTTCAAGTAACGTATCATTTACATCCTGAGATTTTCATTTACCTCATTCCATCAGTTGATTTGTTATCTAGATTTCTTAAAAATTGTGGAACACCAAGCATTGCTTCGGTCAAAACTGCGAAAAGACCCACAGTTTCAACGAAAATTGGGTATCCCACGAAAAGGTACATAATTATTCCACCAACCAATCCGAAGAGCAATACAAAATCCAAATAAGACTGAAAGTCTGTCCATTTCCAAAAGTAGTTAATGTCCAAATCTATTTAAATTATTTTTAATGGAACTACATGAATACAAACAAGGATTCAAAGGGAGCTTATAGCCAATATTAAGTTCAGAAAAATTAATTAATGGAGTTTGTATCTAGTGATGACCAAACATATCTGTTAGTTACACTGGTTAATTCCGTTTTTACATACCTGTAAATACTCTTTCCTTTGCCTTTATTATTTGGTTTTTATTATGTACACTCACACATAACTTAATCATAAATAGCATTGTGATATTCATTAGAATACTTTGAAATAATAGAGGTAGTTCAAAACGTTTTCCAAACCTGAAACAAAAATGAACAATTGGATTATTCGTTCTAAAATAAAGTAGCAGAAATAATTATTTTTTCTGTTTTGTTTTTGAAAAAAATACTATATTCAACAAATTAATTTGTTCTATCACGAAAATGATATGATAGATTTATGACGTTATTCCAAAAGAAATTCTTCAAGTTCATAATTATCATGATGAGTCATTTAATGACTTAATCATTGATATTTTTAGTAAGTTTTAAATTGAATGAATTAAATATAAAACACATACCAAAATAATATTCTCAGCGTGTTAGCAATAAGGAGAGCCAAACAAACATATAATGAAAATCCTTCAGCATCTTCTTTTCTTTTAATTTCATTGTATTGAGGAATGTAAGGTATTACACCACCAAAGATAATAGCTGCAGATGCAATCCAGTTTGCAAGGTCTCCAACAACAAAATCACTATGTGATTCCTCCATATTTATTTTAGTGGAAGAACGCTGATATATTGGTATTTTTTGATATTCAAATCATTGATTTAGAATATATTCTTAAAGAATCTGACACCAATATCAAAGCCACTTGAAGATATAGAGCATTTGTAGGTTATGTCACTATAAAGTATAAACCTACTATTAAAATAATTAGTACTGGAATAGTACAATAGTAGTTAGAATTGATAAATAACATGTTAGCCTTCAATGTCTCAAAGAATATTTAATAGGAGAATAATTATGAACCATAAAAAAAATGATTCATTGTAATCAAACTTTTAATTTACCATCAATTTTTGACATTTATCACAACCACTCTTATCTTCTTTATGACTGAGAAGCATAATACTTTTTTACATGGCACTAATAAATTAATTATTAATTTATTTATCACAAATTTTAGTCATTATATGACGAAATAGTGCCATATTTTTTGGCTGACCTGTCAGCTATGTCATACAGAACTGTCAGCTATCAGTTGATGAACTCACCGCTTCAGAGCGTGAGTGTTGCTCCAAAAAAATTTTTTGCACGTGGTATTTCTAGGCAATGTTATCAATGACGTAAGAAATGATTTGTGGGACGCATTCTTGTGCTAATAATAATGGATTAATACAACTTCACTTACAATACATAAGTTGTTAACGATAATCAACTGAATAACGAAGCACATTGTTGTATTTTAGTAAATTTTTTATTTAATTATTATTGAATATGTTTTTCACAGTGGAGATATTTGAATGTATGCATTTAATAATTTTTTTGTTATTGTTCTTTAGAGCATGGCATCAATTAGATTAATTAGCCAAGTTTTAAAAAGAAGAACTTACTCAGTATCCGGTGTTCCAATACTTTTATCATCCTGTTATCGAAATACTAATAACATTATAATAAAAAAATATTCGAGTCGACGACCATCAGAAATTTCGAAGGTTGATGAAGATGACCTTAAAAATAAAATACGAATTACAACTGCGGATGTAGGTAATTTTTTACCATTTTTTATGAGCAAAATAACCAAAATAATTGAGATGAAGAATCAAAAAAATTGTGTTTAGGAAAATATAAAAACTATGTGAAGAAAGTTAAAGTAACAGGTTATTATAACCTACAGATTCGGTTGCAAAATCTCTGTCTTCATCTTAGTTGTCTATTTGTTTTGTTGTGCACAAATAATAATTCAATTTGCTAATAATTTATTTATTTATTTTGCAGTTAAAGAGCATACTAAATCAGCTTGGTACTTCTCGGTGATAATCGCTGGTCTAGGAGTCACCGCTTTTATGTTTTTTGCTGTGTTGAGTGAATTATTCTCGGATAAAAGTCCAAACAGCATTTATAGTAAAGCTGTCGAAAGATGTATGAATGATCCGAAAGTGATTGATGCTTTAGGAGAACCAATTAAAGCATATGGTGAAGAAACTCGCCGGGGTCGTCGTAGACATGTCAGTCACTTGGTTTATATGCATAATGATAGAACATATATGAGAATGCAATTTTATATTCAAGGAGCTCGGAAACGTGGTACAGTACACTTAGAAGTTCGAGAGGTAAATAAAAAATTATATTTTGAACTATCTTTACAATATTAATGTTTATTTTCAATTAATTTCTTCTTATAGAATAACAAAGGTCAATTTGTTTATCGATATTTATTCATACAATTGGAGGATTTACTAAATACTGTAATTGTCCTGGAAGACAACAGAGCTACTGAAATGGAAAGTAATAAAGTTGAAGATTTAGCTCCTTTCAATTTTCCAGTCATGCCATCATCATCGTAAATCATGGGTGAAAGAAATGTAATTTTTACGAATTTATAATTTTCGTTTTTTTTTTATTTTCTAGTCTAAGGTAAAAAATTTTATGCAGTTGACAATTTTTGCAAATAAACATTTTTCCATTAGTTGATTTTGATTGTTCATTTGAAATAGAAAGAAATGAACAAAAAATATGACTTTATTTCAAAAAAACCATGCGTTCACGTAAAAATGAATACTTAACTCATATATTTATTTAGGTTTTAAAAAAAAATGATTAAGCTGCTACTCTTTATGTTAGAACATAAAGATAAAATAATTTCTGAGTTTAAGCAAAATCTATGTAATCTTCATCTTTCGATCTTGGATAAACATTTTAATCTTAATAGTGTTAAAAATAAAGTACAATCTTCCTCTCTTAGAACTATTTTAAAGTATTCTATTAGTGATCACAGCACTAGGAATTTTTTTAAGCCATTAAGGTATCACTGTAACGATTGACTCCAATATAAATTCCTTGTTATTAATAATATTATTCAATAATCTGATTATTTAATTTAATATTCATGAATACCGTTAAAGTTATCTTAACACTTAATATTCTTTTATTGAACAGAATAGTTTAAATTGATTTCGATCGTTATTGAATGACACAAGTAAAATATCAAAAAAATGTCAACTAAATTCTAAAGAAAAACAAAACTCAGCTGAGAATTTAATCTTTGGTTTTGATCAATACTTTACGGGAAGCCGTAGACCAATCTTTGTGGTCATTACATGGTATAATGACTCTAAACTCAAATTTAACCATGACATGAAGATAAAAATGTCTTTGGAGATAAGCTGGAGTCTAAAAAGAGAACCGCCGAATTGTGTCAGAGATCTAGGAAATCATGAATGTTACAGTGTGATTCATAAAAAGTTATTACTAATATATAATATTAAGTCAGATATGTGTACTTTGTTCTACTATAACACTTATGAATGGCCAATACATTGACCATATTAGTCGTCTGATCTTACCTAAGACTCCAAATTGCGTGAGAAGTAGGGAGAGGCCCTATCGTAGCGTCAGTAACATTGCGATTCATGTAGAATCTTACATCGGTTTAGTTGCGTTTATACCAGCGAGTCGACTAATCAACGATTTGCTCTTGGAACTCATTAACATAACAAGATAGATCTTTTAAGCTTCTTGTCAATCATAACAGTCTCTCAGTCTTTTTTGAAATGACAAGTGCTGCATCTCTTAAGTTATTTTATTTAATATACAATCAATAACTTGATGGTTTTATTGAAGGAAGAAGAAGAAAAAAAGAAGAAGCCAAAGTGATTTTAAAAGCTCAAGATTAAATTAAGAAGAAAAAGATCAATTAAAAAATGGCCAATTGTGGATCGTGGTGTTCAGGAAAAATGAGGTCTCTTTTTCGAAGAAAACCAAGAGAAATATCTATGAATGAAGTCTGCACCGAGCCTGATTGTCTTCCAAAACCTCCAAGTGAAACAGAAAATGGTTCGTATATTTTTAACTCAATTAACTCCAATGTGTTGCAGAGATAATTATAGTTGATTAAAAAAATTTAAATACTACCTAGGAATGAATTTTTTATTGTGGTTATTCATTATATTTTTTATTCTTTATAAATTCTACTTTTATTATCATATGGAAAATTCTGTATGTATCGACTTTTTATCATCTTGAACGTATTATTTGTACAAACTGGTTATATGAATATTAGGTGTAGAATAAAAATACCTTTTTACTCTATTATTTGCATAATTATCAAAAGACCCTGAACATACAAGGGAAAATAAAAACAAACTATTGTTTTTAGTTTAGGTTTTAAACAATTGATTATTTATTGTAAACAATAGATTATTAGAAAAAGTTCGTTTCATTAGATAGATATAAAACACATATTTCTGACTTAAAACTACAACTGATAAAGTGATGAATTTTATTAAATAAATGAACATAATTTAGTGTTTGCGTGAATCGAAATTATGAAAGCTCGTCTATTCCACATGCACATGAACTTAGATCATAACAAGGTTAATAGCCTAAGTGCTAGGTGAAGAGTCTTCATTTCTTCCAACCCACGTGGATTTCATTTTACTTATTAATTTTTTTCCTATTAGGAATGCATTGATGACACATATGACACGAGGAATTTTATTAATGATTAAGGAAGACTTTAGTGAGAATAATCAACTCATCAACAAATAACGAATCATGGTTATTTTTAAAAATTTGATTAAATAATCGGTATTGTGTCAACAACGTCAACATTTACAAAGTTTGTTGATTTATCCTGACCATGAGTTCTTCTCTGGTCAAGGACGCTTTTCTCAAGACAGATCTTGGAATTACAAGCGATCTATAATCTATATTCAGAAAATATGGAAGACGCTGTAGTAGCAAACCGCGTGGGAATAATCTAAGCTGGTGTCTTAAAAAGCATTTAAACTGGCATGTTACCTTGATCAGGCTGAGAATAGATTGACTGTGGATATAATACTAACTTGTATAAGACGATACGATTGACTGGAAATACATCTCATCTGTCTAAGCCACTTGGCCAGTTCTCTGTGTGTACACACAATACACGTATATATAGATATGACTAAACAAATCTTTCAAGATGCATCTCACATTATTTTACGCATAAGTGCAGTCTAAAAATGAAATGGTGAAAATTGCTGAAAATCACTAATAAATATTCGGTTACATAAGTCTTATACTTCGTCATCATTTTGGGAGAGTGAAATAATGCAATAAATTTGTACATGTGTAGCAAATGAGCGAACATAACACTTCACCTTATTGACGTTTATTATTGTTACAAGTACAACGCTTTGTGATTCTACGGTAATAAAACATTCTACTATTTATAATTTGTGAATAACAAACAGTCGGTAGGTAAAAATAGATGGAGAAAAATTAATTTTTTCCCATCTTAACAGTTCTTTAAATATTCCCTATTAAATTTAATTGATGTAAAATATTTAGTTGAAATAAGTTTGACGATTTTGGTTCAATGTTGAATTTAATCTGAAGTGGGTGAGATTTTATTAAATTAGTAAATTGATAGAAATAAAAAAAAATCATTGTACCAATAGTAAGAAGCAATGATGCTTGAAAGAATTTTAATTCTTAGTTATTGGACATGATAAACTAATCTGAATAATTTTTATAAATAAAACATACATATTTCAGATATTTCATGATTATTGAAGATTTATGAACAATTTTATGTAATATTCTTTTGATCACGTTTCGAAATTTTTATCAAATCAATGTTTATATAATTTTAGATAAATACATTTTATTATGTAAAAAATTGAACGATATTGAATTATGTTGATAAAAAATGTCAGAAAATATTCACAAGTTTTAATTATATTTATTATTAGATATAGAACTATATGACTTGGACAGAAATAATTCTTGTAATTTTTGGGTCACTTGTTTTAATCACTTGTATAAAAATTAATGTGTTCATATCAACATTAATTAATGTTGTTAAAATGTTTTAATTACAACAAATTAAACAAGTCAATTTAATATTTAAGTCTCAATAATAATGATTATTTAATGTTAATTTTGTCAAAAAAAACACCAAAAGTTACATTAGTTAATTAATACTGTTTATTTACTTAATTATTTTTTGATAAAAATTAACTTGATTAGGAAAATTACGTTTCATTTCCTCGAAATTGATTAAAAAGTGATTTCATTTAAAAGTCCATTTTCCAATATGTTATCATCACTGTTAACTACATTTTTAGTCCATTTCATTAGTTTTATCATGTACTGACATTTTTATCAACAATTAATTAATTATTACGTGTAAATCATAAAAACATTTAGAAAAAAAGTTAATTCAACAGAAATCATTGAAACTACTATCAACTATACTAAAGCGATCACTGAGAAAGACCATTCATAACTAAGATTTGTCGTCGATGATAAAAATGTTCTTCATCATTAATTACAAAAAAAGGCTAAACACCTGCGTAAGAGAAAATTAACCATCTTAAACGATTCCTTTTTAAGACCAGTAGAATAAAAGTTTAACATTTACACTGATGTAGGGATAAATGTTCCAACTTATATCAAGAAAAAATCCATGTCTAAGGATTACTACATAGAATAGTAAATGTCATATAACTTATTTGACATCAATTAATTTATTAGTCGCCAAAATTGTCTTTAACAATCTTATATATTTTCCACATCTGTTTATTATCGACACATCAATTTATTCAGCTGTTACAAATTAGCTCATTTATAGATTAAATGAGTCTGGATATTTTCATTTTATTATTGATGCTAATGATATAATTCGATGAGAGAGTGCTCCCGTTAACCAAATGCATCGTCAATCTTTCGCATTGACTAGAAGGTCTTTGGTGGCGTCATGTTATATACATATAGGGAGGAATAATCAAGATATGTGACAATAACGATCATAAAACTTATATTTACAATTTATTGCATATAGACTTACAATCAGTAAGTTATACTCGATATTGAATCATTTAATTACACACAAATGTGTGGAAGTCATAAATTTAACATTGTGTAATAATTTCATTCAGATCATCAAATCTTATTCATAACTTTCCACCCATTTTAGCTCTACTTCTCAGTTTTAATGAGACAATTAATATACAAATTAATTTACGACTGCATTGAGACATTTATTTCCATGACAGTGATTTTTTTAAATAAAATACTGATGTAATGACAAGAAAAATAAATTGCAATTTTATTTATGATTAATTGAACTATCCATTATAACTTAAGACTACTGATTTACAATAAATTTTGCTACTACTAATTGAGCTATAATGAAAAGATGTTCAATGATTATTTTTAAATGTAATTACTAATTTTTTCATAATGAATTGTATACAATGTTCAACAAGCTTTCTAATTGAATTTAATGATAAGTTTCTTTGACATACAATGATTTATTCTATATTATGAAGCAATATGCATCTCATTAACGCACACACTCTTCTTTCTCTTTTTCTATACTATTGCATGCTGCGTAGGTATTATTCAGTAGAAGCACCCAAGATGGTCAGACATTTAGGTGAGACAAAGCTATCTGTTTGATGAATGGTATCCTACAGAAATTTCTTGTATGAATTAATACAAGGAAAGACAGTTATTTAGCATAAATTAGTGACGGACAATTATTGCAAGAAAAAAATCTGTAAACTTTTACTATAATTTCGTTGAATTACCACTTGAAAAATTCTGATGATTAAGCAATGCTGATGATGATGATGGTTCTTATGAAAGATGTCTAAAATTGAAGAATGAAGTGAATAAACTTGGATGATTATTAATACAGATTCGAAGAAAAGGGTAAATGTGAGTTATCGGTTGGAATAAGGATGCTGAATCAACTCATATGACTGGTGATGACAAATAAGAATGCTGTTGATAGTCTACAATTGATTTCGAAATGAATGAGTTTATGATCAAAAAATAGATATGAATAATTTTATGGAGTTTTTTTTAGTGGACTTCTTGATAAGTTGAAATTACATTATTGAAGATTTTTATTTTTCTTCAAATGACAATGCTTTATTGCAATTTATTATCAGAGGAATGATTCAGAAGTAATAAACACAATCAGAAAAATGGTAAATCCAACTCATTCTTCTTCATGTAGATATAATCTAAGTTACAAGTTGAAGATCTATCCAAGAATGGAGGGTAACATTATTTACGTTAATGTCCATTAAAAGATTCCTTGTGTAATTACTGATTTTTTCTATTAAGAATTAATTCCTTATTGGAATGATTGGACGCACCTAGTCTTGGAATTCATGGTGCAACCAATGCAAGTGGGTGACAGACTTCCACTCTCTTGGATCCCACCAATTACGGAATCTGATGAATATTGCACGTGGAAAGAAAGCCTTGAATCTGACGACGTATTTATTATACGCGTTTAATACAACACACCATGCATTTTTTTTACAGATTCATCCCACCAGTTTGTCTACATAGATCTCTCATAATCCTAATAAATTCAGTGACTATAACGTAAGCTCCTGGCACGGTACAGATCTGAGCTCGGAGTCATTCAATTGTTGATCTTCGTTCGTGGCTACTCGTGTTGTATTTCCGCTCTATTAAATATATTTCGCCCACGTTCGGCTACACCCACGCGATATTGTTACGGAAGAGATTTTAAAAAAGGGGGAAATTTAAATTAGGAGAATTGTTATTGTTATTATATAGACCAGTTTTTTTAGTTACAATTTCGGTTTGAAAATAAACATAAAAATAATTTGCATTCACACCACGAGTGTGCTATTTCATTTTGACAATTCCACTTTTCTACTGGGCTAATCAGCAATTCACAGGATTACGAGGATGTTTTACAGATTTTATGATCGCTACCGCGCCTTCAACGACCGGCGTTTCAGGCCGTTTCCATTCAGATTTCATTGTGAGTACGTGAGAACTAACAAGAAAGAATGAGACGAAAAAATAAATACAAGAAAATTGGTGGCTTTTTTAATTCTTCTCCAAAAGATTTATTTACTCATTTATTTGCATTTTTAATCTTAGCTTTTTTATTTGGAATTTTGTTTAAAAGGTCTACTGCTATTTCTCATCTTTTACAGGGGGAGAATTCGGAGTACCAATGTTGACAATAGTACGAGTAGATCCACTAATTGTGGAGAATGGAGAAGCTCACCATACATCAAAATATGAAATTATGAATCGTGATGGTGCAGATGCTAGACTGGTAGTTCGTCGAGGTCAAGAATTCTTCATGAGACTGCATCTTAATAGAGATTATGATAGTAAAGTTGATGGGCTTTCTGTTGTTTTTACTCTTGATGGAGTCAAAAGGCCACAGTATGGACATGGTACCTTTGTAGTTGCACCTTTGCTCAATGAAGGAGAAATATCTGAGGGAGCCTGGCATGCAACGCTGTATTCTGTAGAAGTTAATTCTATGGTGATAAAAGTATGTTTCAAAGTTGTACTTATATTTTTTTATTGAAATATGATTTATTCATTGTAATTTAAATGCTCTTTCAGATTACTTCTCCTCCCAATGCATTAGTAGGCAAATGGAAAATTGAAATTGATGCCAAAAAGAAAAATTCAGGAGGTGCTATCAGCTTTAGTGTCAATGAACCTTTTTACATCATTTTCAATCCTTGGTGTCCAGGTATTGTTATCAAAACCCGAGAAAAAATAAAATAGATCTACACTGATCCACATTTTCGCCGTTTTTTAGATCTAATTTAATCTAAGTAAATCTATGCATATCTAGTGAGATCACTAAATATCTACACAAATTACTGTATGTCTATTTTAAAAAAAATTTAATACATCTACAGAGATCACAGAAGATCTAAAGTGATCAAAACAGATGTACACAGAACAAAGTAGATCTAATTGTGCCAAAAAATAGATCTAAGTAGATCAATGTAGATCTTTTTTATTTTTTCCCAGGAAATATTACTTTTTTCTCAATTTACCATAGAAATAGTTGTTTAAAATAATAGGATATATTCTTTTAACAATATTTCCTGATAACTGAATTATAATTTGTTGATTCATTTGCTCTTTTGTACTTTGAAATTTACTATATAATATATTACAATCACACCCTACATGAAATGCTTTGTAATCAACCACACGTGCGAAACAAAGGGTGGATTTAATAATATCTAAACTGTACTGTCATATTTTTATTTTTTAGAAATACTGTGGTTATTAAGAATGATGTTTGCTTTTAAAGGAAAATTTTAATTGCTTTGAAAAACTTTTTATCTAGTAGAGAAATTATAATTATATCGAAGTGATAATTAGACATTTTTGGTATTAAATGAGACAAATCATCATAATTCTGAGAAATTGTTATGATATAAATGGATCTATTTATATGAAAACAGAAGTACATAAACACACGTGCACCAATTACTGCCACGACACATCATATAAACTTCATGTATTAAGTAACTAGAAACTAATATTCAGGAAGGTTGCTGTAATTATTTTTAGAAGTTTTACTTTTATAGTTTTGTTCAGAGTACATTCTCTTGAGAAATAAATGTTGAGAAATAAAACTAATCATCTGATTTACACGATAATTTTCATGTAGGTGGAAATAGCGTGTGATCAGATTACTGATAAAAATGTTTGCAACATTTAAAATAACTCTAAGCAATAATTTTTATTTCACTTTTTAAAATTTGTTTCAACTGCTTTAAAATTATTCCCACCAATATTAGGTTACATTATCAGTTAATTGTTTTCGATTTTATCTACAAACTAAATTTAAAAATATTTATTTTATTATTATAATAATTAAAATATAATTACTTTTAGATGATGAGGTATTTCTTGATGATGAAAACAAACGTCAAGAATATGTAATGGCAGATACTGGACTTATCTGGAGAGGAAACCATAAATCAATGAGACCAACTGTTTGGAAGTATTCCCAGTTTGAAAAAGATATATTAGACTCTGCTCTATATCTGATGATAGAAGTTGGAAAAGTTCGATCTGCTGCAAGAAATGATCCAGTAGTAATAAGTCGAATACTTTCTGCAGTCGTCAATTCTCCAGATGACAATGGAGCAGTTATGGGAAACTGGTCGGATGACTTTAGTGGAGGAACTGCTCCAACAAAATGGTTAGGATCTCAGAAAATTCTTCAACAGTATTACAAGACCAAAAAACCAGTTAAATATGGACAATGTTGGGTTTTTTCTGGAGTTCTGGCAACTGTTTGCAAAACTTTAGGCATACCGTGTCGTGTTGTAACTAATTATTCTAGTGCTCATGATACTCAAGGAAGTTTAACTGTTGATTACTTTGTTGATGCTCAGGGCAAAATAATGGAAGAACTGAATAGTGATTCAATTTGGTAAACGAATAATTCAAGTTTTTATATAAAATGCTTGTTAGAAATAAACTACATGAAGGTATTTATCAATAGGAATTTCCACGTCTGGAATGAAGTTTGGATGAAAAGGCTAGATCTTGGAGAAGAATATCACGGATGGCAAGCAATCGATGCTACGCCTCAAGAACTAAGTGAAGATGCTTATCGTTGTGGTCCAACATCTGTTGCAGCTATTAAGAGAGGAGAAGTTCTTCGACCTTATGATGGAGGGTTTCTCTTTGCTGAAGTCAATGCTGATAAAATATTCTGGAGATATAACGGTCCTACTCAACCTCTTAAGTTAATCAGAAAGGATATTTATGGGTTTGTAATTTTATCTTTGTAAGGTGAGATATTGAACATTTTTATTACTCGTACTGATTTTATTTTTAGCATTGGAAAGCAAATCAGTACAAAAGCAGTGGGCAGTTGGACTCGAGAAGACTTAACGCATGCATATAAATATCCTGAAGGTAATTATAAAATATATTAATTAATTCAAAACGGTGTTGTATATGTAAATTAACCGAGTGATTCATTCTTAGAATCTTATGAAGAAAGACAGGCTATGCTGAAAGCTTTGCACCAAAGTGAATCTCTGTTTAGTCGTTATTATTTAAATGAGGAATTTAATGATATTAAATTTGATTTTGAACTTCGTGATGATATTGTAATTGGAAAACCTTTTAGGTAAGTGAAGATAAATGATCTTGACTGGCTATTGGGTGTGGTCAAGAGTTATACAAAGATAATCTTTGATCTCGCCAATTATGATACTGAAATCTTCCATAATTTTTCTAGTGTTGTTCTGCTGATAAAGAATCGAAGTGTTGATACAAAGTACAGAGTTTCAGTAATTCTTCGTGTAGAAGTAGTTCTGTACACTGGACGAGTAGGAAAGCCAATTAAATCAGCAGAGACTGATCGATTAGTAAAGCCAGGAGTACTGGAAGAAGTTCGTTTAGATCTTGCTTATGAAGAATATGGACCAAGATTACTAGACCAATGTGCCTTCAATATTGCTTGTCTAGCTACTGTCAAAGACACCAATTTTGAGTACTTTGCTCAAGATGACTTCCGGATACTTAAACCAAATATTGATATTGAAGTTAGTAATCAGCATTTTTGTATAGCAATAAAAAAAAATATTTATCGATATTAAATTTAAAAATATTAATTTGTAGAGAAAAACTGAAGCTATCGTAGGTTACATTTTGGAAGCTACTGCAGCTTTTATCAACCCATTACCAACTCCTCTCAAAAATGGAAAGTTTCTTATTGAAGGACCTGGCTTGGATCAACAGCTAAAGATTAAGCTTTCTCAAAATGTTCAACCTGGTGAAAAAGCAACCTGTACTTTTTCTATGATTCCTAAGTTCACTGGAAGATCAACGATTGTTGTGAAGTTTTATTCTGACGAACTTGATGATGTCGATGGCTTCGTTAACTTCATGGTACAACCTGCTGAAGCATATAATTAAGTTATTTAAATGAATAAATATATTTCTTTGTGGTACTTACGTAGATAGTATTAATTTTTTTGTTTTCATCACCAAAATGTTGATTTTTATATAATTTTATTGTACGAATTTCATGTTCTTAGTGAAAATATTTCAAGAAACAAAAATTATACAGTGAATTGATATTGAAATTATTTCTAGTTATATTTTTCTGTATTTTTATGAAAACTCAATTTGGAATGAATTTAGGTTTCATAATGTGGAGCAAATAATATATTTTTAAAACTGCCGCTGTAAATTATATTTTTGAAACTATGTTAATTTATAAAATGAAATAAATACTAATTTATTAAATATAATTATGAGTTTTATTGAAAAAGAGTTGATATTCAATTAAAATCCCATAAAATGTCATAAAAATAATTGATTATAATTTTATATAATGAGATTCTTCATTAAGCACAAAAATTAGTTTAATGTAATGACAGTATTTATTTAGGCTATGGAGAAAAATCTTATTGAGTATCAATGAGTTATGATAAGCAAATTGCTTTGAGATATTTCCAGAAGATTTACAATCAATTATTCATCTAATTATTGAAACATTGATTGCTTATTTAAATCAGTAATATTTTATATCCATTAGACATTTATTTGGTCAGTATGTTGACTGATAATTTTTCTTATTTTATGGATTTTTAATGATTTAAAATACCATTAGATATTATTAAAACTTATGTTATCGTTCATCATGTTCTATTAAAAATCTCTTATCAGTAAGAAAACAATTAATAGTTTTTTTATGATTTTAACAAGACAATAATAGATACATCTCCGATTACTGCTACAGGAAATCGGTCAAATCACAGTTCCTAAATTTTGTACTGAGTGGGGAGATGTTCTAAAGTATTTAAGAAGTATTGTTTTTAATAATCATCATACATTTGTACTTAGTTCTTGGAATAATACGTTACAATGTTTTCGTTTATAGGTAAATATTCATATAAACTTTTTTTTATAATATTTATTAACTTACAAACTTATAATTTTGTAGGGAAAATTAAAACGTGGTTTGTAAACGCGTTTTGTGCCGTGATTGGGTGGATATCACACTTCTTTGGATCCATAAAAAGGAAGTTCTATCGACCAAAGACTCTTCCAAAACCATCTAAAGTGAATGTAATACCAATAGCACCAGCCAATTCAGCAAATTTGCCTAAAATAGTTGGTAAGATTATTCGTAATTGTTAAAAAGTTGTCTCGAAATATTTATTTATCCATTATTTTATTATTTTCCCATAGGAAAGAGCGATGGAAAAGTACAGTTCCTTAAAATCATCAGTTGGGATCTTATGATTGAAAGTAATGGACAAGCTCATAACACATCTCTATTCGATCTCATGAACCGTACAGGCGCTGATAGCCGATTAGTAGTTCGACGTGGTCAAGAATTTTTCATAAAGTTAAATCTTGATCGAGATTATGATCCTAAGATCGATGGAATTTCTCTTGTATTTACATTAGAAGGAATTGAAAAGCCTCAACATGGTAACGGCACCTTTGTAATTGTACCTGTGTTGAATGTTGGAGAAGATGCTGAAGGAAGCTGGCGTTCAACGTTGTATTCCAAGGAAGTTAATTCAATTGTTGTAAAGGTAAGGCAATTCAAATCAAGTAACTTTAACTAATGTTATAAAAATTAATGGAAATCAATAAACTAATTTTAAAATTACTTATAAAACCACTTATACATATATTGAAAAAACACACTCTATTATCGAACTGCTTTTTAATTATTAAAAAAAATTATTTTTTAATGTATCGTTATTATAAATTTGTAATAACTTGAAAATAATCTAATTGAGTTCAAGTTACTTTAAGGATTTTAATGGGTAAAGTAATTACTAAATGATTACCTATCAAATATTAAAATGTCGCCGATAAAATTGAAATAAATGATTGGAAAATGATTTTAATATCGTTCATTATACTTTTTAGATTGTTCCACCAGTAAATGCTATTGTTGGTAAATGGAAGGTTGACATTGATGTCAAAAAGAAGGATAGAACTGGTGCTACCAGTTTTACTACTCATCAACCAATTTATATTCTTTTTAATCCTTGGTGTTCAGGTGAAATAATTATTTTCAATATTTTATCTAATAACTGTTGTAGGGGGATAAAAAAATTTTCTTCGGGTATTCAGCTTGTTACCAATTTCTAATACACCATTACAGTAGTTACCTGACTCGTGGTTAGTCCATGTAAATTAGTTCTAGTTCTTTAGTGATAAGTCATGTGTTTTAAAACGTATTTAATATATATTTTAAACATTCTAGTCATTATGAATAAGCTAATGTCATCTCCAAAATTAGAGCCAATTAGAAAACGGCAATGTAAATAATTTATTTGTATGATTATATAGAGGATAGCGTCTACATTCCTGATGATGAAAAACGTCAAGAATATGTTATGCAAGACATGGGTTACATCTATAGAGGAACCCATAGACAAGTATTGCCTTCAATGTGGAAATATGGTCAGTTCAAAGAAAATATGTTGGATTGTGCTCTTCATCTTATGACAAAAGTCGGAAAAGTTCGAAGCAGTTCAAGAAATGATCCAATTATTGTATCAAGAGTTCTTTCTGGAGTTATTAATAGTGATGGTAAAGATAACAAAGTAATTATCAGCAACTGGACAAATGACTTCAATGGAGGAACTTCTCCAACACATTGGATGGGATCTTTTGCTATTTTGAAGAAATATTACGAAACTAAACAACCTGTCAAATACGGCCAATGTTGGGTTCTTTCTGGAGTATATACTACCTTATGTAGAGCTTTGGGAATACCTTCTCGAGTGGTAACCAATTATTCAAGTGCTCGTGATGCTGAAGGAAGTGTAACTGTTGACTACATTGTTGATGCTGAGGGTAAAGCAGTTGAAGATATTAACAGTGATTCAATCTGGTATATAATTAATTTTTTTTTGTGATAATCTCTGTAAATGACAAAAGAAGAATGTTTGATATTAATTAATGAATCGATTGGCCAATAGGACATTCCATACCTGGAATGAAGTTTGGATGCAGAGATTGGATCTTGGCGCAGAATACAGCGGATGGCAGGCAATTGATGCATCTTTGTCATCTAAAACTGGCGAAGGTTCAAACCGATGTGGACCAGCATCTATTGTAGCTATTAAAAAGGGCGAAGTTCGACGGGCTTATAATGGTGAATCATTATATGGAGAAGTTAACGCTGATCAGATTATCTGGAAATATAATGGAGCTACGGTGCCTCTTACGTTAATCCGAAAAGATACAACGAGGTAAGTAATTAAAAACATTTATTTATATTATTAAGATAATAATGATAATAAATTTTTTAGTGTCGGAAAACAAATTGTGACAAAACCAATAGGCATTAAAGAACAACCAGAAATCTTAACTGATAATTATAAATATCCTGAAGGTAAATGATTACTGTTGCTCTAGTTTATTATTAAATTGGGTTTATAAGTCTGATTTGATTATTAAAATATTTTAATTGTTATAGAATCTCAAGAAGAAAGGAAATCAATGTCGAAAGCCCTGAATAAACATGATTGGATCTTCAGCCGTTTTTCTATGAATAAAGAATTCCGAGATATTAAATTTGATTTCAAACTAAATGATGATGTTGTAATTGGAAGTCCATTCAAGTATGAAAGAGATTCTGTTTTTTAATCTGAAAAAATAATATTTTTTTAATTTATATAAACTTAATATAAATTTTGTGTTTGATTTAATTTGCAGTGTTGGATTAGTTATGGAAAATCTGAATTCTGAAGTAGAATACCGAGTTTCCATTATATTGCGCGTTGATTCGATACTTTACACTGGCAAAATGAGTCAGCCAATTAAATACTTGGCAACTGAATGTATAGTGAAACCTGGAACCATTGAAGAAGTTAATTTATGTCTCGCTTGGGTTGAATATGCCCCAAGACTTCAAAATCAATGTGCCTTTAATGTCGCATGTCTTGCTAAAGTTCATGAAGTAAATTATGAATATTTCGCTCAAGATTTCTTCCAATTACTTAAACCAAAAATAACCACTGTGGTGAGTTTCATATACATTTTAATTTTTTAATATAAATCAAATGCTTTTATTAATCATAAATTTTATCTTTATAGATCTCGAAAAAATATTCTGAGCTCAATAGAGTTGATAAGGTGTCAAGCTTCGTCAATCCTCTGCCAGTACCTCTACACAATGGTGAATTTATCATCGATGTGCCTTTCTTGAACACAGAACTGAAAATGAAGGTTAACAAACCTATCATGCCTGGTGAGAAAGTATCTTGTACTTACTGGGTGAAGGAATATGGCAATGCCAATATGTTCAAAACTTCAATTAAATTCCACTCAAAGGAGTTAGATGATGTTGAAGGGTATCATTATTCAGCAATTAGTGTTGAAAATGGCACTCATTAAATAATCAAGTGTTCAGCTAGGATTGATATTGAAGAATCCCTATTTTAAATAGAGTAAACATTTACTTATAATTAACAAATCTACTTTCAATAGCTAAAATAATGTAAAAATTTTTATTAAGTTAACAATATATTTGTCTTTTATTTATTTTTATTCAACTGTTATTTATTTTGAAAGTAAAACCTATTAAAGGACTTAGTTATTTATTATATCATTAAGAAAAAGTTTTATATCTGTCATTTTTAAACAGTCAACATTAAAAAAACCGTTTCAGTACAACTTGTAAATATTCAATTTTCATAATAACTCCATTATGTTTAAAGTTCCCCTAATACATATTTTCAAAGATATATTAAGTATGTTAAAAAATCTAATATAGATTAGTTTTTTAAAAATGTTTAAACATGAATATATACATATATGTATATTAATAATATATGTTTCTGGCTATTTAGTAAATAGTCAGTGATATGCATATAATTATACAGTAGACTACTGGGTAGAATACACTGCGTGATATTAACGAGTGACAATCAAATGAGCGCGTTGAGATATGACTATGATTCTCATAAAAACAAATATCGAAGAAGAGGAAGAAAAGTAATCAAAAAGTTTCAAGTTGAATGACGACGATGGGCGTCATGCTGATACGCGAGTATTGATGTCAGACTATGCATCATCATTCGGGAAATTAATGTTGAAATATGCGCGGACGGTGAATGATAAGCCGCGTGAAGACTTGAAAAAAAGATGGTAAGAGTTAATATAAAGAATAACCAATGAAAAAAAAAGAAATTAAGCGGATGCGAGTGGATCGACTTTGGTCAGTGAGATATGTCTAAATACATATAACTGTGACGCGTGATGGACGTCTAGCGGCCGCTGTCTACAGGGGTCTGAAGAAGCCTTTTAGAAAGATAGGGCCTACGTGGGGATCTTGGACCTCATGGCACCCTGCTACGCGCTATGCATCAACACCCAAGATCCATCGCATTATACCTCATCAAAATAACAAACATACCTACTTGACTAAACCAACATTCTTTTTTACTGTCAAATTTTCACATTTATCAATATTATATATTCACGACCACGAGATAAAATACTTGGACCATCAAGATAGTATTAATAATGTAAATACAGAAGTTAACGACTTTAACGCTAATGAGATCAGCTTGTATCAATGTATCATTAAGTTCATGAACTTTTAGAACCATGAAATCAAAATTCCATTTTATTTTTAGTTTTTAGGTTATAAATCTTTGAAAAATTAAATTAATAATCCATTTGTGCTCTTTAAAAGTTAAAATTAATATATTTATATTTATAATTGTTCAGAAGAATTAAAAATTTCATTGGTTTTTGATTAATTCAAAAGTATTTTTAAATAAACGCGGATTTTACTTAAGTTTATCGATGATAGATGGCGTTACAATTCAGTTTGCCGACGCCAAGCGTTTGCAACGGTATAAATGAAAACAATGATCAGTAACAGATTAATATTTATTTCAATCCTTTGTTTAAATAGACGTATAATAATAACAACTATGTAGTGAACAATATATTTTATATGATTTATACCGCCATAGTCGTTGTACGTGCGCGATAAGAATTTTTAATTGGCATTAAGGCGATGAAAACAAATCGAGTCTTTACGATCATATATTGAAATTTATATTTGCTATGTCGAACGCATTTATATTCTCGCGATATCTGAGAATGTGACGGTCTTTATAAGAGAGCCAGTTAATCTCGTGTTAATCAATAGCTCGCAATCACAACAGTAAGTTGAGTTTATAATTGCGACATGATTCCAAGTTGGTTAGCTGTTCTTGGAGACCGTGATACGCTGAATGTATGTAGAGTTGTATGAGCCAGCAAGTAAATATGTAAAATCTATAACTCTAATCAAAAAGATGAAGGGTTGAATAAAGACTGGACATTAATATTTTGCGATATCATTTACATATAAAATCACCCGTTAATGAAGTTGTTTTGCTGTTAGTGACAGCGACAGTAAAAAGGTTGAGTTTTTATTTCCCACACTGCATTTTTTAAGACAACAACTGTATAAAAGATTGGTTAACATGACGATCATGAATCGATTATCTGGCCTGAGAATTAATCGATCCTATTTATTTATAATTGCTTGTCAAGTTATAATCTGAAACAATTAATAATATTATGATAAGTATGATCAACATCAATTGTAATCATCTATCCTATTAAAATGTCTGGAATATTAGTTCATTATTTGATAAATTATAAGGATTATTTGCATAACGTTTATAATAAGTATCGAGAGAAAAAGGTATGTATTCATTATTTTTTACCAAGACAATGTGTTAATTTCGTGCATCATTTAAATTCAGGTAAAATTGTTTTGTTTAGTGTCTCTCAGAACAAGATCTTGATGATATGAGAGTGATGGTATCGATTCTCGTATAGAGTTGGGTGGGACCACACCAATTCACTAGGCTCTGAATATATTATTCTTGCAGAGGTATGCATCCCTTTCGTCTTGAGGAATGAGAGAGATATATAGTTTACTCTAGAGAAAAGGGGACAAATGTTCTTGCCCGCACGTTTTAACAGATCTACGATAGGACGGGATATTACGTCCTCAGGACACACCTGCGCAGAGTTAAAATACTCTAGGAGAAGAGTATAAGGACAAAAGATAGTAAAAAGTTGAGTGGAATAAAAGTAGTGATGGAATCAAAAAGAAAAGAAAATAAAAAACATCATCGGCATCAGCAGATGCGGTTGGACGATTTGTCGGCTGACACCTCTTCTATCTTTTAGCTTTTACACCCGTACCACCTAACTCTTGTTATACGACAGATTAGCGTTTCGTCGAACTAAAATATTTCCAAATGGAACTTGGACTGATTCCCCTTGGTTTGTAACAATGCAGTCAAAGATGTGACCACATGATTAGGGATGATACATGTTTTCTCTTGGAGTTACTCATACACAATTCATCCTGTAGACATTCCTCACACGCGTATACTCACTTTCCCCTTAAATACTCTTGAACAAGGGAGAGAATAAATCCGATTACATTTCGTCGAGGTGTCTGATTAGTTAAAAATTATGCCACAGTGTGCGTTAAACAAACTGTGCTTGATCCATCTGATAGAAGTCTAATGTGTGGATTAATTTTTTTCAGCATTTCAAGGGGTGACATCGCGGGTGTTTTTATTGACACAGGATTGTCATGAGTTTAACTAAATAATAAGCGTAGAGAGAAGCAGAGAAATGACGAGCAAAGGGTGAAATTTGGAAGACGGAATATTTTGGAATGAAATGTGAAACAGACTCGCATTTACCTCATTATGAATTCACCCCCTACTGTACAAGCTAAACTGACTGGCATTCTCTACACCAGGCTTACCCTTTGGTGAGTATGTATGTAAAGCTTTTCTGTATATGTGAGTGTCTGTAGATCTACACTCACGAATATGAGATATCTGGTATTTACATAAATAGAGCATGACCATTTTGCAAGCAGTTGGTAGCTCGGGTAAACTCGTGAAAACTCGGTGTTGAATTTACAAAAGAATTAGTTACCCTCTTGTGTACATTCTAGACGCACCTTCACCCTCGACTGCCACCCCTAATTGCTTCGATCCCTGTCTAGCTACTGACTTTATCATAATCTCTCGAGTAATAGGCTACTCCCTGAAATACAAAATATATCTTGGGTAACAAAGACTGTGAAGGAAAAAAATACGCCCACGCTTTTATCCTATCAAAAACACTCTTTTGTCGAGGTCTCACACATTTAGTGGCGAGCTCTTTAAGAGAAAGAATGATAAAAGAGAGACGGAGTAAGGAAAAAAGTGAATCCGCCTTCTCGATTCTTGCGCGAACAGACGCACTCCTTCGGATAAATTTATTACAGACCCCCGACGTTGGAAGACACTTTCGGGGGTGTAAATGTCCCGCTGGGATCATATCCGTTTTGTCATTTATTTTGTCTCTTCTTATTTTTATACGTTTATATTTTATTTTCCTTTTTCCGAGAACACGATCAGATCGCGGTCGTTTTGCAAAGGAATATAAGAATTGTATTCCATTTATTTTATCGTTCCACCTCGTTTACATAGAATATTCACGCTTCTTCGAGTCATGAAAAGTCCCATACCAGACACCCAATTTTCTATATAATGGTCGAAAACGGTTTTTGTGGTTGAGGAATTGTGCGCCGAAGAATCGTTTAAATGGTTGTGCAAGAGAGATAGATGAATTATAAATAAGCCTCATTATTGTAGGAAAAAGGGTTGAACGATAAACTAGGATAACGAAAAGTGGTCATTTGGAGTAAATAGTTTTTTTAACATAGCTGTAAAAGTAAATTTTATAGAAAACCTTCAGCGTTTAAATATGGAGTAATAAATTGATGAATATTTTTTTAAAACAAAAGTAATTTAGCATTAAAATTTGTTCTTTAAAAGTTACCTGATTATATTTATTTCAATTTATTCATTTTTAAACTATTCAGTAAAATATTTCATTTATTGGACTAATTTTGTTGCTTTATTATAAAAAACAAATGAAATATAAATTTCATTAATGTAAAAAAAAAAATAAAATTAGGGAATGTTTACTAAAATTTCATTTTTCTTATAAGGTAAAAATAATCAATCTCGTCTACTCCATGTAGGATTTATCCTTTCCTAAACTATTCATCTGGGTAATTTATCAAAGCGTCATGTTAGTAATGAGAAATAAAATGACACAATTTAGTGAGCGTAAACACTTTAGGGGAGGAAGACAAGATGTGTATTTTATTTCCTCAAGAATAAGTATCTCTCTATTCTCAGGGGAGATATTCGACTCTCGGTTGACATCGAAATCCCGTAACGTATCTAATTGGGGGCATTTTAGTGATGGGGCGGGTTGGATAGGATGAGCATAAGCCAGCAGAGGCTACTGCAGAAGATCACCCTGAGCTTATAACTGCTAGCGAATCTCGCTATCCTCAAAGTACAACC